CCTTAGGCAGGACTTCCTATGTGCCTAGCCTGTAGCTTGCTCTTTTCCCCTGGCAAAATGGGTGGGCAGAGGAGCGCGCCCATTGGTTGCATGCATGTGGGCGGGAAAGGTCTACCCGACTACTGAAAAAGGTCTACCCGACTAATTTTTTTGAGATTATACGTGACATCCTGAGGCAGTGTTGCTTAACTAGCGGCTTAACTAGCGGCTTAGGAAGGAGCCGGTAAGCCGGTGATGCGTCACGCAGTTTCCTCCAATGCAGCAAGATTCCGTATAACGAGAAACTGCAACCCCATCTTTCTCACTCAGCGGTCTGTTCAATTGAGACGGGATGGAATTGGTTTGGTCCAGAGCTCGCACTTTGTTCGTATGAGAAATGGAGATCTGGCAAATTCGGACGGGCGACTCAATTTTGGCTGTACTGTACTGTACAGTACTTCCTAATGGTGTTATATGCGCCTACATGCCAAGTACCTCGCTCCCCAATCCTCATGATCCCAACACATCGCCAGAGCTTCTAGCTAGCCCCCACGTCTTCCCGTCTTCATTTGCTCGGTTGCTTGACCATGTAACCATGCTGGTACTCCGGAGGCCGTGCATCAATCCTAGGGCAGTACTCATCCTAGGGTACCGGAAAACTGGCTTGCTTGCCAAGTGATACTTCAGCCCCCGCCTTTCTTTCCTTGGTCCTCCGCCCGTCCCTTGATCTTTTTGAATTGGCTGCTGCTTCTCGCTCTCATCGATGCGGAAGCCGGCCACAGCAGCAATTGAATCCCCTCAGCTCGCTGCCTGACTGCGCGCCAAGGGTAGATGAGATGGCATGGGACACATCATCATGGCTGCATCTTGCTCGCACCACGCAGCTGGTCGCTATCACGGTCGCCACCGTTGCTCAGGCTGCCGTATTACAGTCACATGGCGGGGGCGGCTACCTCCCAAGACCGCCAGTTGAGATGATTATTCTCGAGCTACTGGTGAGTACTCTGCTGAAGGCCCCGATTCCTCTGTGCTTGAGCTGACGGCCTGCTAGTTTGCTGTGCTCCTCACTTACAGCTTGTTCACCATTGCCTTCCTTTACTTCAAGGTGTTTAAGCGCCGCATCGAGAAGAAGAGCTGGCTCACCTCCTTTGCCGTTTTTGATGTGATAGCCTGCTTCCTGACTCTAGTCATCATCACGATTCTGGCCAATAATGGCTCGCCCACCAGCTGTAATGCGTATGGGTGTATCGCCGGCATCCTGAGCTACTGCATGGCGATGGGGCTTGTGTCCGTACCCTTTGCTCTCACCTCCTTATCCCTCTTATTAGCCAGCACTGATTGAGTTCGTTGCAGCCTCTCGTACAACATCACCCTGGCCCTGACAATCCTCCTTATCCATGTCAAACTGGGCTCCAAAAAAGGCACCAAGATTGACGAGCTGCACGATTCGCTCGAGCGGGTCGAGGACGGCCGATACAAGCTCTTCGACGTCCCATCGCCCTGCCCGTCGACACCCAGCTTAGCTCTACCAGCGCGTCTCCCGCCGAGCGAAGGCGTCCTCACGCGCAGAACATCTCTCCACACCATCACCAGCGCTCCAACCTCCACCTGCCCAACCTGCTCCCTATCGCAACCCCCATTGTCCCGGATCCCTCGGAGACCAACCGCGGGCCAAACCCCAACCGCGACAAACAGCGCAGCAGGCCAGAATGCAACCTTCATCCAGACAGACGCGGACAGCGAGAGCGACCCGGCCGCTGCAGCGCTCGTGGCCGACGGCATGCGACACCACCAATCCTCCTGCTACCACCATCACCCTTGTTGCCAACACCCGGAGGAACTTCCCCTGCAGTCGACCTTAATCCCGTCACATTGCCAGCATCAGTCCCAGCAGCATCATCACCAACAGCGCGAGCACCTGCACCTGCAACACCATCACCAACAGCACGAGCACCTGCACCTGCAACACCAGTACCAGCAGCACCTGCACCTGCAGCACCAGTACTTGCCACACCAGTACATGCACCACCCGAACCAGCTGCACCCAACCTTCCTGCGCGCGATGCCGTTGGCGGGGCAATCGCTGCCAGTTCTCCGCGAGGGTCTGGAGCAGAAGTCGCTTTTGACGGACGGGATGATGATGACAATGAGATCTCCCACTCAACTGCGGCAGTCCGAGGTTGAGGGAGGCGGAGGCGGCGACAACGGCAACGGCAATGGGAACGGCGACAGCAACCACAACAGCAACGGCAACGGCAATAGGAACGACGACAGCAACAACAACAGCAACGGCAACGGCAATAGGAACGACGACAGCAACAACAACAGCAACGGCACCGGCATGCTGCCGCAGTACATGTCCGTGCCCTTGTCCGGGCCGGGAATGGCAGGCCACGGCGGGGAAGAAAGCAACGAGATGCGGCTGAGCGGCTATGTCAAGGGCGAGACGCGAGCGCAAGACATGAAGGATTCCGGGCAGTACTGATTTTTACTCTTGGATTTCACCTCGGGTGAAGTTAGATCAGGCTGGGTAGGGTCGGATTGGTTACCTGTCTTTGATGGCAGTTTGACTTTCAGGCAAGAAAGGGGCGGCAGGTACTGCTCGGTTACTTCGTGGGTCGACCGGTTTGGTCGATAAGGTATGGGGAAAGGCGTTTGCTTATTGCTACAAACTGCCTTGAGGGCGACGATACCACGTTCATTGGGCGTTTGGCACGGGGACAATAATGTGTCTACATACTATCGTTATTATCCTGGGTTTGGATTGGGATCTATATATACAACGGGATCTTGACAAACTGGGTTTGGTTGCACCGGCGTCAGGCGGGATCTGGCTTTCCTCACTAGCATATTCTCATTCTTATTGAAATTAATAAGAAAATGTGAGCAACACCTACGTCACTGATTGCCTACTCCTACGTTTTGGGAATTGCAAGACGGCATGGACGATGCTTCATCGACTGTCAGGGACGCTCTGTATTTGCCACATTCCGCTCGAGACATAAACCGATGCGCATGTAGACAACTCACAAGAGGAAAACAGAATCAGGACAAGACACCAGTCAGCTCTATTAGGCAGTCACAATATCCGGACAAGAGAATGCGCCTCAGTATATGTCAGCGGCCCACTCCAGGAGTTGAGACCGCACCCTTTGCACTTCGCCCTTTCCCAGTTCCCATTCCCAATCCCATTCCAATCCCATTCCCATTCCCATTTATCCCAACCCAACCGGCCAGTCTACCCATCCCGAACATATGTTACTCGCATAACAAACCATGATTCACCACCTCCTGCCATAGACGTCATGTTCCTTCCTCGCTTTCCCCCTCTTCACCATTGCCGCAACATCCCTAATAACGACCGGATTGCTAGCTGGATCGTTCGGATCCCCGCCGCCGCCAAGTGAGTGTCTCGCGTCGTGCTTGAACAGCTCCAAAATCTCCTGCAGACCCAGCTTCATCTGGTTCTTGCCCTTCTTGCCTCTGGAAGCGCCGACGCCCTCAATGGTGGCCTCGGCCAGGCGCCGCTTCTTGTCCTGCAGCTCCAGGATGCGCGCCTCGACCGTGTCGGCAACCGTCAGCTTGTACACGACCACGTCGACCGTCTGGGTCAGTCGGTGCACGCGGTCAATGGCCTGCTCCTCAACAAAGGGGTTCCAGAAGGGCTCGACGATGACGACGCGCGTGGCCGCCGTCAGGTTGAGCCCCAGCGAGCCGCACTTGAGAGAGCAGAGCATGACGCGCGTGTGCGGGTCGGTGCGCAGGGCGTGGAGCGCGGCCTCGCGCGCGTCGTTGGCCATCTTGCCGTCGTAGCGCACGAATTTGAGGCCAGGTTGGGAGAGGAGGAAGGGTTCAATTAGGTCGAGCATCGAGGTGAACTGGGAGAAGACGATGAATTTGTGCTGAGGGGCCTCTTTGCGCAGGAGTGAGAGGAGTTCGCGGATCTTGGCCGAGACCATCACACTATGGTGACTATTGTCGGCGGTAGACTTGGTCTTGGACCCGGATTTGGACTGGAATCCATCGCGGTGTCGGCTTTGGTGACGCTTGGCCGGCGAAGTGTCCGAGTCCGAGCCGGAATCTATAGCAGAGAGGATTTCCGATTCGGAGACGCTCTCGCCTTCCGAGACTAAGTCGTCGCTGGGCGATTCAGGCGCGGCTTCAGAGACGACTTGTGAGCGGAGCTTAGCTACTGATACGAAGGTGTCGTCTTCCGAGCCAGAGCCGGATTCGGGCTGATCCCCTTCTGGTGCGTCTTCGTCGTTGACGATGAAGCTGTCAAGCTGGCTTTCGTCCTCATTCTCCGAAGGGTGATCTGAATCCTCCGATCCAATGTCGTCGCCGCCGCCTTCAGCATTCTCGTCTTCTTCATCACCAGCCTTGCCAAGGCGGAGAGAACCACGCTCGTCTTCTGGTACCAGCCAGCTGCCCTCCATATCTTCCTCCTCATCATCGCTATCTGTGATGATTCGGCGGCCTTTCGGTTTCCGCTTGGCCATTTTCTCAATTTTGATCTCCTCCGCAACAACGCTAATCCTCCGCCGGTCCTTTTGCGGCTTTTTTCGGCTGGGGCTCTCGTTGTTCACCTTCTCGAGGCTCTGTACACAGTCGGTACAGCGCAACTGACCATCAGCCACCTCCTTTTTGCTCAGCTCGCTCAAACACATCTCGCACTGCTTTGTCTGGATACCCATCCCGCCTAGCGCATCAGCCAGGTCATCAATATCGTCGGCGACACTTGCTTTCGGCTGGGCGGCCGTGTCTGTAGCCAGCGCGTCCTTGTCTTTATCCAGCTTTGTCTCGGACAGGCGCGGGTGATTGCATGCCTGGCGCAGGCGTAGCAACAACACGAGAGCGTTGGCGTAGTAGTTGCTCTTCGTCTTCATCATCTTCTCGAGGCTCTTGTCAGCACGCTCCTCGAGCCGGTCGTAAAACTCCCGCTCGGCTGGCGAGAACTGAGTTTCGACCGTGACAACTTTGCGCTCTGTGATCTTGAAGGCAGGCTTGGGCATTTCGGCTTCCTGCGACCCCCCTTCTTTAGCCTTCGCAGCAGCCGCGTCGAGCGCCTTCTTGCCGCCCGCGACAAGGGCCCCCTCTTCCTTGAGGATTTCCTTTGTGCGTCGCTTCATGAAGCAGCGAAGCAGGGAGTGCAGGCGCCGAATGGCTATGTGGCCCTTGCCTTGCTTCATTGGCCCATCTATGTTGGCTCGCCACTCGGACAAGTCGTCGTAAGGAGCGATGCGGAGAAAGTGGACGAGCGACTGCAGCTCGTCAAGGTTATTCTGCATGGGAGTGCCCGTAAGGCACCAGCGATACTCGGAACGCAGAGCGCAGCAGGCTTTGGTGGCTTTGGCGTTGCGGTTCTTGATGCTGTGTGCCTCGTCGAGTATGACGCGGAACCAGTGGATGCCGAAACAGCCAACTTGAGGCCCTCTGGTAGGGTCTGGGTTGCTGTTGCCGTGTTCAGATACCAACGTCTGGTAGGTGGTGATGACAACATCGTACTTGGCCAAGGCCTTGGGGTCTTTAGTCCGCTGTTGACCATGATGGACGCAGACCTTGAGCTCATGGGACTTGGCCACCTTCTCTTTGATTTCACCCTCCCATTGTCGGATCAGTGCAAGCGGTGCAACCACCAGCGTTGCTGGTTTGACTCGGTCAAAGTGCTTCTTCCAACCCTCGTCGTCCGGTCCAGGCATCGGGTTGCAGACAATGAGCGAGATACTCTGCAGCGTCTTGCCGAGACCCATATCATCCGCCAGGATGCCGCCTTTGGGCACTGTTCCCTTTTTGACGGGCCCAAGCTCTCGACCCCGCATCCACTTGACTCCCTCAACTTGGTGCGGGAGGAGCTTCACTTTGATGCCCTCAAGTGCACCATCCTCGATGGTTTCCTCCTTTGCTTTGCTGCCCTCGGTTTTTTCCCGTTCGGGCTCCTCCTCTTCATCGTCCATGCCACCCTCGAGCAGGGCTTTCAGGTCTGCCGATGCCTTGGCAGGATCCGTGTAAAACACATTGTCTCCATATGCTGATTGTGAGGGCTGTGAGTACTGATAGGCTGGCTGTGCCTCGGCGCTCATAGAGCTAAACATCTGCAACGCCGGCGCTTTCTTGGACTCGGTCTTGGGCTTCAAGGGACCCGATCCCCTGTACAGATCACTGTGAAACTCTGGCCGCGTCTTTCGCTGGATGAACATGTGGTTGCTGTCCTGAGGCTTACCGAATCGCGGCACCAGCTTCGTCGGGTGGCCAAAGGTCGCCGTGGGCGTCGCAACCGCGGGCTTGCCATTTGCACTGTCTGTTAGGTCCACAACAGCGTTATCGGGGCTGTCGACGGGCCTTGGCGGTGTTATTTGGGAGCCAGGCCCGAGCGATAAGTTGGCGGCCTGCGAGCTGAGAATCTCAAGGTCATCGTCGTTGAAGGAATTGGAGCGCGATCTTGCCATGGTGGTTGACTCGGCACTGGGCGAAGAATAACTGATGGTCGTTGACTCGACCAGGTCGTAGAAGCTTTTCCGCAGTTCGGCTCTTGTCTTGCTGGGGCGCCGAGATTCTTCTGGCTTGGAAAACTCTGGCTTGTCGCCGGATGCAAGGTTATTTCGCGGCTGGACCGAGAAGTTGGCACCTGGTTTTCTGCTTTTGTTGATTCCTGTTAACTTCGTTTCCGTTGTCTGGACCTGCGGTGCACTGCCGGCCATGGTGGATCTACCTCATCTGCGGCGCTCACAATGACGAGAACGTTTAACAGAGCGTCACTGTAGGCCGATGTGCATACAACTGCAAGTGGCGGGTGTGCGAGGGCATGAAAACACACTTTGGCGGGCTGAAGCGTGCTGCTGCCTGCTGCCAGTGCAGTCTGTTTACAAAGGGCCCTGGGCTCCAAGGCAACCGAGACCGCCACTGATTAATGCAGCCCCTCACCGCCCATCGCACACCATGGTGAGCTGCCCCTCACCTGTACCTAACCTGCCTCGGCAACATTGACCAAGATCCGATCACCTAATACACAACATCTCGAAGGACATCGGGAAGAACATCGCAACGCTGCATCCGCAACCAATTCCCGAAGAACAAGACACCCCAGATGACAATACACAATGCTTGTTTTACAGGATGTGATGCAGTTTGTAGTCCTGAGCGACCAGGTGCGAAAAATAAGGATCATGTAGCCAACCGTGCCAAGGAAATCAGGCCCACTAACATTCCAATCCAGCCGCGCCTGCCATCGTGAAACAGAAGAATCACCTTTGCCAGGTTTCTTAGGTTATCTGAGGTGAAGAAGAATGTCGAGACCGACAAGATCACTCCTTAAGTCTATGGCCTTACTCGACACCGTGGACCGTTGGGTTTTGTGACCCAAATCCAACGGAGTAGCAGGGCGCCATGCCGCCAATGTCGCTGCCGATTCTACTTCTACTCGTTTGGCTTCTACCTAGTTTCTCAACCTTTTCGAATCTTGCGGCGGCTTTTGGCACCATCAACGAACCCATACTTCTCGGCCAGCACAATGAACACGAGATGATAACCCGCATAGCATTCCGGTGCCCGAGCGGTCAGAAGTCAGATGGCATATGCTTCGAGCCGCGGTCGCTGGATCAGCTCGCTGGCTATCACATCGACTTCATGGGCTTGCCTATTCCCGGAGCGGGCTTCAACGGCGCTGTCGGCTCGCCCGACACCTTGGACCCGATCCCCGAGGGACCTGAAGCTCACTGTGATGATGCCGACTACCTGGACATTCCCGGATACCCCCAGACACGAGCCGAGGCGACCGCTAAGCTGCAGGTCTGCATCGATCACCTCCGAGAGCGCTTCCACCAGGCCTGGAAGGCGGCAGGGCAGTTGCTCGACGAGACCAGGACCATTCGCCCGGAAATGGTTGAGCTATCAGGCCCGTTCGGCGACTGCGCCTTTGCCTTTCCGGCTTTGCAGAATGATGCCTTCGGGAGAGCGAAATGCAGCGCGCTCGAAGCATTTGGACGGGCCTTGCACGGAATCCAAGACTTTTACTCTCACAGCAACTGGGTCGACAGCGCTGACCCGAGCCAGCCCATCAGCGAGTCAAACCCTCCAGGGCTGGGCATGAACGGTACAGCACCGTTCCTGGACATGCGTGCCACTGGCTTAATACCGCCCGAGCAAATACCGCACAACCTGACCACGGGTTGTTTCGCTTTGCCAGACACCTCTCCAGGATCGGGTGATTGCGCTGGACGCATAACACATCGGGCGCTTAGCAAAGACAATGGCCTCATCTACCCAGATGGTACCATCGGCGAAGTTGGGCCCAACTCTCCTCGGGGCGAGGCTGTCCCGAGCAACTTCCATCTCGCCGTCCAGGCGGCCATCCAGAGTTCACGCGATGCCTGGGCCAGTCTGCAAGACGAGATACGCCACCAATATGGCCCTCTTAGAGGCAATCTCATGCTCTGCGCTCTGGTCCGCGACGACCCCGTCAACGACTGCATCCTTGGCGACTCCGCCCTCGAAAAGAGTCTAATACCTTACACTGCCGAATTTTTAGCCGTTGCGAAATATGACACACAGGATTCTCTGGACACAATACCGCCGGGCGGCATGACATGCGGACTGCAGAAGCAGAACGATTTTGAGTATTGAACATCGATAGACTACGTCTTTGATATTGCCTTTGTAGGTCAGAATTAAATCAGAAGTACATCCTTTCCTTCCAGCCCTGCTGATAAACATATCCAAAACGCCAACCCCCCTGCTAAGTCTAGACATGCGAGGCAATGAAATTATACGCCCGGAGAACGGCTTTCCACCCGTCCGATTTAGGATCACTGCTCAGGTCACAGATGTGCGGAGCCCCATCAAGCAGCACCAACTCTGTGGCGAGGCCCTGCTCGGCCATGGCTCGATGGGACCGCTGAGTCTGCTCCCAGGGGATCAAATCATCAGCCGTGCCGTGGATGAAGAAGGTCGGTACGCGGTAGCTCCCATCCTGGATATGAGCAAGCGGACTAGCAGCCCTGATGGTTTCGAGGGACGGCTGCGAGAGCTGACTCCAGTCCTTCACTTCGGGATGCTTGGCAGCATTGGTGATGCTCGGCAACCCCTTCAGGATGACAGGGAGAGTCTGGGCTTTCCAGTTGATATGGAGCACGATGCGACAGCGGGCATCATGCCAGCTGCGCGGGTCCGCGATGGGCTCCTCCCACGCTCCCACCATGTCGTAGTTGCTGATGGGCTCGTCCCGGACGCCCTCGAGCACGTTGTATTGCTGGCCTTTGTAAGGAGCGCCGTTCGGCTGAATGGGGTTCTGCCACCACGTGTCTTCGTAGTCGGTCGGGGCGTAGAAGACGATGGTGGCCTCGGGAGGGCGCAGCCCACGCAGCGGCGCCGTCCAGCCCAATGACATGGCCAGCTGGCCGCCCGAGGACCAGCCGACTACTACCACGCGGGTCCCGTCAATCTGGAGTCCGGGATTTGGGAGCTTGATTCCGGGCAACTTATGGCGAGCCCAATCGAGTGCGTCGCAAACGTCCACCATGGGACCCTCCATCAACGGCACTTCGGGGCAGAGGCGGTAGTCCAAGCTGACGGGAAGGAAACCCTTGCTGAGCAGGAGACGTGTCTGAGCAGGCCGGATGTCTTTTCTGCTGAACAGCATATGACTGCCTCCGTGTATCATCAAGGCTAATACAATCAGTCAAAAGGGGCTGACATCAACAGGTCGAGATCGACGATCGCTTACCAACGGGTAACTTCCTATCCGGCGACACCTCGCCCTCTAGCGGGTAGTAAATGTCGGCGTGGATGTCCAGGTTTCCGGCTCTCTTATAGACGACCGTCTCCATGGCCGCCTTCACCGGCTTCTCCAGCGCCGTCACCTCTCCCTGGCCAGGAAACGCAGCAATGACCCTCACTGTCTTGGCTTCGGGGCTCATCCCGTCGCTCCAAGACACCTCTCCGAAGCCGGCCCTCTTCATCTTCTTCTCCCAATGCCTCTCGTCGACAAGGGCATGCTTCCGCCCATCCTCAAACACCCACCACCCCTCAAAAAGCCCGACGACAATGTCCAGCCAGTACATGTTTTGCGTAATCTCAATCAGCCCGAGCGCCCCGTCGTCCCGGAGCATCTGCCTCGCGTGTCTAAGGGACAACTCCAAGTTGCGCGTGGCGTGGATGCAGTTGGTGGCAATGACGGCATGGAACGCGCCCTTGTACTCGTCTTTGGGCTCCTGCTCAATGTCAAGGACATCAAACACGAGCCCGTCCTTGTTCTTGAACCCCTTGGCCGCGGCGTTGACGAGCGACTGGCCGAGATCGGTAAAGACATACTCAAAATCGATCCCCTCCCGCCGCAGACGGTCGACAATGTAGCGCGTAGTGCCGCCCGTGCCGGCGCCGACCTCGAGGATGCGGAACTTGCCGGACCCAACCGAGTTGCGGAACGCCTTGACGAGGAAATCGCCCAGCACGCATGACGGTGTCCTCAGCAGCGGCCAGAACTCGTACATCTCCTCGAGCGTCCGCTTGGTCTCGCGTTCGCCAAAGACTACCTGGATCCCTTCCTTGTCGCCGCGCAGGCACGCCGCCATCTCGGATCCCACGGCCCGCACCAGCTTGAGCACGCTCGCGTGCTGCGGGTGCAGGTCGACGATGTCGTGGTATATGGTCTCAGCGGGCGTCGGGTCGATGGGCGTCGCCGTGCGCGTGAAGTTGTCCAGGTCGTCGCCGGTGCCAGTGATCAGGCCGCCGTCTTGCAGGGCGCGGTAGAATTGGCGCACGAGCTTTTTGTGCTTGTCGTGGAATCGCACGACGGGAATACGGTCGCCGGGCCGGAGATTGGCCAGCTTGCAACCCAACTCGGCAAAGGCCTCAACGATGTAGGCCTGCACGAGGCGTGCCTGGTGCGGGTAGGCTTCCGCCCAAAAGTTGACGGCCTGCGTCGCTTTGGCGTGGTGGTCGTAGTTGAGCCGGGTCGCCTCAAAGGCGTCGCGAGCTGAGATCAGGGATGGCACCTCTTGTTTGGAGAATTTGGGTTCGTCGGTTGCGTAGGATGCTGGCGTGGGAGGTGTGGCTGTGCCTTGCTTGATGTTGCTCGCTTCGGTACCGACGTCCGAAGCCCCCGAGTCGATGTCGTCTCCCCCGCTTGTGATGCCGAGCTTCTCGTCGACGTAGGCTAGCAAGGCGCCGACGTTCGGGAAGAACAGGAAGCTGGAGAGGTCAATGGTCAGACCCAGGGCCGCACGGATGTCGTTGAGGACTTCGGTGGCCATCAGGGAGTCGATTCCGAGATCGTCCAGGGTTGCGTCCTCCCTGAGCTCACCCAGCGGGACGTCGGTGACGTTGGACAGGATTTGGAGAAGCTCGCGGCGCTTTCCAGCTGGTGGCTGCCTTGACCCTGTGGTAGGGGCAGTCGAAGGAGCAGTCTGTGCCTGGCCTGGCAGGTAAACGTCGATATCGGCCGGTGTGTCGTCCTTGGCAGGGGTCTTGGACGCGTTGGCGGATTTGTTGACGCTCTTAAGGATACGCCCGAGCAGAGTGCGTGACATCTTCGAGAAGCGGAACCCAAAGGCAGCCATGACCATTTTCTTGGTTCTGGCGTCAAAGACATAGGCATCGGACGAAGCATCCGTCTCACCGCCCTCCCTCATGGTCGAATACACGAGCCACTCGCCGGCGTCAGGGTCGAAAGATCCGCCCAGCTCAATGTGCTCGATCTTGCCGCAGACCAACACGTCCTCGGTGCTCGGGTTGTTGAAATAGTTGACCAAGAAGCCGGCGAACTGCATGAAACTGTCCGTCATGGGCGTGTCGACGAGCCGTTGGTCGGCCGGGTCTTCTGGGGATGGCGTGATCCTGACCTTGCCGGCGGCTTCAAACCCGACGCAGGCGACCTGCTTGATGCCCTGGAACGGCTTGTCGTAGAAGACGACCGTGTTGAAGGCGCGGTAGATGTGGCTGCCCTGCATCGTTTCGGCGTCGGGGTGGTTCATGACCTCTCCCCATCGGCGGTGGCCTGTCAGGGTCTCGAACCGCTCGAATTCTCGCGCCTGATGGGCGTCGTCCCGCTTCTTGAGGCAGACCCTGCCGGTGGAGACCTCGAACGGCTCTGCGTTTGGAACGTCGGCGGGCTGGGTGGTAAAGGAAAACGACCAGGCGGGCAGCACGTCGTTGAGCTTGGTGAGTACGAGTGAGATCTTGGTGTTGGTATCTTGCCCGATTGGGGATCTCATGTGCAGGTCGTCCACCGTAGGCACGTAGGTCGTGGCCTGGGTGTCCTTCTGAAGAAACAGGGCCGCACGCGCAACAACTTCGAAGTAAAGGGATGCCGGAGCAAGGGTCTGCCCACCCATGATATGGCCGTTTAGCATCTGCTTGAAGCGCTCGGCGTGCGGATCGATTCGGAATACGGCCTTGGTGTTGGCCCCGTCCTGGAAGCGGACAAAGCTCAAGAGCTCGTGCTTTTCCTCTACCTCCTCGACCTTCGCCCCATCCGTCGCGTCTTGCTCTTTTGCCGCGCCTCTTCCCGTGAACGGAAGCCAGTGGCGCGTCTTTTCGAACTGGATGGGAGGGAGGCTGAGGGCATCGTAACTCGGTTTCTGGCTTCGGTGGAACGGCCAGAATTGCGTCGTGTAGCCCTTCTTCCACAGGTCGACAGTGATATCGACGAGCGACTCCTGCGCCTTGGACGACGTGAGCTGCGGGGAATGGAATGCGTGCCCCTGCGGATCTGCCACCGAGCCCCTGACGAGCTTGATGACCGAAGAGCCGCGTCCTGCCTCGATCCACGTGCACTGGGAGTATCTGGCCGTGAGCCTTTCAATGGCCTGCTGGAAAAATACGGGCCTTCTGGTATGCTCCGAGACGATACGGAAGTCGGGTTCTGAGTTGCTCTGGAACTCGTCGGTTGTCTCAAGGTGGATGGTTGGCTGTCGCCACTCCAGCTGCTCGGCAAGAGACGCGAGATGTTCCAGCATGGGCTCCGTGAACCGCGAGTGGAAGCCGTTGGTGACGTTGAGCTTCTGCGTGCGGACCGAGCTCTGGAGGTGCGGCGTGTTGGCAATGTGCTGCTGCAGGAACACGATGGCCGCGGAGGAACCCACGACAACGTGGCTTGTAGGGCCGTTGTAGCACGCGATCTCTGCATACTGGCCAGCATCATCCACGGTCCGGATGAGCCCCTCGACCGTCTTGCGGTCAGCTTGCAAGAACAGCATGGAGCCTGGCTCAGAACCCCAATGGGTCTGCATGAGTGACGCCCTTCCAGAGACCAACTTGAGAGCATCGCCAAGTGAAAGCACCCCGGATATGCAGAGCGCAGTGAGCTGACCGAAGCTGTGTCCGACGACGGCCTCGACTTTCAGTCCGCAGTCGATCCAGGTCTTGGCCGAGGCATATTGGACGGCGAAAAGAGCCGAGTGCAGAGTCACCAGATTCCCTGGAGGCTTGGACTCGAAGACGGCGGGGAAGATGCTCTCCAACCCAGCCGAGAGAAGAAGGTCGTTAACGGCGTCAAGGTGCTTGCGGAACACTAGCGAAGACTGGTAAACATCCTCGGACAAGCCGATGAAGTCGCTCTCCTGGCCGCCAAATACCAACACCACAGGCTGGGTTGCCTTGGCTGTGATGTTGATTGTCCCCGAGCCATTTGCTGCTTCTTCGAGCTTGGCCCTAAGTTCCCCAACCGAGCTTACGGGAGTGGCCAGGACGTGTGCGAGTTGGTGGTTGCCTCTGTCAGCAAGATTGAAGGCGACGGACGGCAGAAGATCGGCTGCAGATTCAGCCTCGGCCTTGTTCAGCCAGCTCAGCAGCTTCTTGCTGTACTGCGCGAGGCTGTTGGCGGACCCGGCCGAGATGAACAGCGGGTACTTTGCCAGTCGCGGAGCTGTTGGCGCGGGGAAACGCGAGGACGGCTTCTCGCGGAGCATGACGGCCGAGTTGCTGCCGGCCGCGCCGTAGCTGTTGACCAAGGCCAGGAGGGTTGACGCCTGCCAGGGCATGACCTTTCGTGGGATGGCCATCCGGTAGTCGTCGAAGGACGGAATCTTGGGATTCAGGGATTTGTGGCTCGCCTGCGCTGTGATCTTGCGATGTCTCATCATCAGGAGGACCTTGATGAGGCCGGCAACGCCGGCGGTGGCCTCGGTATGGCCGATATTTCCCTTGATGGAACTGAAATAGAGAACGGAGTCTCGCCCTGACCCACCGAATGCGTCGCGGATGCTGGTGACTTCGATCGGATCGCCCACGCCGGCTAAGAGGAGCAAAATGGTTGGTCAACACCTGCCAATGAAGGAATAGGGGTGGGGATGAATGTTAAGAGGCAACTCACTTCCGGTCCCGTGGGCTTCAATATACGACACATCGTCTGGCGTCACCCCGCTGAGCTCCATCACCTTTCGGTAGAGCTTCACCTGGGAGCCCGAGTGCGGCGCCGTGATCTGGCTGAAGTTGTGGTTCTGGTTCGCAGCGGATCCGACAATGACGCCCAAAATGTTGTCGTTTTCCCTGACCGCATCCGCGAGCGGCTTGAGGACCACGACTGCGACGCCTTCGCCTCGGCAATACCCGTCAGCGTCGGCATCGAAGGGCTTGCACTGGCCACTGGGGCTCAGGAACCCGGCAGCCGAGAGGTTCTGATAGTCAAAGGGACTCGAGATGACGTTGGTTCCGCCGGCGACGGCCCGCGAGCACTCGCCGGACCAGATGGCGCGGCAGGCCGTGTTGATGGCGACCAGAGACGACGAGCACGCGGTGTCGATGGTCAGCGACGGGCCCGTCCAGCCAAAGTAGTGGCTCATGCAGCCGCTGAGGTAGCACCTCGATGTCCCCACAGTGGCGTAGGCAGTGCCGGCGTGGCAGGAGAGATTGTCGTAGTAGTTGTTCATGACGGCGCCGATGTAGCAGCCGTAGTCGAGTGGTTCCGGCTTGGCTGGAGGGCCGAAGTAGCCCGCCGACTCGAGTGCCTCGTACACGACCTCGAGCAGGATCCGCTGCTGGGGATCCCAGGCGATGGCCTCGCGCGACGACTTCTTGAAGAACTTATGGTCGAAGGCCTCGGGGTCGTTTAAGAAGTTACCCCACCATTGCGTCTTTGCGTGGTCTCCCGTCTGCGGCAGTCCAAGCCGTTCGACAGGAGCCGGCTGGACCATGGTTTTGCCCTCGAGGATCAGATCCCACAGCTCGTCGACCGAGTCCGCGCCAGGGAACCGCCCGGCCATGCCGACGATGGCAATGGAGTGGGCCGGGTATTGGGACAAGTCTACACCATCGTGACCAGAGCCGACGCCGTTGGTGAGGGTGGGCTTGGAGGATGCCTCGAGGAGGTCGCTGAGGCTAAAAACGTTGAGCTGCGAATCCTGGACGAGAGATGCCGGAGTGCAGTTCCCGAATCCTGCGACTGCGACGGTCCGGTTGGACTTGGGAAGCTGTTCAACTGCCGACTTGACGGTCGTGTACCAGTCGGCCGTGTCTACCAGCGCGTTTTCCAGGGCGACCCGCGTCAACGATCCTGTGGTGATAGGCCTGCCATCGGCAGTGCTACGAACGGGGCTGCGCAGGGCGCTCGCATCCGGGAACTCAAGTTGCCCAGAGACTTTGGCCAGGTCCAACAGCCTATCCACTGCGCTGGCGTGGACAGGCGTGTGGAAGCGGCCGGATACGGGGACGTCTTTCACGCGCAGCTTGTTCTTGCTCGCCTTTTCGGCTAGACTGTCGCGCTGCGTGGCTTCGAGCGTCACAGTGACGCTCGTCGCGTCGTTGATGCTCGAGATGTAAGCCTAGCGATGGCGGTTAGTCAGCCCAGAACAAAAGAAAGGGGGTTGGAAAAAAGGGGTTGAGAGAAAGGGGCTGAAAAACGGGGCTGAAAAAAGGGGCTCAAAAAGGGGCTGATGCCATCTTACATCAGGGATTGACCGGATGATATCGGCAATATCACCTTGCGTGATTCCGTCCGCCCATCTCAGAGCAACAGCCACGAACTCGTCACCCAACCGGTCCTGGTCCACATAGGCGCCGATGCACACGGCCAGACGCAGCGCGACGGCGGCAGACGCACCAATGTCAGACTCACTCGCCGAGGTGGCCACGGCGAGGGCGCTCAGCAAACCGACGCAGAACCCCTGGACTCCCCCACTGCCGTTGATGCTCTCTAGAAGCTTGCGGTGCGAGCCTTCACCAGGTTGGCCCAGTTTAAGCTGTCCCAGGTAGCGGGTGTACTGGGTGATGTGGAGCAGGACGGTGACGGCCAGGGCGTAGTGGCTTGGCGCGGTGCTCTCCTCCTCCGAGTCCCGGGCAAAGGGCAGGGAACCGCCGTCGTTGGTCCACTGCTTGAGATGATGCAGGTATTTGATGTCGCCTGGCAGGGCAGAGTCATGGTCGACCAGTTCCTGCCAGAACTGTGGCAGGTCGTCGACCGCCTCCTTCAGAGCGCGCAGGTTGGGGTTGGTGAGCAGCTCTTGGCGGGCTTCAAGCAGGGCCTTGTCTGATGGGAACCCCGTCTGTGGTCCGAAGACCAGGAGAGAAGGGAGGCCAGCCATGTTCCGAAACGGGGTGTGGGTGTGATTTGACTTGAGCAAGGGGGTTGAGATCAAGTAGGCCGACCTTGTCTTGTCCACTGGAATGGGAAGAGATGTTGTTGAACTCGGGCGGAGCAAGGTTCAGGTGATGTTGAATGAGTCTCGGAGAGCCCGTAGAGATGGTGGGAGCTACAACCCAATCTGCCTTGTGGATAGGGGGAGGGGAGGATTTTGGATGTTATATACGTGAGTGAAGGTTAGGGGCTGGGGATACGAGTACTCAAACACTAATGCTATGTTCATTGCCGCATATGAGTACTGTCTAGACTGCATGCCGAGCGATACATGTTCCTGTACCATGCCACACTAGGTGCTAGGAGTTTTTGAGGATCCGGAGGACCAAGGAGCGTTTTCGGCCGAATCTGATATTGTTTACTACTAGTAGCATTGTAAGATAGCAAACGAATCGGATGGAAGTTCGCCTTCAATGGCTCCTATCTCGTCCAAACACTCTGGATGAAACGTGCCCTTGGGTCCTTGACAGTGAACGTGTGGTACTAGACCCTCAGTGGCGGCTACAAGAAAAGGGGCGACTTCCTATGTCGGTGCTATACCCCAGATCAGACAACAAAGCGTTGCCACAGATGCAGCAAGGGCTCAAGGGCACCCACACTGGCTTCTCCGGTCTAGTTACTCTGGTACATGCTGCATTCAAGTGGCATGGACTCGGTGTATGTACAGTACATGCAATGCATGTAGGTCTGGATGGAGGACTGACCCCCACGTTCGCTGGGGTGGTAGTAGGATCGTCAACGGACAATTGCTTTGTCTTTTTTATCATGTTCTAGAAACTTCACTACTACTCAGAGGGACTCTATTCACTTACATTCACGTGTATGTTGATAGGCTCGAAGCGGGGGCTTCTGCCATCCGTGTCGGTCGTATGATCGGTACTAGTACCACAACCATGCTGGCAGTAGACAACTTGATTTGTCCGCGGAGGGTGTCGAGACTTGGCAGCCTCATCATGGGCCGCGATTAGACTCTGATCTCGGTTAGGTCGGCGACCTCGCTCTCCTCAACGGATTCACGACTGATAGTGGGATACCGGGACCAGGCTGCATGTAACCCTCGATCTGCAGGCCATAACGGCTCAAGGACTGAGTACGAATATTCAAAGAGCCTGATCAAGTCTACACTCAGGTAGAGATTTTGGGATCCGGGGGGCTGTTGAATCGTAGAAACTGGTGTCCTACACAGGGGTCACCGTTACAGGCTCACGCACGTCGAAAAGACGCTGGTGACGGTGGTACTAGTACCTCATGTGCACTCTTCACTATCTACCTATCTATTCTGTTTACTAGGGATGGGTAATCAACCTTGTTACTTACTCATTCCTCATGCAAGTTATGCTCGTCCTTGCAAACAATCATCTCAGGCTAGTCTCTACCACATATTAAGCAGTACTAGCTAGTACTGGTACATGTAACTAGCACTAGATTCAATCCCGAAAGCTGTTAAGCTTAAACTCCACACCCTGCTGCTTCTTGTATTTCGCCACAAAGAAGTCGCCCTCCATCTTGACATCTTCAGCGGTGGTATTGTAGAGACCAAGCACACCAATCTCATCGCCAATCCTAGCGTCCGGGCTCGCCCACAGTCTCCAGAGCTGCGAAAGCACCAGACGCAGGACTCCATACCCCTGGGGCATGCCGAGGCAGATGCGGCTGCCCTTGCCAAAGCCGACCATGTACTTGTCGAGTTTCTTGCCTTCGTCGCCCAGCCATCGCTCCGGGATGAAGGCGTGGCTGTTGGGAAAATTGTCCTCGTTGTGGTGGAGCAGCACGCTCGTCATGCCGACCGAAGTGCCCTGGGGGATCACCCAGCTCTTGCCCGTCTTTGCGTCTCTGTAGACCAAGGGTCCATCCGGGTCGATGCGGAAATGGGGCGTCGAGTTGCCGTAAATCAGCCGGACGCCTTCCTTGATGACGGCCGTCAGGTAGGGCAAGCCCTCGAGCGTGGCCAGCGGTGTCTTTCCGACGTCGTTGATGGAGGGGATGGCGGTGCGCAGTTCTTCCTTCAGCTTGCGCAGCACCTCCGGGTTGGCCACCATCCAGTAGACCATGTGCTCGAGCGTCGACGCCATGGTCAGGGTCCCCGCCATGAGCAGCATCTGCGCGTCCTGAGCCAGCCGTTCGACCGTCTTCTCCTCGGGGGGCAGTTTTTCAGAGTGCAGGAGGCCGCGGAACACGGGCGTGTTCTTGCCCGCCCAGTCGTCGTCGGACGTGGCGGCCAGCTGCGCGACCTTTTCGCGCGTCATCTTCTTCTGGCGCATGTACGACCCCAGCGCCGGGCTCATGCTCTGCGAGAGCCAAGTTGGCAGCGCCATCATGATGTTGTTGAGCCACGGCATGCGCTTCAGGAGGTGGAATGACTGTGCCCCTGACAAGGACGCATCTCGCTCGGAAGAGTCAAAGTCAGGGGTCTCTGAATTTCGAAAATGTTAATGTGAACCGGCACCTGAATCTGTTTTTCTCACTCACCCAATTTGTGTTGGCACTCTCCAAAGGCCAAAATGTGCGTCAAGTCATTGCTAAAGGCGGCAAACACGCAATTCGCGTTCACGGGCACGTCCGTGTCCTTGAGGTCTGACAAACGCTTGAGCAGCACGTCCAGTCGTTCCTGGAAGGCCGGCTGCAATTTCCTGACATAGGATGGGCTGAAATAGGGCAGGAGGGCGGCGCGGCGCATCCGGTGGATATCGTGGTCGACCGTGGAAAACAACGAGTCGTCGAGACCGAAGAACTTGGTCAAGCTAGGGGCTTTGTTTGCCCGTCTCCTGTCCGTAGTGCTGGGATAGAGAACATCATAAAAATCCTGTTCGATGGTTGTCAGTAACTTGGTGGTGGTTTGCTCAGTTTCTGGGCATCAGCTTACTGGATCTCCAACGTGTAGATCGCGTGGCGATATTCGGACTATCGGCCCGTACTTCTTGTGCAGCTCATCAATCTTCCAGATGTACTTCCCACCGAGCCAGTTATTGTAGTAGGCTTCGTACCTGGGCAAGTCAGTTAGCTCTCAGTCTCTTCAGAGGTGCGGTGCTGTTGGCGGATATGATTTAGGCCGGGCACTTACAGATCTGTCAGAGCTGCCAGCCGCGGCCCTGGGAACTTGGCTATGGGACTCAAGTACAAACGCCAGATGGCACAATAGACGACGTAGATGGAGAGGGTGGCGAGACCAGCCCAAATCAGTTCTATTCTTGAGACATTGGCATGGCGAGTCCAACTTAAGATGTTGTTCATGGTAGAGGAAGACTTGGTAGATGAGAAAACTAGAAAGGTGGTATGGAAACGGGTATGTTCTTCTTTGAACGGGTTAGTTCTACCGTCTGGCTCTGAGAGAATAGCTCAAAGCCCTGTGCGGTTGGGAACAACGTCAAGGTCAAGTGTCTTTTGCCGAGTGAGCGGGAGAGATTCAGGGGCTGCCGACGTTTTATGTGAGATGCTCTAGTCTCTTGAGAGCTCTCCAAGCAGTAGTCCGACCTACTAGTAGTCACTCGACCAGTAGTACTAGGTCCTATGCCCTCGAGGTTGCTATGTAAGTGCCGGTACTCAGAACGGGACAGCATGAAGCCAACGGTTACCGGTCGTTTCCGGCGATCTAGATCCATGTGTGCATACTCCGGAAAACGCATGCTGCTGCTGCTGCGGGGTTGTAGGGTACGGGGTGTCGCCTCCCCTCGCTCATCGTAAGTCGTAGCGAGCAGGTGGTAGGTTCCGGATACCGGGTTGAAATATACAGGGACTATGCCACTGTGGTTCTACTGTAGCCATCGTGTCGTCCGGGGGTTACACGAAACCAGATCCCGGCCCAAGACCCAAGACGCCGAAGTGGTATCAGAGCACAGAGTTGGCGACAACTCCAGGATTTGATATGCGATTGGATGTTGTCTTGATTGAGTTGATTGTGATGCAGAAATTGCGGTTCGAATTGCAGATGGAGTACAGGATTCTGTTACATCCATCACAAGTGTGGGAGAACACCCGTCGTTCGATCGACGAGACTGGTGACTCAACCGTTGACATGAACATGCTGCAGGCAAATCGGCAATCATTACCACGTTGAGTACCTGCTGGGTAGTAGGCGGAAGGCGGCATTGCGGCTGGATGGCTGAACGATAGGGTAACTGCGACTGAATGGAGGTACCGGTGGTGGTGGGCGGTCTAAGGTTACAGAGACAGATTGAGGTCGCACCACAACTTTCACTCATCACGGGACTGTACGTGTGACACAGTGTAGCAGTAAGTAAGGACTTCAGTCAGACTGGCCGGGCTCATTAGAATGTTCTCCCCATTAGTATTATGGAACGTTGTCCGGAAGGTAGGAGTAGTCGTGTACTGCCTGTTGCCTAAGCTATCAGCTATCTTTGGTTGATACTTGCATACTTACGCCTTCCACATGCGCCTGCATCGCTACATGTACATACATACGGAGGTACCTTCCTTTGATACCTCAGTATCGAATTCACGCTGACACGAGCGGCACCCCCACGTGCTAATAGAGTGCTAGCTGGGAAGGATTCACCGTTCCATGGCATAAATCTCCCTCAGTCTTGCGCCATTGATTTCTAACAGTGCTTGCCACACCCAACAAGTAGCAGCGTGGCCGACCATTCTTGCTGGCCGCGGGCATTCGAGATCCGTCAATGCATCCATCAATGCCACCCACCTCGCTTGAAGTCAAAGTTGAGTTAGGTTACCACCCCGGAATGACGGATATTGCGCGCCCTTCGTTCCCATTCGAGAATGAGACCTATACTAGGAATACGAGAGTCAGACCCTGAATTGCAGCCTGCCCGAGGTCGACCGTCGATCTCTCCAGTCTTGTAAGTTGTGCTCTCGTGGTGACTGGTGAGCGCGGCAGAATTCTAAATGCTAATCACCAACGCTCCCGTTTCCTGTCCAAGTCAGACATACTTATTGTACTACACTACCTCTTCATTTAAACAAGCAGTCTGGCGGTCAAGTCTCGCATTCTTTTCTTGCACGATTCTCGTCTTTCCCTCGCACCATCTCCCTGCCATCTCCAGACTCCAGTCATCACTTAGTGCCGTCTTGACCGGTGATCGACGCCCAGGAAGCGGGATCCAACTTCCTGAGGTTAGGTGCATACGGGTGCCAGGGAGCTGCAGTATTGGCAATGCTTAGCCAGTAAGCACGGGCTGATGGTGATCAAGATAGGTAATCGGCCGAGGGACAAGAGATGCTTCCAAAGCTCCACCTCACGATCTCCGCGGTCCGCATCTCGGAATCAAACTCGGAGTAAGACGCATATTACTGCCATGTACGCGGAAATCCCCCGTCAACCTTCTCGGACGCGTTCCTGGCCGAGGCTTCCGGACGGCTGCCTCTTATCTGAGTTATCTCGATGGACCTCTCAAGGTCGCCCGGGGTTTCGTCTGATACAATCGTACAAGGCAGGATGGAGATGGAGCTGGCAGGGTGCATGCCAGGTGCCAGGCCTACATCTTCGGCGCTTCGCACGCCGGTCGACAAAAAGTCGCGCGCGTTACCAAGTGAGGTTGGATTAACGTGTTGCTTTACATTCGCTAGAGCGTGCCTAGTGCTTACGTCGCCCTAGCGTCCGCGGGATCCTTCCGAAGCTTCGTTCCGCGTTTGAATCCCTGACCGGGAGGACTACTGAATCTCGGTATTGTTAGTGTAGGGCTGTCCACCAGGGAAGGCCTGGTCAGAAGACATAACTACACATCGGCATCCACAAGGCTTGATTCAACGCAAGCACATGGGAGCACTTGACCATACTCGGAGATATCGTTTTTATCAATGCCGTGTTCTCTCTCGCACATGTAGACGCATTAGCCGGCTCAATGTTGAGATTGGGACCTCGGGGCTGACGGTACCGCCTGCAGTCTTTTACGTCCAGCCAAGCCAGAGGCGGATAGAAGAGCAAGAAAATAAGGTTTTAGAGTTGTATATGTCACGTTAACGTTAACGTCGGTTGGGAATTTGGGATTAGCATCTTTCTTAGCCCCGGCCCTGAAGCGTGCAGTCACAGCACAATCTTACAGAAACGTCACTGCAGCCATGTCCAACGTCCCGCCACTTGACCACTTCCGAGGAGTCCGACTTGACGCCGACCAGCCACTGAACCTCTTACACGACGACACCATCTACTACGACTACGACCAGTGGTTCGGGGAAGCGGCTTCCGAGCCCTACTATGCCAGCTATGCAACCACCGCTGTGAGCAACACCGGCTCCGAGAGCCCTGACAGCCTGGATGACATCGAAAACATCTACACAGGCTTGCACAGGTGCGTCGACGAGGTTGTTGCGACCATCTCGATCCGCGCACCGCCGCGCTTGGATCAAATCAAGGAGCAAAACCGTAGGGTCATGGACAAGCTGAAGACACTCGAGAGCGCCGCCATCTCCAGCGACAACATGGATGCACAGTACGACCTGGTTCCTGCTGCATCGAAAGCTCGAGCGCCGGCTGCAGACCGGGACCGACCTCGCACCAGCCGGGATAAGCGGCGTCGTGTCTCTGTCACTAAAGCGCGGGCCGGCAGCAGTGCAAAGGCGAATCTTACCCTCCGGCCTATGCATGCGTCCAACGGTGTCGCACTCCTAGGAGCCGACATTGGTGACATAGGACTCACCACCACTACTACTACGGGCACCAGCAGCAGCTTGACCCCACTGTCACATACACATACACCGTATGAGACATATGCTACACAGACGGCGCCGGATGCAACCAACAGCCCCCGCACCCAGTCCCACGGCACCGGGTCCTCCTCCTCCAGTGGGCCCTTGTTCAGCGGTCTGGGGGGAGACTCCAAGCTAGCCAGGAAGCTGCAGCAGATTGGGGCCCGGGAAGCCAGCGCGCAGGTGGCTGAGTTCGCGGCCCAGCTGAGGGCGCCCGAGTACCACAACATGCAGGACCATGCGCTGCCGACCATCGGCCAGTTTTCCTCGCTGTCGTCGCGCACAACAGCCGACGCGGCGCATTTCCGGCAGCTCGTGCTGGGACTGGGCATGGCCATCGAGAGCAGCATCTTTGGCGAGCAAAACTCGCGCATCCGCAAACGCATCGCCCTCGCCCACTTTTACCACGCCTATGCCCTCGCCCAGGAGTACCCGGACCTGTTCCTTTCGTGGTGCGACGACCAGCAGGTCGGGCAGCAGCAGCAGCAGCAGCAGCAGCAGAAGGGTGGTCGGGGTTCAGGTACCTCGGGAATAACGACGACCAACATGCTGCCAAAGGGCGGCAGCAGGTCTGTCGTGCAACACCGCTTCGCCAATCTCATCTTCCCGCCCGAGTCAGATGGCCAGGGTCAAGGTGGTATGTCCGACGCAAAGAGGAAGACGCTAAAGATCCAGATGTGGAGAAAGAGCGGCAAGAAATGGGCTCAAATCATTGAGCGGTTTGGATATGGCATCCTCTTGCTGCTTCCGTCTAGCCTTTCGGATGAGGAGTAAGTCGTACCCCCTTTTTCCCTGCTGTCCAAACCTATTTATATCACTCGGAGATAGCGGAAATATAATCTAACCTTTGTTACCTAGCTTGCGTGTTGCGCGCGACGACGAGATTGCGTATTGCTTGGACGTTCTCGACTCGCGCAGGCATTTGTTTGCCGATCTGCTGGAGCAGGCAAACGGCCTCTTACATGCCCACTTCTTTCTGCAAGATGAGCGAGGCCAGTTGGAAAAGCCAACCTGGAACGATTTTCATAGGCGTTGATTGCATGTGCTCAACAGGGCTAACTCGGAGGGATGTTTCGCGGTAGAGACAATAGACATGCCTAGAGAATGAGAGAGAGAAACTGATAAGTAGCTCGTAACGGTAATAGATACCTCCCCTCAGCTCAGCTCTCACACATCAATCTGACCCTGAACCCCGTAATACCTGTCCCAGAAGGCCGTCAAGCTTGCCAGGCGCAGACCCGGCGCCTCCAGCCTCGACGAGCCAGCATTCCAGACCTTGATCAAGGACCCCTCGGAGCCCAACGCAGGCCAAAAGTTGTCTTCGTCCTCACGCTCGTCTCCCGGGCGCCCGCTCCGCACAAAGCGAGCCAGAGCGTCCGAGATACTCTGTGAAAGCTCCCTGTCGGCGTCCGTCCAGTTCCACTTGAACGCGTCCAGAGTGCCAAAGGCGTATGGCACCACGGCGCAGTGGAAGGCGCGCGCCCGCGACTTCCTGTTCTCGACCAGGTCTGCCTCTTGCGGGATGGGCGGCGCCCGCTCAAACCGAAAGTACCACGCCGGGGATTTGAATTTCTGCGACTGCACCCGCGCCGCGGTCCACGTCGACCACGTGAAAACATGGTCGGCAAGCAGCTGCGACGACGCCCACCTGACCCCTTCCCCTTCGTCATCCGCCTCGGCCGGGTACAGCCGCAGCGCGTCCTCGGCCTGGTCTTTGAACGTCTCGCGCACGTACGTCTCGAAGTCTTCCACCGAGGCCAGGAAGGGCATGCCCGAGGCTTCGTTGCCGACGTTGCCCGCCAGCAGGGGGACGTCGGCGGCGCGACCTTTCAGCAGCGCCGCGAGCGGCGACTCCGGCAGCACGTAGCCGTCCACGATGGGGTTGGCCGTGTCGAAGAGGCTCAGGCTCGTCCTGGCCGCCGGCCACAACGCCGCCCGCCAGATTCCCTCGGACCGGGGCAGGTGCACGCCCGCGATGGCGGCGGGGTGAAGGGCGCGCATCTCGTCGATTGACTTGGCGCCGAGATGGGACTGGAGTTCCAGGCCGGCCTTCTCCGCGGCAGCGAGGCCGGTGAAGGCCGCGACGTGGCCGTGTGCGTCGTCACCTGGAAGGAGGGGCGCGACGCCGGGTCCGCTCTCGACGACTGCCTTGGAGAACAGCCCCCGGGCGAGCGGCGAGGCGCGGAGGATGTGCACACTGCAGCCGCCGGCCGAGGCGCCGCCGATGGTCACGTTGGCCGGGTCGCCGCCGAAGCGGGCGACGTTGCGCGAAACCCACGCTAGCGCCGCCACTTGGTCCTGGATCCCGTAGTTGCCGCTCGTGCCGTGGGGAGACTCGGCCGTCAGCTCCGGATGGGCTAGAAAACCCAGCCGCCCGAGCCGGTGGTTCACCGTTACCACCGTAAGCCCTGCGGACGAGGCAAGGTGCTCCCCCGAGTAGATGGGGTTGGACACGGAGCCGAACTGGAAGGCGCCAAAGTGGAACCAGACCAGCACCGGCCGGAGTGCGGTATTCTTGGTGCTGTCTTCTTCCGGGCCCGTGTAGATGTTGAGGTAGAGACAGTCTTCCGAAAAGGAGGTTTCGCCTCCGTAGTAGATGGAGTTGGGCGGCGGCGCGAATTGGAAGGCGGCGGGCGGGAGCGAGGTGGCCGACCGCACGCCTGTCCAGGGGACTGCGGGCTGTGGGGGACGCCAGCGGAGCGGACCGACGGGCGGCGCAGCATACGGAACCCCGAGGAAGGCGCGGGTCTTGTTGGCAAGGACGAGCCCTGACACGAGGCCGGATTCGGTCTCGACAGGGGCTGAGAGGGAAGACTTGGCGCTTTCAAAGTCAGTCATTGTAATGTAAGGGTATGATAGTAGAACTGCGAGTAGTCGATCGTGATGGGAGCTATTGAAGCTGATGGGGAAGAAGAAGAGGTGTCTGACAAGGGGAAGGTTCCGAAATATATGCAAGAGTTCCAATAGACGTGTACAGTGTACAGCGTACCTTGGTACATGTACATACATACAAGAGCTCCCCTCTTGCATCCACCTGCTTACATGGCATTGTGGGGGGAAGGGGGAAGACGGAGGGGATTACCTCTTCTTCATGGGTGATTTCCCGATTCGGATTTCACCTCGTCGTAAATCTTCAGTTCCCCTTCCATTACCCCTTCTCACTGCTCTGACCGGGCAGCTTCCGGACAGGTTGTTCCTCTCATAAGACCATCGAAAAAGGCCATGTCGACGCCCTGGAACGGCCAGTCATTGGCTCCGGCCGCGATCGGAGGAAGTGTGGCATAATTCCGCAAAACCATGGTATCATAGCTAGAATTGGGGCACTGCATCACCGACTGCTCAAACCAGGGTCCCTGTAACTGCGTGCTTGTCGATGAGGGGCCAACCGACAGCTCGTCCGAAAGCGATGCACGGGATAGAGACGTAGCCGACTCGCCTGATGTACCCGGACCTTCTCTCCGCGGTGCATCAGCTTGGGGTGTTCGATGCACCCGAGCCACGACATTCCCGACGGACAGTTCCCGCGAGATCGGACCTTGGCGCGAGATCTTGATGACCCCGAGGTACGGAATACTCAACTGCAGGGCGTCTCCTTCAACCGCATGCTCGTCCCCGCCACTTACGCTATCTGTTTGGTAATTGGTGCCATCAGCCGCGTCGGCCTCAATCTCCAGCAAGCGCCGGATCAGTTGGGCGCTCTTTTCGCTCATCACATCGTTGCCCATGTTTATGTCCCGCGTCACATCCATGCGTTCCAAAACCTGCTCAAGTAGGGCCCGGTCACTGAGCCGCTGATGAGCCAGGACGTCGGTAGCTTCTCGGTGGCGATGGGCGTCAAGGTGGGCGAGCAGAAGCGTCATGGCCGCCAGGAGGGCGAAGAAGTCGACAGGCCGCGAGCACGATGACATAGGATTAAACGTCCGGTGGGCAACGAAGCGCGTCATGATCTCGCGGCTGGAATTGACCGACGTGATTTTGGAGTACTCGTGGATTGAGCTCTCCCCAATCCGCATCATATACGGCAAATGGAGCTGGATTAGCAGGCCATGGTAGTAGACGTGCGCTCCCAGACGCAGCGTCTCCAACAACGTGTCGGGTGACCCCGGCCGGAGGTTGTGGAAATTCGGGGAGCGCCAGAAACTGGCCGGCATACTCCGCGACACACTCAGGAGCTCGGCGTCAATGGATTGTGTTGTCGAGATTTGATCCGGGGAAAAGGGGCTCTCGTTGCGTTCTAAGATGCGGGCTGCAATGACAGTGAGGAGCCGTTCAAACCTACCCAACGGGGGCTGGTGCTGTAGGGCGGACACGGCGCTCATGGTCTTGTCCGACGTGCCCTGGGGCAGGCTCAGGAGCAGGCTGAGGTAGCGGTCCATATACACGATCCGAAACCAGATAAAGCCGGGATCGGCATCAAGGTCCGGGTCTATGCGCCTGACAGGGGGGACGGGCGAGCGGTGAAGCCCCATCAGCTGAGCGACAGTCATTGCCCTGCGGTAGACAGCCCAAGCCCAACGCAGATTGCCGCAGTTGACTTCGTACGCTCCCTCCAGCAGGATGCAAATGAGACACTCAAGAGAGCCGTGCATCACTTCCTTGGTGGTCACCCATGTCCTGGCGGCCGTCACCAGGCGTCGTGCGAGCACGCATGGCGGCTCTGAGAGACCTTCGGCTCTTTCCCCGGATGGACTTTGCAATGTGATAGCAAAGGTGAGCATCAGTCTGGCCAGCATGACGGGATGCATGCCGGGACGAGGCCACCGAAGATCGGCCGACGGATACGGTGCCGCAAGCGCCTCCGGGGTCATTTTGCTATGCGGCAGAGTGTTAATGTGATGCGTGTAACGCGAGGGCCGGAGACCCTCCCGCAGCAGGATCCTGATATCGGGTTCAGACGGGAGAGCAGCCACCAGGTGACGGAGGGCGGTCTCCGTTTCGGCCTGATCCGATATTACCTGGCAATCTACCGATGGATTTTGCGAGTCCGGCGTGAGGAGAGACGGGTCCGGAGTGAACCCTCTCAGCGCCTGATGACAAATCAGAGACAGTTTGTCTCGCCGACGAGCGGGTTACGTTACCTGTGGAGAAGGCTGAAAGGACGGCTCGTAGGAGCGAGGCCTCGGAGCAGCATCATGACCGTCGAGTGAGAACCGCCCCTGGCGCGGCTCACTATCGTCGCGGCCACCGTCATGCCTGTTCACAAGAAAGTCTCGCATGAAGTCCTCGACCCGGGCAATGCGCTCGCCGAGACGCCGGTTGTCCTTCCTGGCGGGAGGCGGGGACAGGTCGTCCGCCGGCACCTCCTGCGGCACACAGGGCACACGCCGATGTTGGCAGCCGATGCAAGTGGCATCCCCGGGCGACGCTAACATGCAGCGGATTTTGCGGCGTTTGCACTCCCAGCAAGACCTCGTTCCCTTGCGCACCTTTCTCCGCCTTGCTAGAAAATCCATTTCTCGTGCCGGTGATGATGTGGATGCCGCAGTAAGCGGCTCCTCGTTGCGGGGACCGTCTATGGGTGATCGTCGAGAATCCATTGCCGTGTTCCTTCACTGCTACAACGGCAAAAGTTGCAAGCTTGACGTGAGCGGAGCGGAGAATGCGGTTGGGGCGATTGGTCCATTTATTTCCGCCGCGGTCGAAAGCAAGTTTCCGCCGAGGGTAACAACGCTGCTCCGCCGCGGCGCAGCATTTGTCAGCTTAGGAGCAAAGACGAACCGTGCTTATTTTCTCCGTTTACACGTCCTCCGCGGCGATTGACTCTTGGCTCCCAACGCCGTGTCCGCACGCCTTCAGCCAGGGGGGCAACCATACTTGAGGCACACGATGGGCTGTTCAACCGTCAGGCTGCATTTTTTGCAGTTCCCAGATGAGCATAGCCTCATTCTGGCCCTTTTCACTGCTGCGTCGATATGGCATCCCCAACCGCTCAGGACGGCATGTCCAGGCTGAACGAGACGCCTCAGGCTCCTGCCCACCACGACAGCGACACAGGTACCAAGACGTCCGATGGCGAGAAGCCGATCGAGCCTTCAGGCCCTCCTGAGAAAGGCCCTGGTGCTACGCCGGGTCCTCCCCCAAATGGCGGTGTCGTCGCCTGGCTCCAGGTCGTCGCCGGCTTCTTCATCTTCTTCAACACATGGGGTATGCTGAGCACCTTCCCCGTGTTCCAGACCTACTACGAGTCCGGCGAACTGTTCGAAACCTCATCGGCCAACATCTCGTGGATCGGCTCCATCCAATGCTTCCTTCTCCAGCTCACCGGCATCATCTCGGGGCCGGTGTACGACCGGGGCTACCTCCGCACCCTTCTCCTCGTCGGTAGCTTCATGGTCGTTTTCGGCACGATGATGCTCTCTTTGTGCACCGAATACTGGCAGGCGCTGCTTGCCCAGGCCTTTTGCGTCGGCATCGGCGCCGGTCTACTTTTCGTGCCCACCGTGTCTCTCATTCCAACCTGGTTCAGCACGCGGATGGGTCTCGCTGTCGGCATCGCCTCGTCGGGCTCGTCCCTCGGCGGCGTCATCTACCCCATCGTCCTCTCGCGCCTAATCACGCAAGTCGGCTTCCCCTGGGCCGTGCGAGCCATCGGTTTCATCGCCCTCGCCACCTTCATCCTGCCGATCGTCGCCTTCAAATACCGCATTCGGGTTCCCAAGCCGCGTGCCATGATCGACTGGTCCGCCTTCACCGACTGGCCCTTCATCACCTTCACGCTGGCCGTGCTCATCATCTTCATCGGTCAGACGGTGCTGCTCTTCTACATCTCCTTCTACCCGGAGAACCGGCACTTCACCGACACGTCGCTGGCGTTTTACATTGCCGCCATCTTCAACGCCGGCTCGACGCTCGGCCGGATCCTGCCCAACGCACTGTCGGACCGCATCGGCGTCTTCAACACCATGGCTCCGCTCACCATGATTCTGGGCGTCACCCTGTTTTGCCTCCTCGCCGTACACAACGCGGCCGGCATCATCGTCCAGGCCATCGTAACGGGCTTCCTCAGCGGCGTCGTCATCGCCCTGCCGCCCGTCTGCTTCCGCATCCTCACCGCAAATAAGGCCATGATTGGCACCCGGGTCGGCCAAGGCTTCTCGATTGCAGGGTTTGGTTTGTTGCTCGCGGGACCAAGTGCAGGGACCATCCTCGGCACAGTGGAACCGCTGAACTGGACCGGCCTGTGGGTGTACGCGGGCGTTACGGTTTGCGCGAGTTCCCTGATCTTGTTTGGTCTCCGGTTTTCGAAGTCTGGGCTGGCCCTCAAAGTCAAATGTTGATAGCACAAAACTTCGAACCGTCAACAGTGATCACGGTGTGCTTGCATGCTGGCTTAGGGAGATGAACATTGCGATTGGCATAATCAAGGGTAGCATTGTCGAAGAGAAGGACGAACATAAGCTGCAGGTGCAGCCGCAAGGCAATACACTGGTGATATCCAAGGGCTTGGTCGTTGGTGGATGGAAAGAATTCATCAAACAGGTCGATAATTTTGGCCTTGGCACTGGTCGAGACGAGAGAGGTGGAGCACATTTGGGTGTGCGGATCGGGATTACCCGAGGAAAGAAGTTGACATACGGAGGTACCCGACATCAAGAGAAGTCAACGACACCATTAATACTAGGGATACCTGGTCTAGAACTTATTACAGCGGCTAGAAGAACCCATATTTAATCCTAGTAAACAAAGCAAGTTCATTCTTGGGCAAAAGGCCCTTATTTAACAACTTGCAACCATGCCTCGATTATCCGTAGAGCTACAAGTACATAGGTACCTCAAGATCTTGCAGTCCGTGCGCACTCGCCAAGAGGTTCCTGGTGACTGTTGCTGTGCATGATTCTGTGCTTGCAAAGCTTGGATGCCCTCTCATCTTATCAGTTACACGTCTCAGAATGTGCCACGGTGTATATAAGGTAGTATATACCTTAGATATGTGCATATGATAGAGTTAGGTTATTATCGGCTTGGCTATGTCAAGTTCATGCTGCCAAGCCTAGACACTTGCAGGAAGGTGTCCTGTTGGAAATACGCCCCCTGTAAGCTTAGTCGGTTATTAGGCCCAGTCAGGGGTTCCATCCTCCTACAGAGATTTTCCACTTCCATCCACCTACCTGCCAATTGACAACCACTACGAATTCCATCACCACTTTAGCGTACACGTATACGATGCCCAACTGTGCTTTCTGACATGTGCGTGCATGCAGGTACGGATAATACGATGCAGTGTTCGATGATGGTGTTAGGTCACTTGGTCAGTGTGCTTGAGATAGCTGGGTTTGAACGAGATGCTAATAAGGTATGTACATACTCCATACACATAACACAACTTTAAAGGTTCCACGAGAGAAACGAACCTTGCTGTTGACTCTTGATGACAGCCTTGAGCATCAATGATCAAAATTTGCGGATGCTTCAGCACACATGAATACCCTGCTTCCCGCTCTCCGCTTTATTCGTTAGCGTCTGTCCACTGAAGACAAGGGGTCAGACACCAGAATTCAGATATCGACATCAGGACAGCCACTCCTTTTCCCCGAAAATAGGCTTCGAGGAAAATAAGTCCTCAGGGCATTACTAGTATTCTGCGTTCTGCTTTGTGGCATTGAGTTATGGAGGTTTTATAACTGTTTGAGCGGTGTCTTCTGAATTTGGGACACGGCCCCTGTCGTGAAATGCTGCGCTACCGGTAAGGTTAACCAGACGAGCCGAGAGGCCCCGCCGGAGTGGGTGCCAAACTGTAATCTCTCCCGCTACCATTCGCTCCTGCATTAGCCTCACGAAGCGACGAACCAACGGGTTCCCGTGCCGCTTGCCCGCTTTGTTAGGGTCGCCGAATCTTCTGCGCTTGTCTGCCGCGATGCTGCAGACAGCCAATCAACATGAACGCCAAAATCTCTTGAAGAGGAGGTGGGGGCAGAATTAGATTTTACAAAGTGCGCGATGGGAGATGCACTGTGATCAGTGAATGCCGTGAAGGATTCCATGAGGTTGATGAGTCGATGAGGTCACCATCCACGAGCTCTTCTCCTTGATTGTAACTCCAACGTGAGTCCCATCCTGAGTTCCAAGCTTCCGGGTCCTCCAGTTATTTAATTCAAAGACTACTATCAAGCCTTCAAGTTGCTGCCGAATTACCTTACCATGCCTCGATGCCTTCAGCGCATAGCCTGACTTCTCAGCTGGCTGTGCCCCTCGTGACATGCACTGTGTTGACGAGACAAGCGTCGGGCCCCTGGTGAGTCCCTGACAGATCAGGTTCGAAGCGGCGCAACTTAAGGATGACGAGATCTCCGCGCTTGCGCTATTCATTCTGGTCCGTCATCTGCCTTTTTTCCCCTTCTCCTCCCACCGCCACCGCCATATGAGTCCGAACACCACTGCACGATGAGGACTTTCGGGTGGGCGGCCTTGGTGGTGTTCGTCTCCCAGCTCACCTTAGCCCAGGATCGCAGAAGCTGCTACTACCCCAATGGCGACTTGGCTCCCGGCGACTTTCCCTGTGACCCCAGTGCCGAGCACAGCGCCTGCTGCTTTGGATGGACGGGCACATCTTGCCTGAACAACAACCTGTGCAAGGGGTCCGACGAGAAGGTAATACGGGGGTCGTGCACAGACAGCAATTGGGATTCGCCGGCATGTCCCAAGTATTGCTTCAGTGAGCCCGCAATGCCCACGATACGTCCAAGCTGTTGCGAGCGCTGACGCCGGGAAACGCAGATCGGGACAATGCCGGAATCGACCTTATACCGTGCTCCAACGTGACTCGCACCGACACGTCTTTCTGCTGTGACGGTAGCGTCGACTGCTGCGATAGTGGGGTCGGCCGCTTCGAAGTTCTCCCTTCCAAACCGTCAGTTACGGCAACCTTCAACGCGAGGTCAGGCTATCAGCTAGTCGGTGTTTCTACGACACGGAGTACCTCGGTCTCCAGAGGGACCACTTCGACATTGTTAACTTCAACTTCCGAGTCTCCAACTTCGACTTCTGCAGGCACGGGTGCCGCAACAACGACTAGTGCCAGCAGCAGCCCCACGGCGGTCCCGTTGCAGACAGAATCATCGCCAGGCCTCTCCACAGCCGCGCAGGCGGGGATTGGCGTCGGCGCGGCGGTCATTGCCCTTCTCCTTGCTGCAGTGGTCTATCTGCTCTGGAAACTGAAAAAGAAGAACCAAGGGCCTCCTCCAGGAGTCAACCCAGTGATGTATGCTAGCGAAATGCCTGGATCGGCCGTATACAGTCCGACAAAGTGGCCAGTGGTGGAGATGGACGGAAGGGTCATGCATTATGGCAGGAACAACCAAGACTTCCATGAGCTCCCTGTACCTACAGCCAGATAACTCCAGTCGAAGCCGTGTACTTTATACATGTAAGCCGGGCATACTACCAGTAACGATAGCATGCATGCTGGCGTTTTGGAGGATAGTTTGCTTTCAATTTAGGGTTTTTCAGCTTAGAGTTGGAGAGTTTTGCTGAGAATCCCATGGGATGCATTTCGAGGGTTTCCCCTGGATCTTTAACGCCTTGTTAGCAAAACAACTTGAAGTATCGGAATTGAAGTCCATGCCGTCGGGTGCTTATGCCGTGCTTTGCGAGGGTAGGTACAGTATGCGAGTATGGCAACGCTGCAGTGGGTCACAACATTCATTTACAGCCCAGCCATGCTTCAAGACCTAACGTTGAGCAGCATACGAACAGCGACTGTAGATGCCAAACTTGGAATGGATGTACTATGTTGTGTGACGGCGCTTAAGCGGTATTATTGAAGGCTCAGAATGGTCGACATCGGGAACTTCAGCTTGAGGGTAAAACGAACTGCTGTCTGAACAGCCAACCTGAATAGAATATCAGCATATGTCCAACAATAGAATTCAACGTCAAGGGAAACTTGCCCTGAGGCCGTCATTCCCATCGACCATAGGACGGCAACAAGGGAAAAGATGTAAATATCCATGATAGTACCTCCTATTGGCCTTCGATAGTACCCTAATTCCCTTGTGTAACCCGCCCGCTGTGTAAGGTAGGAGACCTTCCGCGTTGCCTTCGGCTAGGTCAAGTGAAAGCACATTGGAGGTAAACACGGAGGGCAATCCCGATACCCTATTCATTGAACCAAGGGTGCTTTAGCGCCTCCCGGGCAGTGATCCGCCTCCGAGGATCGAGGCGGGTCATCTTGCTAACCAGATCCTTGAACTGCGGGTCCACCGGATACCAGTGACTGAATGGCTTTCTCTTCTTGTCCGCGCTATCGAAGGTAAGGAGTAGATTTCCGAAGCGCTGGACAAAGGGATTCTCCTCTCCACCATGGTACTCAACGAAACCGTCAAAGTCGTCAACGTCCTAGGCGAAATGAGACACGTGGAAGTTGAGTATCATGTCTGACGGGTCCTCAGCCTCGATTGCCTCGTCCGAGTAGAATACCATCCGGTTTAGCCAGACGTATATAGCCTGGACCAAGGGAGGAAACTCATCAATATCTGGGAAACAAATATTTAGAATAAGTTGAAGAGAGCAGTGCAACCTACGACGATGCCGAAAGAGACGATGTCGGATGGAGTATGCTGCGCTGCTCTTGCCCACGCTTGAGGGCTCCTCCAAAACTGGTTTCCGGAGAGGCGCTTTCCAAGACCAGGAGAGCCGGGAGGCAGCACCACGCCGTCCTCTAGGTCCGTGATCCGCACATTTCTAAACCCAATGGTTCCATCACCCTGCACAAACGAATCCATCATGATGTTGGCGGGTTTTATATCTGACCGATATGTTAGCAGTCAGGTATGCAATTGACGGACCGAGGTAACGGATGGACGACAGACCTGTATGATAAATGCTCTTGTCGTGGAGGTCAGCCAAATCGGCAAGAGCATCTTTCAAAATGCTTTTTCTGACAGAGGGTGCGATTGCTGTGATATCGACCAACTGTAAGTTCGTGTCGAGGAAAGGGTATACGAACATATGATGGTTAGGAATGCTGTCAACAAGCGTTCGGACGTGGGCCGAGCCGGCGATGAGATTCTGCAGATCTAGATTGTACTGCCAGTCACCCGGCAGGATGTCCTTAAGCACATACTGCTTTCTCTCGTGGCTGACGCGCTTGCGAGTCAAATTAACCATATTACCCTCGGCCATGAAGGACGACAAGAGCCGTGCTAACAAAAGCTCATTGTGGAGCTTACCTCGCGCGATACAAGCAGCATAACAGCCTTCCCCTCGACCGCTGGTAGATGACCTCTTTAATAATGTATGTTCTCCCCGAAGAGGACGTGACTTGTGTTCCTTTGGCGAGAGGCTGGTGCTCGGTGGCCATTGGAGGAGAGGCTGTGATCGAATACGTTCTGCTGCATGGGACTTGGCGTGGTCCTGGAGCGCGAGGGAAACAGCGTGACTGAGAACTAGGGTGGTTCAAAAGAGGGTATGTGTTGGCTGATAACCCAGGCGCGGACATGGGCGAAGCAGGCGCGCAGACTGTGCTACTGCCATGTATGCCATGGTGACTGAAACAGGCGATGCATAAGCGCGATGGAATGATGGTGTGGGATGCATGTGGGATGCATGTGGGATGCATGTGGGTGTGGATGTAGGACAGGAAGGAGCAACGCGACAATCGCGCATTGCAATCGCAGTTTCTTTCTACGGCGCGCACAATTGTCAACGCGCCATGACAGCGCGTTGAGCTTGAACGATTCAACCTCCTAAAAGGAAAGACCCTCAGGGCAATACCAACAAGAATCCTGGTTATACAGATGAAAAGCAATAATGAGTAGAGGTGGTGACGTGGGTTGTATTCCGTTCTTCAAAACAAACGGCAATTGAAGAGAGGCTGAGGTTGTCGTTGCCGAAACCAGGGGCGGAACGTAGCCTCCAGGCACCCTACATAAACCTAACCCTTTTGCCCACTTTCAAGCTATCACTTAGACAACCAAAGAGGCTCAATACCTGGTAGTGCTTCTTGACTCTGGGAGGAAAGAAGACAGTTTAGTAAGTGCTTCAATGGGAGTTTTGCTCCAAATTTTTGGGTTTTATGTTTATATTCCATTTTAGGCTCAAAATATGAGGTTTCCTGGGCCCCAAGTCGTGGGGGCCGCAGGCAGTGTAACCCCTCCCCCTCCTCCTAGTGGCACTAGTACAGTACTCAAGTTTGTATGTGCCAAAAGGTCTTGAAAAGGACATGGGCAGAAGACAACTTGAATTAAAATACAATACACAAACGACCGGAAGACGTCACCGGGAGTAGATTATACAATCGAGCCGTTCGTTGGCTTCGCCAAGCTGACAGCAAGCACCAGATACGGTAGGGATTGGTAGTACAAACTACCAAGCTGATTAGTACCCGTGACATTCAACCTACGGTAAGTTCCTGTCAAAGCCGACGGTCAACTGAATGGCTTATAAATCTGGACAGAGTTCCGACGGATTTGTCACTAAAGCCTACTGCCACGGAGCACCGCGGAGAGCGCTTTCAATTTCACTTGTATATATCATGGTGGAATGTCTGAGGAAGACCGGAAGCACTTTTAAGATCAACTTGAGCAAGGCTGATTCCAACAACGCCCGCAGTCGGGTATCTCTCCGGTCAAAACCGTTAACACTAGGAGCGCTCCTGCCTATATTGTGCCCCATCTCGTGCAGAAGGTGCAGGTACAGATCCACTGCCCGCACCATGTCTAGTACGACCATTCTCATCACCGGCGGTAATCGTGGCCTGGGTTTGGGACTGGTTAAGAAATTCCTGTCTTTGCCAAACCATGTAAGTTCCTTCGCCCTCGCCCTCGCCATCACTTCTTCCAGACTTCACGTGCAAGGCACTGACTGGAACTACCTGGTATTCAACAGACGGTCATTGCCGCGAACCGGAACCCAAGCCACCCAACCTCTCAGGCACTCGCCGAGCTTCCCAGGGGAAGCGGCAGCCGGTTGATCGTCGCCAAATACGATGCTTCCGTCGAGGGAAGTGCATTCGATGTCGTGACGCAGATTCAGGGGCAGGAGGTTGCCCACCTGGACATTGTGGTCGCCAACGCCGCCATTGTCACAGACTACCCCTTGGTGAAGGACGCTAAGCGAAGCGACATGTTGGAGTACTACCAGGTGAACGTGCTTGGCCCGGTCGAGCTCTACCAAGCTACCAGAGATCTGCTGCAAAAGTCGTCCGGCAAACCGATTTTTGCCTTGATGGGTTCTAGTGCAGGTGCGCTTGGGTGAGTTCATCATCTTCACCTATCTTCACCACCGCATTCGTGTGTGCATGATGTGTGTATGGTGTTGGAGAAACTGAAAAACTGACTCTGTTGGTAGACGGCATCTTACCGTTCCAAATGCATTGTACGGACCCACAAAGGCCGCTATCGCCTGGTATGGCCTGAGGATTAACGCCGAGGACGAGTGGTTGAATACCTTCACCTTGGACCCCGGGTGGACACAGACAGAGATGGGCAATTTGGGTGCAAAAACCTTCGGACTGTCGGAGGCTCCTATAAAGGTCGAAGACAGCGTGGAGGGCTTATACAAGGTTCTCACCACGGCAACCAAGGAGAAGTATGGTGGCAAGTTGGTCGAGTACACTGGCAATATCATGATATTTTGAATGCATGAGAACTTGGGGGGCAAAGAAATAGACCAGGACTTGAGATCTACTTTCTTTTCAAGGAAAGAACCGGATAGCCCGCGCGCGTGGAACTTGGTGTGCTTCAAGTCCGCATTCACTACTGTTATGGAGAATTCTGACTTGCGCGTAACCTGCTAACAGCGAACGTTCATATGCAAGGCAAAGTGATGGTCTATATCGCCCTCTCATACATGTATCATAAATTCTTCCAGAAATTCTTCCACCAAGTCTCTGCTTTATCATTCCACTCCTTCCTCAACTGCTTCCCCTCATCTAGATCCCTCCGCCGGCCAGACTGCAGGTCGACTTCATCTGATCTCCACCACCTCGTCTTGAAGATGAACTTGTACACGAGGTAAATCACGAAGAACAGCGGTAGCAAGATATACGCATCCACGAACAAGCCGGGATTGAAGGGGGCGAAAGTCGACCACCCCTGGATCAAGGCCAGGAAAACGTTGGCGGCGAGCCCGAAGTAAGCGCTCCACGGGTACCACAGCGATATAAACGGCAACTCGGCCTCTGTATATCCCTGTGCCTTCCACGCGGAGCGGAAGCGGATGTGGATGAAGCTGATAGCACCCCACACAATGAAGGTTGACACACCGCTGAGGTTCACAATGTAGCTGTATGCTTGGCTCGCACCAGTGCTAACATTCATCATGCTCAACGCTCCACACAGATTGGTGAAGAGAATGGCAGGAATGGGGACGCCCCGCCGGTCGGTCCATCCCAAGAGTCGCGGCGCTTTACCATCCTGGGCCATGAACAAGAGGGTGCGGCTGCCGATGTAGATGGAACTGTTGACGGCGCTGAGGCAAGTGACAAAAATGAATGCGTTGATGAGGTGTACCCCGGCCTCCCAACCAGCATTCTGGATGGCAATGGTCATGGGGCTTCTTACGGCCCGGCTAGAGCCTCCGATTAGACCTGGAGCGTTGGCAGGGCAGGTCAGGCCAAAAAAGAAGGCGCTCCCCATGTAAACGACGATGATGCGGATGAAGACCTGGCGGATGGCCAAGGGAACAGCAACACTTGGGTTTCTGGTTTCAGTGGCAGCCACGGCGACGGACTCGACGCCAGCGTAGAAAGTGCTGCAGAAAACAAAGACGGAGGCCACGCCCCTGAAGCCGTCAGTGAAGGCGCCCGGGTCGCGCCAGTACCGGAAGCCAATAGCTTCCGCCCCGTTAACTCCGCCGGAGGCATAGCTGTCAATCGATCAGTTCATGCCGAGCCTCAGCAATGAGCACCCGAGAAGGGTCTTTACTAACACGATACTGAACAGAAAGTAGGCGATTAAGCCAACAATCTTGATCAACGCCAGCCAAAACTCGGCCTCGCCAAACGTTTCGACGCCTAGCAATTGGAATCCTAGAAACGCAAACTGCCGCTACCGTCAGCCGCCGGCGGTATCAATCTCACCAAGCACGAGGTCTCTCAGCTTCCCCCAAGCCCCAAAAGAACGACTCACCCAGAAAATCAAAAAGTACCCCCAAACCGGCACCCTATCACTCCAAAACGTCATGATGCTCGAAATGACATTATACTCATTCGCCAAGACGCAGAACCAGACAATGTAGTAATTCCACCCCACGGCGACGCCAAAGGCCTTGTCGACGAAGCGATCGCCGAGATGGGTGAAGGCGCCGCCGGTCGGGTACAGGGTGGTCAGCTCGCCGAGGCTCTGCATGATGGAGAAGGCCACGGCGCCAATCACAGCAAACCCGATGAGCAGCGAGGCCGGCCCGCCGGCCGATAGGGCACCTCCCGACCCGATCAGCAGGCCCGGCCCGATAATGCCCGCCAGTGCCATCATGGAGAGGTGGCGGGTTTTGAGCCCGCGCTTGACGCCACTTTGCGGGTCGATAACCCGGAAATCGGCCGTGGGTTCGCTGTCGGGTCCATCGTGGTGGGTTGGGGATTTGAAGGTGTCGTTCCCGACTGGCTCGGACGTTGGATTCACGGGGGGAAGGAGCATGGCGTGAAGTTGCTGTGGTAGGAACTCCCGACTTGTTACTAGGGAAGGTGGAAACCCTATGAACGTCCAGACTTTGGAAGGCTAGCTGTTGCGAGGAAAAGACAGCAGTAACAGAGGCAAATGATTATAGGAAAATGGACTTAACTGATGGCCTGGATCGTGTACTTTTTAGCTTCCTATCAATGTTTGAGCTGCAAGGTACGACATCGCGGATTTGGCAACCGAAAAGCAGGAACTTCGCGAATTACCTGCTCCACTAACACAGTTGTAGTTTAGCCCCGTTGTGATTTTGCTAGCAAGGCTCGTCGCATCACACCTGCCACGGATCACGCAATGCGTTCCACCTGCTCGGACCTAAGGCGTGGAGTTCCATTCCACCCGGCATCCGTATGAAACTGCGATGGCCGGTGACATCATCGGCGCCCATTGCCCAGGCTCCAGGGCTCTGTAGGGTTTATGGCGAGCTACGTGTAGCGACCGACACTGTTTCAAGTTCCAGGTTGGCAAAGCGACCTGAACCAACCCCGCGAAATATTTGCCGAGCGAAAGCAGTTGCACGTGGCTCAAAAGTTTGGAACCATCAACAAGATTTACTGCCAAGCTAGACCGCCCGTCTGACATTCTTACAGGGTTAGGGTTATAGAGTACTCTATTTTCTGGGGCCGTCGTCGCAATTTCGCAAGTCCATCGACAGAATCCCCACTTGTACATCTTTACTCGCAGAACCACAAAATACAACTGGCCAGCTTCTTATACCCGGATGGGTGCTGGCCGGGCCCTATCATAAGACGCCAGTTACGAATCAGCGCCATGTTGCGGGCTAGGAGACAGCCCAGGCTTGGAGAAGAGTTGCCCGACCACCACCACATTGCTCAAGCCATGAGCTGCGCTCTGCCCTCCAGCTAATCGGCGTGCTATAACTGCCTACAGATAGGCGGATGGCCAAGTCATCCCAAACCAGTATCACACGTGGTCTGGAAGCACTCTGGCGGTTGAGCCTCACGACTCGGATGTGCCAACAATGCTTGTTCCTTTGCGAGCTTCGGTTCCAGACCTTTTGTTTTCGGAGCGGCACGGTTCGACAAGCCGTAGTATACTGCTATAATCAGGTATCACAAGCACTCACGAGGACAGATCGAACTGTCTCTTTACCTATTTAGGTAGCATGGCGACGATGGCGTAGGGCTGAATCGTGACGTCCGTAGTCATGCATGCCGGCATCCACGATATAATCCAGGCTATCGACCGATCCGAGGACGAAATCATCGAAATGCGGCTGCCCACAGTTCTCACTGCCCTCAAATCTCCATGGAGCGTCTCCGCACCTTTATCTGGCTTTTTGGAGCGGTTTCCTGTTCCGGGCGGCCCTGGGATGGCCCAAGGGTGACACCATACACCGGGGATGCTGCAAGCGGTAGTCGACTGGGAGCGTGGGAGGCTGCTCGAGCTGTAACAGACTCGTCAGGCCTTGTACCGCTCCCGACCCCAGTCATATCACCCGGGTCAGACGCATTCGCCCCATCTCCGAGATTCTGCGGTTGGCTGTGGGGCAACACAACGTGGGAATGCCCTCCGTTCGAGACATGCCTCACTAGAACAGATCGCTCAGCCGTGGGATGCTGCCGCGATACGACAAACATCGACACTTGCGCCATGTATACAAGATGCGTCGAGTATACTGAGCTGTCGGCCTGCTCGTCTGACTGCGCTGCCGATACGAGCGTCCTGAAATGGTAAGTTAAGGTTCTTTTCCTCCACTTAGCATGTCTACCGTACAAATAGTACCAGTACCACAATTGAAAATAACTAACTCGCTCTAGTTCATCCCAGTTTCCCCGCTGTGGTGTCCTCACCTTTGACACGAGCTACTTCAGTTTCGTGTCCAGCGACGACAAGTATTACTGGCGGATTGCTACAACGCCTTCGAACAGCTCCACGTCGATTCCGGGGTTTCCTCGCTACGTTGAAGCAGTCGCTATGACCACCAGTTCTGTGACCTCGATGACCTCCACGGCCTCAGGGGCATCATCTTCAACAACAGGCTTCAGCACTAGTCTGGGAGACTCAACACCAGTGGCTTCCGTCAACGTGGGTGCCATCATAGGGGGTGCCGTTGGGGGACTGGCTGTAATCTGTTTCACAATCTGCCTGTTCTTCTTCCTTAAACTGCGTCACCAACCTTCCCAGCCAAGCCCGGACATGGCTTATGTGCCAAAGCACCCTCCAAGCGAATTGCCGGTCTCACCCGGGAGCCAAGGGCATGAACTGGACAGTCTCCCTAGGTCCCCAGGCCCAATGTAAACAACGGGCTGTTAACGGCGATCTTCAACAGACATCTCCCTGTCAAAAACAGTCCGAGGGACAACCTGAAAGATTAACCAAACTGTTCCTTTCCCTTACAACCAGGAAGTTTTCGTTTGAGATTGACTGAAGGATAAGGAGAAACAAGCAGATTACGAGAGCGGAAGCTCGTTGAATGGCAGATGTATCCCAATAAGGTACCTTACAAATACCTAAACCGCTTGCAAGATCATCCCCGATGCCACGGCATCCACCCGCTCGGATCCAAGCACCAGCCCCGCCAACGAAACGCAAGCAGTCCGTTAATTGCCAAGCTTGTCAGACAGCGAGTTGATGAACTTGCACCGCTGAAGCACCTTCTCCCTCTCGAGCTCCCGCTTCCGCTCCTCAGCCGCCTTGCTCTCCATCTCGCCGAATTCCACACCGCCGTCCCCAATCGGCATCTGCATCTCCTCCAACCCTTCACTGCTTCTCGCTCCATCATCGTCCTTCAACTGGCAGCTCCCTGTCCCCAGCGGACCCCCAATCACCCGCAGACTGACGCTCTCGTCGACCGGCTCAGTGAAGGCTTCCGGCCATGCGCCGAGACCGTCCGCATCATCCCTCGCCTCGGGATTCCCGGTGTACGCAAACCGAATGAAGCTCCCCGCCATTGCCCTGGCCAGCTTCGCATCCGCCTCAGACACCTCTCCCTCGGGGAACACACCGTTGAAGATGTAATTCGTGTCGCTTCCGTGGCAGGTGCCGACGTAGGGCATTCCCGCGGGGCCATGGAACATGGGGGTCAGCATGCTCTGGTTAAGCGTATACAGACGCACGCCGGCGAAGCCCCGATCCAAAGCCCGGCTCTGCCTGGTTATTGCCGCGCCAAAGTCGATGCTAGAGCACGTAAACAGCATGTCCCGCAGGATCCGCGAGACGCGGAACCAGTGCACCGGCGCGGCTGGGTCCTCCTCGCGCTTGCGGGCTTCATAGTTGGCGGCGTCCTGCGCAAAGTCGGCGGCGGGATAGAGAGAGAAGAGCCGGCTGTAGTCGTCGTCTGTGAGGGCGTGCGCAAACCCTTGGATGGGTGTCTTCATGCTCTCTTCGGTCTCGTAGAGATGCGGGGGACCGGCATTCAGAGCGCCGTCGTCTTGTGCCCAGCCGAAGACGAACGGGATTCCTTCGTGAGTCGTATCAGTTACAGCGTCCAAAGAATGGGGGCATGGAAAGTGGGGTGCTACTTACCCTTGACCATTTTCCCAGCCCTGTAAAGGACGGACTGGCGTTCGGGGATGAGATCCCCATCTACAGAGGGAATGAAGGTAAAGAGTCCGGCGGGAGGATGGTTGCTGACCGAATATTCCATGGCTTTTTCAGTCAGCTCCTCGAATGGGACGGCTCTCAAGCACTCAAGTGTCTCCAGGTCGCTGTCCCTGGAGCACCCCATCTTCTCTGCCACCGCGCGGGTGTGCAGCTCGGTTACGTCGCTGGTCATGTTAAGAGCCGTTGCCGGCGGGCCGGACATGGCCCAGCCCTGGGTAAACGGGACACCCTCTTCGCCGCCATACGAGATGAGGTGGAGCGAGGTGAAGGTGCCCCCAGCGCTGAGTCCAAAGACGGTGATCCTCTCCGGGTCGCCGCCAAAGGCCGCGATATTGTCCTTGACCCACTGGAAGCCGGCTCTCTGATCCCGCATACCGACGTTCATGGACTTATGTTCTTTGAGGATGGGCAACCGGGCAAATCCAAAGATAGTAAGGCGGTAGTTCAGGGCGACATAGATGATGGGTTTGTTGAGTGCCGTGGACAGCGTGATCAGGTTGTCCGGGTCGAAATGGGGGTCGTAGGCAGACCCTTTGACGACGCCGCCGCCGTGGAGGTGGACCACAACGGGCAATTTGTCATCTGCTGTGGTGCCGGCTGGCCGGGAGATGCGCAGGTTGAGACAGTCCTCGCTGATGTTGGGCGTGTCGACAAAGAAGGGGGGGATGCCAGGCTTGGACTGAGGACATGCCGGTCCGGGTGCAGTCGCGTCGACCTCAGTTCCCGGGGGAGGTGTGTATGGCTCCGGAGGGGCGAAGCGCCGCTGAGCGGACGTGTCATGGGCGAACTTGATGTTTAGAAAGTGTTCAACAGAACCTGCTGTGGTGCCCTTGTACCTCACGTTGCTCCTCCCGATGGTTACGGTAGGGTCCGCAAGCACCGAACTCGCAGCCAGACCGAGTAGAGTCGCATGCAGTATGGACTGCATGGTTAGAGACATTACGGCCAAGAGCAGGTGGTGAACTTCCAGGTTGGTGGTTAAGATGTGTTTTATGAAGCACATAAGTCTGGAGGACCGTGACTGTGGGAACAACAACTTGAAGGATGCCGTTGGCGGGTTTTCCGCCTCACAGACACCGATCGGCTCGGGTCCGGGGATAAGATCGGGATTATGTTCCAGGCCCAGAAGGATCTACACGTGTACACATTTATACCGACTTATACTAGTAAGGTGGAACTCTAGGATCTTTATCCATGTTCATATACAAGGGAGCCGCTCCATCGATCGATCGGTAAACAATGCCAATGGTCACAACGGCATTTACGGCACAACCCAAGGGAGCACCGTCTCAACCAGTACCTCCACCATGATGAACGTCTGAATATAGGTATATAGGCATAACGGCGGTCAGTGGCAAGTACAAATGAGTTTTCCGCAGACAGTCAACTTCTCAAACGTGTCGAGTTAGGTAGACAAACAGGTTACAGCTTCCGGAGATTCACACCAAGCAAGCGAAGCAAACAGACAGCATATATTCGTAGACTATAGGGCAAGTCTTGTCGTCTTGATGAGGTCTAGTACTACTCTACTAGTATATTTGCACGAGATTCATTACTACAGGCTTTTGGCATTTGTTCGACCTGATGATCGCTACCTCGATTCCAGTTCTCGTTTCCGTCGCCCGAGGAACGGCCAGAATGGGGTTGAAACCATCTGGAGGGAGCGCGTAGACAGGTCCTCCTTTACTTCTACTACAACCGGACTGAAGGTGAAGATACTAGCACGGTACGAGCTTACCCTGATCACAGCCGTAGGCGACCCCCGTTTCCAACTCTATAGCATCGATCACATGGAATACAGGAGGGAACGTTACATGTACTAGCTTCCAAAGCCTCAGGAGAAGTACATTCAGTGCAATATCCCATGACTGCCCGGGTTGACGGTGGCAGCTGATCGGATTCCCAGAGGAGTTATCATGGTTGCAGACGGGACAACTTGGAGAACCTGTCGGACTGGACCTCCTAAAACAGCTGAGGAGTATACAGATGTCGTGAGCAGTTCTTTGCAGCGCTGGTCCATTGTAGGTCAGATGTAGACTTCTTGGTTCTGGCCACCCATCAAACGCACAAACCCTTGACTAGTTCCCCCGTGTAAGTCGATTCTTCGACGACTGGAGATAGTCCGTGAGGGCCGTGACAATGCTGAGCACCTGAACTTGCTGTTCAGTGCAGATCGGATCTAGGTAACAGGGGAATCTCTGTACACAGCTCCGCTGTCATCTCTGACCAATTTGAATTTGGCATGCTCACATGTCAATACTAGTAGTGTTGTCTAAGGTGCGGGGAGATTGCCAGTGGCGTCCAGTCCCCAGAATGGATCTTATCCCCGGACGTTAGATGTGTTCCACTCACAGAAAGCCGTCTAGGTACTAAGCCCGACGACGCCGACGTATAGTAGTCAAGTACCTCTGCTACAAAAGCTAAGGTACCCCTACGCTTGCCGCTTTCCTAACAAGCCCGGGCCATAGCCGGAGCCTGAACTTTTTGATGCTGCCCCCGAATCGGGTGCGACTCGGGTCTCCTGTCTCCAGCTAACTCGATGATCATGGAATACTCAAATCATCAAACTCACAACATGTTTGTGACATCTTGTGCGTAGCATCAGACGATGTACATACCTGAACTCAACTCTATTGTACTCTCTTGCTCCCATGTGCATCTGACTCTGAGTGCTACTCCTTTGCGAAGACCACTCGGGCCCTCCGAGCTATGAACTGCTTGTTAGCGCGATAGTACCTAGGTAGCACTGGAAGATGATATTTCGCATCAAACCCTTCATGGCAGGTACTTATCGTGAACATACCCACATGCACCATCTGAAGTTCCAACACTGCATGGACCGATGTATCCCTACCTAGGTAGGTTCCTTACCTAACAAGTGAGAGTTCTCTTAGGCCGTGGGCCATACCATGCCTCCCTGATATACAGGTATGCGTGAATGGCTTGAACATCAACCTGCAACGTAACTTGAACCAGCTGGCACCTGGGCATTCTCGAGGTTGAGGCATTATCCGTACCTAGGTAGTACTTACACGTTACACGGGGCGGTTAATGTTTGGCGGTTACCGGTGACCTGGTTTTCAAATACCGATGACAAGGATGGATCATGCGGATTGCGGAGAGTGACTCGGACGAAAGCTCACTACCTAGGTGATGACCCCAGCATCAACAACCAAGATGAGATGAACTTTTGCCCGGTGCGGGGACAGGGGAAAGGGACTATTGTCCAGCATCCATGTGAGTGCATACCAAGGTAGCAGTGTAGTTATATAACTACAATCACACTATCACAACGCAGGAGTATACGTTGCGCACTGTTACCTAAGCTACTGATCTTGTGTACTACACTACAATGCCACGCTACTACGATGGTGTCGGTATATGTGCCCCACCTGCTTGGTTTCGAGTTGATTTCCATACACTCCGGCCCAAGTCGTCGGGCCGATCGAAAGTCCCCCAATGCTCTTGGTGGCCAGATTTGGCAGGCAGCAGCCTTTCCATCCAAATGACGCTCCCACGTGCAGGTGCAGTAAGCGCATGCGCACTTGCCCTTACAAACAAAGTCAATTGTTATTTGGGAAACACCAACTCTGACCGTGCAGTTCGCCTGGGAAGGCAAGAATGTTTGACCGGGACCCCACGAAATTTATCACCAAATCCAGATGCTCGGAGTTATGAGATTTCTGCCGTTTCGATTCCTGCGTTTCGATTCCCGATCCTATCAAGGGGCGCTGGCTCGCAAATGGTCAGTGTCAACCCTGTCGTTGTCCGATCCACAGCAGGGGTTGTTTCCGGACGCCGGGCAGCGCCGAACTTGAAGAAGCCTCATTGGACCATGCATGAGTGGCGTTTTCCCCTGGCCATTTCCTGGCCGCCAATGGCGCTATCGAGATCTTTCAGCATCGACTTCCCAACGCCTACCCTGCTCTTGGCGGGCTTCTAGGTGAGCCTGGACTCTACTCCGTTGGGGCATCACATTACCGTACCGCGTTGCTGGACCCGGCAATGGCAATGGATTATGGGGGTCACGCTGGATGAGAGACACAGGGCACATGCGAGCGAGGCAGTCGACATGACACCTGCCGAACAACCACAACGCGAGGGCGGTCCAGGTTGGAACAACGTTGCCTACCGTCTTCACTACCTGAAATTTCTGGTTGCTGCTATCAACTGCATCTGGGGGAAGTGCGGCAGGGTCGGCGGCAGCAGGACACAATCAATGTTACCCTTCCCTTAAAGACCGGGGTAGGTGCTACCCCTGGATCTGCCACTAACCCCGGCGAAACTAACATCTCGGTACCCCCGCGCATGGCACGCGGGGCAAAATTCCATTTGCCAGACCGTGAACCTGACCCCTAGGCAGAAAGGGGCAATGGCAAACAGTATCTCATAACGGTCGAATTTGAGTGAATTTTCCCCATCATTTCCTTCAGGTTGTTTGGGCCTGTCGCGCCTTTTTCGCTCGCGCCTCCATGTCGTTAGCGCGTTTGGCTCGACCCTCAAATTCACACGTACCTTAGGTAGGTACCTACCCAGTGCTGTCTGCTATGCGCACGCTATATGCTCACCTCACCACATAGCAGTGCGTGTATGTACGGATTGTTCCGATCGGTTGACCTCGGGCCAGACCGCATTAACAATGGAGATACACTTTGCGTGAGCTGGGGCCAGGCCTAACGGCGCGACCCGCTGAGTGACTTCCCCCTTAGCGTCTCCTGACTGCAACCCCTAACCCAGCAAGGCTCCAGAAACAGCAGCAATGTCCGGAGGGGTGACAGCATGCCATTTCCCAGACCCAAACGGCTCACACCTCGGCGTGATACCGGTATGGAAGGTCTCATTGGCTGTTGTCTCTACCTAACCCGGGGTCAGGTCAAGAGCATGGGCCGGCCCATGTGGCCCATGCCTCCCGACCCCCAAACTCATCATTACCACCTCTTGTGATGCTGTTATACGCCGAGCCCTCCGCTTGGCTGGAATGGTTCTGGTTGCCACGATGGAGGAGTATTTAAACTGAGCCATCTTCCATTTTCCTCTCGTTGCCCTGTCCAACACTTTCGGTCCTTACCCATCCATCCACATTCCTTTGGCAAACGCGCCGGAAGCACTTGCTTCATTCACTCCTTCAATTCAAGCTGTATATAGCTACCACTTGTTAACTTAACTTTTATCTATCTATTCCTGTCACTCCTTAACACAATGCGCTCCACTCCTTTTGGCGCCCTTCTGCCTTTCTTGCTGCCGCTGGCTTCGGCATGGAACGCGCCGAGCTATTCCGGCTACCAGCTCGTCTGGTCGGATAGCTTTGCTGGCGCCAGTGCCACGCTGCCGAACGAGAACAACTGGAACATCATTGACGGCAACCTCGGGGTCAACAACGAGCTTCAGACGTACCGGAGGAATACGCGGCAGGTGCAGACCAGCGGCGGCAACACTCTCCAGCTTGTGCCGTGGCGGGAGGGCAACGGGTGGACGTCGGGCCGGATCGAATCCAAGTACACCTTCACCCCACAGCCCGGCCGTCGGACCATGGCCGAGGCCCAAATCCGCTTCGGAGGCAACCCCACCAGCACCAAGCAGGGCATCTGGCCGGCCTTTTGGCTCCTGGGTGACTCGATCCGCCACGGCACCGGGTGGCCCGCGTGCGGCGAGCTCGACATCATGGAGACGGTCAACGGCCAGTTGACGGGTTACGGCACCATGCATTGCGACGGTGTGTAGACTCTACCCTTTCCCCCTTTTATTGAGTGACCGGCCGGTATGAGGCTGACATAATGCCTAAAGTGTATCCCGGTGGCATTTGCAACGAACCCACAGGACGCGGGGCCTCGGTGAACATTCCCAGCCAGGACTGGCAGCGCTGGCGCATTGTTTGGGACCGTACCTCGGGCGACTGGCGCCGCGAGACCATCACCTGGTTCCTGAACGACAACCAGTACCACCAGATCCGCGGAGATCAGATCAACAACCAGAATGTGTGGGCTAGCATGACAGCCAAGCCGCTGTACTTCATCCTCAATGTCGCTGTTGGCGGCAACTGGGTAAGGAGTTGCCCGTGGTTGTTGTGTTCTTGAATGCGTGAGTGCTGACTCGGTATTTCACAGCCCGGCAACCCCAACGGCAACACCCTGGATGGCTACGGTGCCATGATGGAGGTTGGATATGTTGCGCAGTACTCATCGTAACCTCATTTTTGTCTTCATTGTAAACAGTTGCTCAGTTCTTGGCTTTCAGCTGCCTGTACATACATACTTTCCAGCATATGCCATGTCGAGCCACATTGTGGTTTGTCGCCGTATATAACTTGAACGATAACAACTTGCTTTATCCTGTGGGTTTCAAAGCATCGAGTTTTGTTGCATAAGGTACCGCTTTAAAAAGGTCCCTTAGGCATGTGATACGTGACCGTGATGTCATCCGGCCATCGGAAAACTGGACACCACACAATGAGCGGACATAAGGGGCAGTTTCTCCTTATTCACCTCATCTCTGGCAACCAACTCTGGCCTCACTCAATTCTCAATCTTCATCATTCATCCTTCATCTCATCTATCCACCGGCACTACCAGTCTACCAGAAGCACTTCAAACAATGTCCTCTCGTGAGAACAGAGCAACTGCCACCAGTACTAGTGGCAAAGTTGTCGCCCAGACGGAAGGGACCGGACTTGGAACCAGCCCGTCATCAACAGTCTCGTACGAGGAGCAGACGGACTATACCACTTCCTCTGGCAAAGAGGTGCACATCCGGGAAGAGCAAGACGAGACGGGCGTGTTTCGCCATCGGGAGGTCGAGATTCGGCCCGACGGGTCTCAGCACGTTCACAGGGTTTATGAGAACCCGAATAAGGGCACCAGGCTGGAGATTGAGAAGGAGTTTAGTGGCTGATGTTGCTGTTATCTTGCACCATGCAGAGCTGGATTCTACGGTGATTCTCTACATTGGGGCGAGAGTTTATTGGTGGCAGAATTCTTCTGAAATCCTGAATAGAAATTGCGTTTTACAACTAGGAACCTGAGTGACTGAACGGCCGGGGAGTTAGCCATCATCCACGTGATTTGATGAGTGAAGTCTGAATCTCTCGGCGGATTGGGCACTGACGCCGGGTGACTCGGAGTGAGACTTGCGGTCTTTTGCAGACGGAATCCCATGCCCAAGACAACGGACCCCACGACGGTATTTGGTCGTTCCTTCCCATTGAGGGCAACGGCAGAAGTGGACAATTAGGCCACTGACTCATACCATACAGATTGGCTCATTCCTAAACTGATTCAAAGTTTCAAACTTAGACAGCATGGTTTTTCTCGGTCAAGTTCGCTTTATGGTTTATCGAGATTCCTTGCATCCCGATGACTATCCATTGCTGTTAGTGGTGGTTATGGCCGACGGGGGACGGCCGCTTCCTCCAGAGTCAGAGACTCCGTACAATCTCGTCCTCGATCCTTGGAAACACCTGCCGGGACAATGCCTCGTTGAGCTGGACATCTGCATTGCGCGCTGGGTAAGTAAACCGGCTTAGAAGTGCTCAATGACTTTTCAGCCGGTTGGGCAGACCTGACGTCGCCCAGGTGCTGCGATTCCTGAAGAAGACTTACGTCTCGCGGACTGTCTGCCGCGGAACGAGAGACCGCTGGATTTGCGCTCCCAAGGATCACTTTCCTTTGGAGCCGAGTGGATTGCCAAATGCTCCGTCGAGCACGAAGAATGCGGCAAAATTCGTCAAGGAACGTACGAATCTTCCCACCAGAGTCATTGACGTCGGCGATCAAACCAAGCAGCCACGTCTACACGTCAGCCGACCCGGCGAAACAGGAAGATGGGTAGCCTTGAGCTACTGTTGGGGCGGCGACTCGAGTTTTATCTTGACAAAAGAATCCTTTCGAGACCTTCAGAGTGGTATCGCCCTGTCGGTTTTCCCAGCTACGCTCCGGGATGCCGTTGTCGTCACGAGAGCTCTTCAAGTGCCCTACCTGTGGATTGATTGCCTCTGCATCTTTCAAGATGACTTGAGCGACTGGGCAGCTGAGGCACCAAAGATGTCCGAGATCTACAGCCAGGCAGTCGTCACCATCGCCGCAGCTAGCGCCGACGCGGTGACTGACGGGTTCCTACACCGTCGGGCGATGCATGTTAAGTTCCCCATTCCATGGCGATCAGGTGATCCATCCTGTCCCTCATACTCCGTAGACCTTTGTTCAAGGACGACAGCGAATCCAAGCAAAACTGCCCCAGATGGGCGAGCCGGGGATGAACGTTTCAAGAAGAGGTCCTCTCCACCCGTCTCCTCTGCTACACCACGGAGCGCATGATCTGGCGCTGTCGAACGGGGCTGGTTCTAGAGGGAAAGGAGGAGCTGGATCGTCTTTTACCCAACTTCTCCCTGTTCGCGGTAAAGAGACACATCTATCCCATTGGCGTAATGGACTCGGGTCACTCGACCGATGATGATGATGGCCCAGCCAGAACAAACGCATACAGTGCCTGGTACACTATGATGGAAGGATACTCCTCGCTCCGACTGACTTATGACAGTGATCGCCTTCCAGCTATTAGTGCTGTTGCCAAGTTGTTTCAAGCATCACTCCAGGACGACTATCTCGCGGGGCTTTGGAGACGCGAACTCCCTTATGGCTTGCTTTGGGGTTGTAAGGACCATATACAGATACCCACCGAGAACCTCGTGGCGAGAAGAATAGCAATATCTTCCCCCGGGCCGTGCCAAGGACCGTCGTGGAGTTGGGTTGGTGTTGGCTCAAAATTGGCGTGAAATGGGTCGAGCAAGTTCAGGCCCTCACATACACAGCCAAGGTTGTGAGCGCTGAGATCTTAGGCAAGCTTGGTAATGACTTCGGCCGCATCGAAGGGGTAAAACTTGTCCTTGAAGCCCCTTGCAAGCACCTACACCTCTGGCTTGATAGTTACACTGAGTCTTCGATCAATCCGGTGTGTCTGACGGAGGGAGCCTTGGAGCATCCTGGGCCGATGGCGAACACAAAGAAACTCCTCCACCTCGTCCTCGCGAGACCAGAATTGCTCGCTAAAATCCTGAGCAGTCGCTCCGCTGTTGTTTCGAACAGAAGCACCGAGTTCACCCTCATCCAAATTGCGAAGACCGTGGCAAGACAAGACGTGCGGGTCGCAGTAGTGTATTTTCTTTTACTGGAACCAAGAGGCGACGAGGAGCATGGAGGTTGGCGGGCTTACCGGAGAGTTGGGATTCTCGAGCTGCAGCCATGGAGCGATGACGACGAACCGTATAACGGAGAGGACCCAGAGGAGATGACGAGTCGCTTGGAGGGAGCTGCTTTCGAGGAGGTTATGGCGGAAGAGTGGCCGAGAGAAACGTTTACCATCATCTAATCACAGAAGGCCCCTGCTTCCTTGCCTAGGTAGTCACGACTCTACGTGGTCCCTGCAGTTGTCTGGCTAGGGTTTATCCTCCCTGGCAGCATCAGCCCCTGAGCCCGCCCCCTTTACTCCACATGTACAAACGACGACGCTTCGCTCCAGTCCACCAACTCGAACCCGCCATCAACCAGAAGCTGAGCATACGCCTTGTCGTCGAGATACCACCAGTCCGACTCTGGGTCCAACGGCGCAGGTGCTACAAGTTGAGCCTCTTGCCGCCGACGATTATCCCCCTTCCTCCCCTTCTTCCTTGGCTCCATAAACCGAACAGTGTACGGACACCACTGGTCCTCCCCGAAGTCATCATGATCCACCTGAAGGTCCTCGGCGCCAATGAATCCCCGACGGACAAGTTCCGCAATCTCCCTGTCCTCTAGAGTGCCATCGGCTGCGATGGCCTCCTTGCCCCGCGGCCACGCTTTCCGGTTCGCGGCATGCAATCTTGCGACGTCGCCGTCCTCGTCAGATGCCAGACTAACGCCCTCATCAATTATGGGCTTTTGTCCGGTGCACGATTTTGCTTGTCGCTTCGGCTGTTGTGCTATCTTTGTGTTGACCTCGTGATAATGTCCCGGCTTTGGCGTTGACTTGGATGCAGCTGGCAACGGCGATACGACCTCCACCTTCTCCGTCTCCGTCTCGCTGTCGACCTCAGCTATCATATCAAGCTCGTCCAGACCGTCAACAGGCGAGACCTCAGTAATCGTCCGGACGCTCGAGCTCGGAGCTTCCTTAGCCTTGGCCTCGGCTGCCGCCGCCATTACCCTCCTGTAGACTTTGGGCAGCGTCTTGTTTCGTTTGGCTGCGTTCTCCATGCGCACGCGCTCGCACGCCTCTAGCTTTTCTACATCTGGGCTCCAATACATGCGGTAGTTGCACGGCCGTCGATACCACCCCGACCTCCGGCAACACCAGTCGCACTCGTTGAAAGAGTATCCGTCGTACCACCAAGATTGGTTGCTGAATCGGCCCATGTTGTGTAGTGTGTTTTGTGTGCTTGTAAGGTGTTGGGAAGAAAGAAGGGATTGGGATGAAAATGTCGGAGATTAATAGGTAACTTAAAGGGGGTGTATTAAAGTTGTTGATGTTGTGAATGGCAATGCGTTGGATTGATGATCGAGTGAACCTAATCTCTATTCTCTACGTTGTGGACCTTGTGGTTGGTTTCAGGGGCCTTAGGTATTTATGTGAATATCTAGCGAGCGGCCCCCAAATGGCTATGAGCACCGCCTCAGTTCGATAACTTCGGTTATATTGAAGCCATCTGAATACGTCGATGTACGGGCCTTATGTCGTTGCACCGATGCTATCACCCCTGGTACCGTGGCTATTGTCCCTTTTAACCACCACCGTATGACTCAGCCGGTGTGCCTCGCAAACACCGCTGGAGAGCACCGCATTTGGGATACGGAATTTCTATGGGCCAAATATGACACCCAAGATGTGCTGCAAATGTTGAGCTCGTCGCGCGCTTGACACTGTGGCATTGCGTTTGCAAAGCTCTTCGATATTGGCCTGGCGCTGTCGTCGTAGGGGATTGACTTCCTACTCTTCGTAGCACCGTGGGTTATATGTCCCTATTCTTTATTTAATATCTCATCTTCTTCTTTATGTGCCCCTGAATGTATCAATGCCAAGACCACCGCATACTCATAGGCCCTTCAATTGCTTTCTGGCTTGGCGGCGTCCGTGTTGCCGACAAGATATGAGACAGCGGTACTGCGTATAGGTACATACGATGCAGTTGGCTAGCATCAATAAGATCTGAATTTAACTCATAAGCTCGCTCTTACTACAAGGACTAATAGGTACTGTACCGTAGATATTAAACTGCTATCCAATTACACCCCGAAAACCTTCGCTCCTTCTCATGCCGTTTGATCAACACCGCCCTCCTCTTATCTATTATTGACACCTCTCTCAGAGAGCATGAGTGATTACTAAAACAGCATATCCATCATGATCGACGCCCCCGACCCCGACCTAGGACTCATCGACCCATACGCCAACAGTCGAATTACCTCACTTCCCTCCCAATAGTCCCCCTTCTTCCCCTTTCCCTCTCCCTTTCCCCCTCCCTCTTAGTCGCGCCCGTAATCTTACCCCACTCCTCCCACTCTCTACTAATCTCCATGAGCACGTTACCCATGACCTGTGCGCTAGCCATCAGGCCGTGGCCCTCTCCCTCAAGCACTCGGACCTCGCACCGCCGCATTGTCTTGCCCAGCCAGCGCACATTGTCCACCGGCACGCGCGTGTCCCTGCTGCCGTGATGGATAACTACGGGCCGCGTGATATCCACGTACCGGAACCCAATGGTATGCCGCCGCTCCAGGCACACCAGCAGGTCCACGGCCGGGTTCGCACCCGTGGTAGCCAGCTGCCAGATCGAGTGCGTGAGGCGGCTGTCGTACAGCTCCTGGCGCTCGCGGTCGGCGAGCTGCGAGTTTGCCAGCGCCGCCGCCGCCGATAAGATGTGCTCGTCCTTTTCGGACTGGCGCCTAGATAAGCCCTGATGCGACGAGCTGGAGCGGCGGCGCCGTTGGCTGCTGTTGGTGTTAGCATGGGGTCCAGGGCCGGCTGGACTTGTTCCTGATGGACGGATCCGGTCCATGTTTTCATCTGCTGCAGGCAGGTGGGCCAGGTTTTTTAACATGCCATCGCTCTGGTCTACGTTCTCCTTGTTTTCTATTCCTCCCGCGCCGTGGACCACACCTTTGGGCTGATCCTTGCTTTCCCTGTCCCTGGCGCCCCCGCCCGTGTTCTTCTTGTCACGCTTGGCGCGCTTCTGTTTGGGTAGTGAGCTAGTGATGCTGGAGCTGGTCGCTGTCATGAAGCTGCTGTTGGCAGCCTTCAAAATTGGCGTTGGAAGCGCCCTCAATATCCTCTGGCTGGTGGGTATCGCGTTTGTCGGAGGCAGCGGTGTTTGTGCGCTGGCGCCAAACACACTCATTTGGGATGGGGGAATCCACGGCGCCAACAAATGAATCCTGCCACGGATATGCTGGGGCATACGGAGCGCTGTTGCAAGGGCATAGATGGCGCCAGCCGAATGAGCCAAAATGGAAAACTTTGTGATCTTGAGCGACTGGCAAATCGCATACACATCATCTAAACGAGCCTAGAGTCAGCCATGCTACAAGCTACACTGTCTCGTCAAGGCGAGACCGGGATACGTACCTGGCCAGCCGAGAGGCGTCGCAGTGCCCTCAGCATACGGTTCGCTGTCGCCCACACCAGGGCGGTCCGGTGTTATCAGACGCAGCTTCAATGTCAAGGCCAGCTCGTCGTAGAAGGCCGTGATGTATCGCGTTAACCCCATGCCAACGCAGCAGAAGACAGCACTTCCATTCGGGTCTCCAACTTCGCTAAAGCTGATAACGCGACCCGTCTGTGGATGCCGAATCTTTTGGCTGAGCCGGGGGCTGCATAGATAACTTTCGACTGCGTCATCGATGCTGTCGGCGCTCCGCGGGCGTTCATAGGCGATGTGCGGGTGATCGCTTTGAGTGTTGGCGGCTGGCCCCTGCTCTGTCACCTTTTCGGCGGTTGGACTTGCGGCGCCCGACAACCGTTTGAGCCTGGCGCTGCTGCGTTTGACCTTCACGCTCGTTCCACCCCCCTCACTTGTGTAGCCGAGGGGGTCAGGAGTGTGGCGGCCCGAACGTCGTCTGTATTCCGCACTCGCTTCGCGATCCCGACGGCGGGATTGGGCAACAGCGGGCGACGGCGCCCCGTCGTCGGCTGCGTCTAGATCTGGGAACATGGCTACCGCAGGTGTCGTGGGATTACTGGCGGAGACGTCGTTGCGGGGTTTCCCGAGGGACGACACGTTTTCTCGCGGCAGGTCAGCCGACAGTCTCAAAGGGTCGACCCCTTGCCCTTGCTTCTGACCGGGATGTCTTTTCTTTGTGTTCTCACCCCTGGAACCCCGACTGCCGCCGCTCTTCTCCTCCAACTCTGCAATCGTGTCGTAGGCGCCGTCGCTGTCTCGCTTGGTGGTCCGGGACGACCGGGCGGATGACCTTTTCGCACTGTTCCCGGTCTTTCTGAGCGAGGAGTCCCGGACAGGGATTGGCCGGGGACCTGGCATGCTGTCGTGGAGTGCTTCTGGCGAGAGATGGTTTCCTCTCTGGCTATTGGCCGAGTCAGTGTTGGGCTCTTCCTTGATCACCGACTCGGCGGAAAGGGGATCGAGCCGTGGGTGCGTGGAACTGCCAGTCGAGCCTAAACCATTGGAACTGCCCCCAACGGCGCCGACACTAGCCCTCTTCTTCTCGGCCTCCTTCTCCCGCAATTGCTCCTTGCTGCTCATGTACATCAGTCCGCGCTGGTTCCGGCTACCTTTCCTCCCCCAGCTGTCGTACGACTTTTGCTTTCTCAAGCTGTCGCTCTCGGCACCAGGCGACAGTGGCTCTTGCAGGCGTTCAATGCTGGGCTTGCCGATACTCTCAGCCCCGGACGTCAGCGACCCGCGGCTCGAAGGACGGCTGCTGGCTCGGGAAAGGAGGCTTTTCAAGCCAGATGTGTCCCGTCCCCCAGGGCTTCTGGGTGACTTGGGCGAAGTCAAGGGTGAAAGGCCGCTCGGAGGCTTAGAGGTCCGGACGACCGGAGGGCTCGCAGGGAGTTCCTCTAGAGGCACATCCTCTTCTTGCAATTGTTTCAGTGACGGCTGTGAATAGGCGCCGTAGTCGACACCAAACGAACCGCCTGTAGGGGAACCAGGTACCGACAGACTGAGAGGGCTGCCGAGGCCGATCGGGCTCAGATACGAGGGGCCGTCGAAGTGATTGCTCACGGGTCTGGAGATAGCAGATAGAGAGGTGATGAGCGACGAAATGACCTCGGGCGACGCAGCAGCTACCGGAGCCGCCTGGTCGTTGTCGCGGTCTCTGAGATAGCGGTCGGCGTAGCGCTCCCGATCGCGGGGCGACCAATCGGCAAAGACGTCGTCGCTCGTATCAACAGCCGAGGTGGCACGAGAAGGGTCGCGGCGGCGCGACGAAGTGCGGGCTTGGTCGTAAGACTTTTCTCGATGCTGTCTTGGGCGCTCTCGCTCTCGCTCTCGGTCTCGAGGCTTGCGGGGGATGGGAGGCACAACGGCAGCAATGGAGGGCTGCTCCATTACGGCGGTGGAGCGGCGGACGCCGGCGGCAGGCGGGAAAGGGGCTAATTATGCTGAAGTGCCTCCTGCTTCGCCGTCGGGTAGCAGGTACCAAAGATTCTTGCACAGAGAACTGCTGCGTGCTTGGGCCGGCCCCAGATGGATGGCGTGTCTCGGGGGCATGCGTGGTGCGGCTAATTGCTGAGATTTCGTCGTGCAGATGCAGGCCAGCGTTGCAGGAGATGCAGGTGAAGACGGGCGTTTGTATGCGCGCGTCGACTTGAATCGTTTTTTCATCCACGGAACCTGCAACCTCTGGCCAATATTTGGATACCCAGGGGCTCAGGAATACCAAAAAACGCTAGATAGTGGAGAAGCATGCAGCATGCATCGCGAGCTGCAGTTGTTTGCTGAGCAAAGGACCCAGACTCCAGAGCCAGGGCACGCGGAGCGGAGCGCGGTGTGCTGCTGCCAGATGCAGAGATAACCAGGCTCGCCAGGTTCACCGGGAACTAGCGTCGGGGGAGAATGGGGCAGGGGCCATCAAGCCCTACAATAAAATGGTATGGACAACTTCAACGTTACAATCCAGTCAACGCATCCTTTGACAAGGTCCGTTCGAGAAAAGTATGTAGTGAGTGTGACAGGTCATCCCGTCTACGACCTGGTTTCTCGGGAGCTCTCCTGTCGATCTTTGAACTAATCTAAAACACTGCAGGCTCTGGAAGGGAGAGCAAGACGCCCTCAAGTTCTCAACACCCTCAAGAAACGGCGCATTGGCCCCTTGCAGATGGCCTGTGCTTTCGCCCTTCTCGGCTTCTCCTGAATTGATCATTCTGTCCAATCCGCTTTCCCCAACAGAACCACATATTTGGGGGAGGCTGGTGCATACCGCTAAAATCTGCACTTTCGACATTTTTAGTCGTTGTCAGTCGCTGTCAAGCTCAGCGACCGAAGCCATTCGTTCTAGTGTCAAGCGGTCGCTGCGGCTGTCATTGGTGTGGCCATCAATTAGTTGCTCAATGGCGATTAGAAAGGCGCCCTTTCGCCGGGTTCCACGGATTCGATGTGATCAACCTGCTGAAACCCAGGCTGTGTTACCCCAGATAGGCCCAAGCTCCCGGTAGAGATAGCCAAAGCACCACAGACGAACACAGCTTTTCCTGAGCTTCCGTTAAACTAGCATGGACAATGCGTGACAGCACAAAAGGGCGTTGACGTTGACGTTCAGGTTGCTAGGTGGGTTTTTGACCCCATTCCTGCTGGTCAACGTTGCTAAGTACAGTACTTACCTAAGCAGTAAGTACCGGTACCTACTTTAACATTAGAACGATGAGATCCATTCTTTCCGCTCCGTCCGGTTTACCCAGTACAGCTCATTGAGCCTCATTCCGTCTTGCTACCCGCTAGTTGGTCTGCAATATTCCATCACCTCTCATGGATGCGAAGTTTAAGACAGCTAGGTGCCGAATTGATAACATGTAGGAGTCCCCATAAAGCTATGACCCTCGACAGTCGAGGCTCGACCGTTTGAATTTGCAAGAAAGGTCAGCCGGACCAAAGAGGCCTCCTTGCGCGTACGCTCTGCAAAACTGCCCTTTGCCATCGCCACCTCGATGAGAGCATTCTGAACCCTGTCAGTTTACCACGATGCTTGCCTGTCAAGTGGTGAGATGAGCTGTTTACGTAGTACCTATATTCAAGGACAACTGACTCATTCGATATCAACCAGAGCCTATCTATCCGCTCATCGGGAGCAGGTCGTCAATCCTGGGCTCAGTTGCCCCGACTCATCGAGTAAGCCTCGAATAGGTATGACTACCGAGAGACTCTGACCCAGTAGCTACCTTAGGTGCCTGAGCTTTACAGTTACATATCACAAAGGTCAAACTCAACGAGTTACAGTGGTATACTACAGTGATTACCGTACCTACCTTACTTAGGTGCCTATGTATTTGTACAATCCCTGGTAGACGGCAAGGGAGCAGCAGTTTGAGCACGGTCTGGATGCGACCTGTATCTTTCAACATTCTGTGGACCTCTTCGCTCATTGGCAGAGTATTATAGTGGCTCTGCGCATACCTATCACAGCCCCTTATTGTTCAGCATTGCATGGATCACTGATGGGATGCTGCAGAGAATATCCTCCAATCCCGCGGCCTTGAGGAGGTTGAAGTTGGCTGCACTGCAGTTGGCAGGATTCGCATGATAGGATCATGATTCGATGCGAATTATGGGGCTATAAGGCTCTGTCTTTCTTTTTGCGGCTTGTGCTCATGATGACGTATATCATGGTGGCGGTTTACTTCACTCACGGTCCTGCCGCGTGTATGTGCTCGCGTTGAAGGCACTTCCAGCGAGTCATGCGAATCAATGTAGGTTTTGGACCTGCCTGATAGACCCAGAAGTTGAGCTGCGGTAAGAGCTCAAGCCGCAAGCCTTCGAGGGAGGTCCAGAGAAACAGCATGGGACGCCCGTGCCATCAGGTAGGTGGTAGCCCTGGGTAAGGTACTCGATTAGTCTTGGTACCTTAGAATGCAGAGGTTGAACTGACGGGTTCCTTTACCTGGCATTCCAACCTTGAAATAATTTGGGCTCCTCTGTTCATTGGCCAGAGCGAGGGTAGCACTGCTAGCACTCCTACTTGGAGGAGACGCCAATTGGTAATCTTTGGAAGACAGCAACTCTAGCAGTGCAGGCTTATTGCCAGAAGCTGGAGTCACCTATTCCTTTAGCAGACCGCATCTCTGGGACTTCGGAGCTGGCCTACATTACGATGTAGGTAAGTTAGAGTATCTCATCATCCTGTACTCAGGTAATGTAGATGGGTTACACACCTTGGAATCATCACCATGGTCCAACCAGTCAGTTCAAGCCAAACCTCCTTTCTGCTAGGTAGTTTCAGAGTGCCACTACCTGTAGGCATCCATCATATCATTCCATGTTAGCGTTGCTGCGGGGTCCCGTATGGGCTGTATCCACAATGAGGTGCATGGGAAATCGCTGCCGGCAGAAAATTCTCGCTGTGCCACTGTGGCCTAAGATATGGGAGCTCGGAACCTTGGAAAACTGGCAAGCTGCGGGGAAAGGCAAATGTTGTGACCATATAAGGTGCTGCATCTCGCAAAAAACGGACAGAGATGCGCCATCCCTATCGTGTAGTATCTGAACCTCCTGAGTTAGCTTCATCTTCGTTGCTGCTGTAGACGGGCTGACAACTTAATACCTTACCTCAGGTCCCTTAGGTAAAGGCCACGCTTAGATGCCACCGAGCAAGCAACCATGACCTCTCGGCTTCTCATTGTATAGCAGACAACTATCAATAAGTGCTTCATTCGAGAGGAAGTCAAGATTGAGAATGACGGTGGCTAAGTTGGTATCGGAGCCAACCCGCGCGCGGGAGACGTTCAGGTCGGTCGAGCACGGGCAAAGGGCTCTGTTTCTACCGTGTATCACGCTGATGGCCTAAGTGTAGGCATCACCCGTCACTCGAGACCGAGGTCAGGTATAACGATGGCCTGCAGCCACTGCCTAGTGCCCAGTTGATGACTTCGCCTGACCCTGTCTTGACGGCTCTGGCACAGCTGGGAGCTTGCCAACTGAAGACAGCACGCGCCTTAATCTCACTCTTCGATCAGGATTATCAGTACGTGGTTGCCGAAGCGACACCAACTCTGCCCCTGAAGCCAAGTCTCGGATATGAAGACCATAGAGAACATCTTTGGCTGTGTGGCACTGCCATCCCGCGCCGCTATGCAGTTTGCGAGCACACCCTTTGCGTCGATGATTCGACCAAGTCCCAAGAAGGTCGGGATCCCACCGAGTTGCCTCCTGTCACTCTGATATCCGACCTGATGGCCGACCCGCGCTTCTCTTCGAAGCCGTACTGTCAGCCCGGCAACCCTGCACGGTTCTATGCCGGCGTCCCTATCCGCACACGCCGTGGTATCAACATTGGCGTCTTCTGCGTCGTTGACCCTGAGCCCGGGGATCCGAGCCGGTGGGATGAAGGGTCAATGTCTACCGCGACAGCGCTTCTGCGGGGCATATCCCTAACCATCACACGACACCTAGAGGCGGCAAGGTCAGAGATGGTTGGCCGTCGTAATGAGCGCATGGCTAGAGGCCTCGGGTCTTTCATCGAGGGCAAGTCCACCATGTCAGGCTGGCGGACCAATCTAAGCGTGGAATCCTTCGAGGACAAATCCGGCAACGAAGGAGCCCTGAATGCAAACCAGCAGGCTATCCAGCTAAAGGATGAACAAGATTTAGTTCACGGACAGCCGTGTCCACCATTTTCAGGGGCCGATCGCCTAAGTAAAAGCGACAGAGGACCAACCAAGCCGAAGTCGCGTGAAAAGGCCTCCAAACCAGCGCCTACAGTGGACAGCATCTTCTCCAGAGCCGCAAACGTCATCCGCGAATCCATCGAGGTAGAGGGAGTCGTCTTCCTCGACGCGACCGTGAGCTCCTTTGGGGGACTCAGCGCCAAAGTCGACTTGGATGGGCCGGGACAGTCGCACGCACAGGGGCAAGCTTTGTCCAGCAGCGACGAAACGGGCATGAGCGACGTGTCGCTGGATAAAGCTTCCGGGCCTCCTTGTCGTGTGATTGGGTTTTCGACCTCGACCACGTCCAGCATTGACGGCGCCAAGTATCCTGCCCGGCGTACCGTGTTGCCGGAGAAGTTTCTCGCTAAGCTGTTGCAGCGGTATCCGGCGGGAAAGATTTTCAACTTTGACCAGAACGGGGCGTTGCAATCCAGTGATTCGTCTGAGGATAACACCTCGCCGACGGCGTCATCCTCCCATGCGGAAAAACCGCCCTTCGTCGGCGGCGAGCTGGACGCCGGACTCGGAGGGCGCTCGAAACGTCGCAAGAACCCGTTTGCAAGGCAGCATGAGGGCAGCATCATCCTCAAATCTTTCCCCACTGCGCGGAGTGTCGCATTTGTTCCTGTCTGGAACTCGAGGAAGGAGAGGTGGCTGGCTGGCGGCTTTGTCTACACGGGCACGCCGACGCGCATCTTTACGCCCGAAGGAGAGTTGAGCTACCTCCGTGCTCTGGGGATGCTCGCCATGGCCGAGACTCTGCGCCAAGAGACGGCAGCCGCCGACAAGGCCAAGTCGGATATCTTGAGCTCCTTGTCGCACGAGCTGCGGTCTCCCCTCCATGGCGTGGTGCTTGGGGTCGAGATGCTTCATGACACGGAGCTCGATGTGTTTCAGGGGAACCTGTTGCATACCCTCGAGACATGCAGCCGCACTCTCGTCGACACGATCGACCATCTCCTCGACTATTCCAAGATTAACAATTACACCACTCTTTCGAAAAGGCAGAGGACCATGCCCTCTCGCGGGCTAAACCAGGAGAGGTTGGCCTCCATCGAAGATGGGATGAAGAGTCTCTACTCGGAGGTCAAGCTCGATGTCCTGTGTGAAGAAGTGCTTGAAAGCGTCTTTGCTGGCTTCTCATTCCAACGCATGTCCATAGCCCAGCTCGCCAAGCAGAGACCGACAGATTTCGTTGATGTTCATGCAAACCGGCATCTGGATCGGGCTCAGGCCATTGAGGAGCTCGGCCCTCTTTTCAGGGACCGTGATCAATCCCTCGGGTCCAGCCTCGACAAGGTCTTGGTACATCTCGATGTCGATCCCGCTTGTTCTTGGACTTTCCGCACCCAACCCGGCGCCATTCGACGGATTATCATGAATCTCTTTGGGAATTCCCTCAAATACACCCAGCAGGGAGCTATACGACTGTCGGTCAGGCAGGAAACCCCAAAAAAGCGGCTCCCCGGGAAAGCGCAGATGGTCAAGCTCAAGATTATCGACACCGGCAAGGGAATTACCGAAGACTACCTTCGGAACGAGCTATTCACCCCGTTCTCGCAGGAAGACCGCCTTGCACCGGGAACGGGCCTCGGTCTGAGTCTCGTCAAGCAGATCGTGTCCCAGCTGAGGGGCACCGTCTCAGTTGAGAGCCGTGTGGGAGCCGGAACCACCGTCTCGATCTCGTTGCCGATGGAGCCAGTAAAACAGGTGCCCGAAGTCAACCACACTAGCCCCCTTTCTGCTGAGAACCAAGCGATTGAGCAGACTTTTGAGGAACAGGTGTTGGCCCTCAAGGGACTTCGCATCCGCCTTCTTGGGTTTGACAGGGACGTCATCCAGGACCAAAGTTCACGAACGGGCGGCGCCCACTGCAGCAGCGCTGTCTTGATGGAAAACATCTGTCGTGGTTGGCTGCAAATGGAGGTGATATCAGAGACGGCAACTGCGCGGCTCGCGCCCGACCTGATACTTTGCACCGAAAGTGCCATATACGAAGTCTATGGCAGAGACACAAGACTCCCAACGACAGTTCCAACTGTCGTGGTCTGTCCAAATGCGCTTGTGGCGCGTCACTTGTCCACCTCGGCGCAGTTCCTAGAGTCACGTGGAACGTTTGAGTTCATATCCCAACCGTAAGTGCCATGCCAGGTGGGCTTCCCGATGACCATCAACTGACCGCTGATAGCACTGGGCCGCGTAAATTGGCCAAGATTTTGCTGTCTGCATTGAAGCGGTGGGTAGATCTCCAGGGCCTCTCTGCAAAGTCCGGCACGGATTCACCAGTGCGCTTAACCAGTATTGGGCCGTTCAGTCTAGAGTCGACTCCCCCGCCTCGCCTCGCCTCGCCGGATCCCGTTGGCGCTCCAACGACTGAACCAGCAACCCCTCCCGCTTCGGAACCAGTACATGTACGGCCAAAGCCGGCACGGAATTTCAGTTCTTGCTCGACAGTCACTGCTTCCGGGCCAGGGCCAGAGCCAGAGCCAGAGTCGGACGCGGTGTTCCTTCTTGTGGACGACAACCACATCAATCTGAAGATCCTGACCTCGTACATGAAAAAGCTTGGGCGGCCTTATGTCACGGCGACCAATGGCCAGGAGGCCGTCGACACGTACCGTCAGAGCCCGGCGCGCTGCAAGTGTATTTTCATGGACATTTCGATGCCGGTCATGGATGGCTTCGAGGCAACGCGGCACATCCGCGCGCATGAAAGCGAACATGACCTGAGACCGGCCTTAATTTTTGCCCTGACGGGGCTCGCTTCGACCGACGCGCAGCAGGAAGCTTTTAGAAGCGGCATCGACCTTTTCTTGACTAAACCGGTCAAACTGAAGGAGATTGGAGCACTTTTGGGTTCCCGGGGGCTGCTGTGAGTTGCAAGCTCTGCAAAGGTGATGGTTTGGTTGGTAACCTCAACACCACTTCGCCCCGTCTCCAAGTTGTGAGTTCAAAGCTGAGGAGAGGCGAGGTAGATGGAAGGTTGCCGTGCCGAATTGAACACAATTAGAGACGAGTTACTGCGCCGGTAAGGACCCGAGGCTCCTTTGCTGGTTGGCGAGCGGTTCTGCGGGCTGCTGGAAGGTCAGACCTGCCCAGCTCATGTATCAGCTTGACGACAGGATCGTCAAGAGCCAGGGAACGGCAGTAAAACGAGAAATGGCAAGCACCCCATGGTGATTTCCCAAGAATGGTGGCCGAGGGAGGTATAGCTCCTTGGTCGAGAACTTAGGGAATTGCCAGTTTGCGGGGAGTTCCTGCTGGTCTGGCCGGGCTGAGCTTTGGGGGAAGGAGCGCGTAAGGTATGTTAAGGTACGGAGGGATGCAATTGCAGGTGCACGTGTTTCGAAACTCCACCCTACGGTAGTTCATCTCTACAGAAGTGCAATTGCCAAGCAACCCAAATCGCATCTTTCTGCCGTGCCTGACCGCTTATTCCATTGTTTTGCAGGTTGACTGACGTCATACCTACATCTCGCTTTTGTTCATCGAATCTGGGATGAAGCAAGAGCAGGCCAGTCTTCGGTTGGCGTTGGTGGGCGTCGTCATGAACTGCTTCATGCTTTCAATGGCATATTTCAGTTTGAGCCATGGATAGCAATGACTGGTTTCACAAGTTACAATGTTGACCCGTACTTCCACAGTTTCATTTCTCACTGGAATCCGAACCACCACTGTCTCTCCTCGAATTCCGAGTCCTTACCCTGCACCCTCTCTGTCAAGCAGCTCGACGTTTTCTGAGGCTCCTCTGATATTTTCATGCTTGTCGAGACAATATGGACATACTACTTTCTCTCCCGATCGTGTCGTATCTCTTCTCGTCTCCGCTGACGTCATGGTCAACGTCGCTCAACCTCCTCTTCTTCTACATGACATGGTCGACGTTGGTCTTGACCTACAGCCCTCTCCAGATCGAAGTAGCCGCCGCTACAGCGCTGCGCATAGTGTTCTGGCTGGCGCCGTCGCTCATCTTCCTCGCATTCGACACCCTCGTACCGTCCCTGGCCGAAAACCTCAAGCACCATGGCGCCTCGGCTCTCCCTCCCAGGGAGTCCAGGTCTCTCCTGCGCGTCGCCGGACTGGCCCTGCTGAATCTAGCCCTGGAGACTGTGATTGAGGCCGCACTATCCCTCGGCCTCTCAATGTTCCTCGGAGCCCCCGTCCTCCGCACCGCAACGACACTCCCGCTCCCTTGGCAAATGTTCAAGCACATCGCTCTCCTCCTCACCGCCCGCGAGGTTCTGACCTACTACATCCACCGCTACGCGCTGCACAGGCAGCCCGCGCCGTCCGTGTCCCTCCCCAGCCGACAGACTGCAACGTCAAATTGGAAGCTTCCCCGGTTGAACAACCTAATCGCCAACCTGAACCCCCGCAACTTCAACCGGCGCTCACTTCTCAAAAGAACGGAACCGAACCCCGCCGGCAACCGACTCGTGCGCTGGCACACGCAATCCCCAGCACACGCCCGGCGCGCGCCGCCCTTCTCTTTGCTGCTGCGCGCCGATCACCCGGTGCCGTACCTCTTGCACCGCTTCCTGCCGACGTACCTGCCCAGCGTCGCCCTTGCCGCGTTGACGCCGGAGGGGCTGCACGCGCTGACCTACCTTCTTTTCGTCGCACTCACGACCCTCGAGGAAACGCTCGCCACGTCGGGGTACTCCATCGTACCAGGAATCATTATGGGCGGCATGGCGCGCAGGACGGCGATGCATTACGCTGCTGGTAATAAGCGTGGAGGGGATTTTGGAAACTGGGGTGTGCTGGACTGGGTACACGGCACCAGCTTGGGGAGGGACGTCATGGACGATCTGCAGGCTGAGGTGGGCAAGCACGGGCCTGGGTTGAGGGAACGCGGGGAGAGAGCTGTGAATGGTGCCGAAGACATGGTAAAAAGGGATACGGATGGGCAAGGCCAGGGCGGGAGGAGGAAGGGAAGGAAAGGGAAGGGGAGGGGGGATCATGAGGAGTGATTCTGTATGGTGGGTTGTTTGTTCTACCTTATGAGGCAGATATCTAAAAGGACCAGTTAGCTTTCTTTCAAGTCTTCGTAAACTGGGTTTGGGCTGGTCGTAAGAGTTGTCCAAATCAGGGGTTGTCTGGTAACTACCGGTACGACAGGGCAGGCGGCTGCCGAGGCGGACTGGTGTTCGCTGACACTGACCCTAAAAGTGCCCCCGAACCTTAATCGTTTCAAACTCGTCTGATATTGTGTTCGTCTTCATGAGCCCAAGCGCCGATGCAAAATCACCGCCTCTCCCTCTAACCCTCTTTATACAGCCGCTTCTATACACTGGGGTTTCAACATGTACAGATCGATCCGTTTCGGCGGATCGCTTAGGCTCTCCCCAACACTGACACCCTCATGACGTACCAGGTCGTTGGGCAATGCCAGACTTAGTCAAGACGTCCACCCTTTCTTCGACTTGAACCACAGGACGGTTTCCACGCCGGCCTTGATTCTTATGCCGAACCGGGCATCCAGAGTGTACGTCTCCCATTTGGCAGCCTTATCCAGGTATTCATGGCACTCGTTCGCCTTCAGCCTCCGAAACTCGTCGACTTTGTCGGCCTCTTCTTTCGGCCAAGCATCCGGGTCGCAGACAGCCATCCATGCCACTGCTGCAATCTCGTAGTTTGCGGCAGGCTGGCAATAGTCATCCTTTGTAGGCCCTTTGAACAAGTTCCTGCAGGCAACAATGTTAGCAAGGGTGGGTTGAGGAGAGGTGACCGGGACGCCTACTTATCCATGCTCAGCAAGGGCTCGACCAGCGCCCTGGCATCGCTGCCCTTGCCCAGCTGCCGTAACAACGCCGACTCAGCCAGCACGGCAATAGCCATCTCGTCCTTCTCCTCCTTGATCTTAGCGAGCTTCTGTTCCGGCACCGTGGCGCGCTGCCACGCCAGAAAACCCCTCGCTTTTTCCAAGTGATGAGGCGACATCCGCTTGCTGCCGTTCCACAGATAAATCATCTCGATGGCTGGGCTGATAGCCACCGCATCGGCGAGGTCGACGGCCAGTGCCTTGGCCCGCTCCTCCCACTTCTGCAGTTTCCGGCACACGAACACCTCAAACGGCATCTGTTTGGCCATGAAGCGCTTTTTGCCGGCCACAGCAGGCGCCTTGCGGAAGTATTCCTCCGCGATCCTCTTGTGCTTCTGCGCCTCGGTGTGGAGAACGCCACGCTCCTGATTGCCGTCGTCCAAGGCCGCTGCTGCGTGGAACGCATCCCGGTACATCTCAACCTCAGCGCAGCCGGCCATGTAATAATAGAGGGCGTGGCTCCAATTGTTTAGCTCGACGCAGCGCAGGAAATTGTCGCGCATGGCCGGCCAGTCCATGACGCACATGGAGATCATGCTCAGCTCAAAGGTGTTGAGCGCCGTGATCTGGCGCATCCGGCTGTCCGTGTTGACCGTCAGCAACTCGATGGCCTCCTCGAGCCGTCGCGAGTTGGCAAGCACGCGCGCCTCCTCCAACTTCCATAGCCGCGAATCCGGGTAGCGCTCACGAATGCTGGCAAGCAGCGCCGCGCACTTCTCTTTGGGGTAGACGGCTGTTTCGAATTCGGCATCACTGTCGTTGGCATTGTTGTTGTTGCTGCTGCCACCGTCAGGGGTGTCCATGTCGTGATCCGGAGGAACAATGTCAGCCATTCCTAGAAAAGCGTTGTAGTAGTTGAGCAACACCAGCCCGGCCATAGCGCCGTTGATGTTGGGGAATTTTGTGGACTGCCAGAGCATCCTCAAGCCCCTATCACGGTCGCCCTTGAAGCCAATAGCATACAGGAGGCGAGAAAATGCCGGAGGCACCATGGAGATGAGGAGAAGAAGAATGCCGAAGCACATGTTCGCACCACTGTGGACGAAGATATCGACAGTGGACTTGAAAAGTGACTGGTCAGCACCAGGGATGTTACTTTGTCCCGCGCCGGAGGGGGTGGCAAGGGTTTGCCCATCAGTCGCTGAGCGATCTCGAGAGGGCGGCCTTGACTGTGAGGGTGTCTGGAAACTCTCCGGGGTTTCGGCGACACCGCTCAACTTTCCCTCCAGTGACGCAGGACCCGAAACAGAAACGTCCTGCTCCCCTACTATAGGGCTCTCAAGAGCATTTTCGGCCGTATTCGTGTTTCCCTTCTCTCCTGCAGTTTGCCCATCTGCTCCTTCTAGATCGGCAAACTCAGATTCATCAAAGGCGCCAGGCATTGGGTCTTCGGCATAACTTGTCTTCCTTGGAGGTGGTGGTATCCCCTCCCCTTGTCCGCTCCTTGCTGAGTCAAGGTATCGCCTCTCGGCCGCCATGATACCGTCCAGTGTGATAAACGCTTTCCGCAGTTTGTAGAAACCCTTAAGTGTGTCTGTTAAGCTTTCATGCATCACAGCCACGACAGCGCCCATCAATTGTGCCTCGGCATGCACGAGGGCAAATTCGGAGCCTGAAGGATAGATGTTGCTTCTGCCATCCTCAACCGCGATTGTCTGCTCGACAGCGTTAGGCTTGGAGGACAAATATCCAGCAGATGCAGAGCCATTGGCCTTTTCTGCGTCCTTCTGGGCTTTCTTCATGTCATTCCATGCCCGGGTCTCTGTCTCGTTTAGCCGATTTGATGCCTCTGCCATAATCTCCTTCTCAAAACCAAGCAGGCTTCTCATAAAGGTGGAGAGGCCCAGTCCGAGCTGATGGAAGGCAGAGGGGTCTTGCTGGAGACGAAGCCGCTCTTCGGCGCCGTCGATGTCGTCATTCATGATCAAGCCAGCAGCCGCCATTGCATCTTCTATGTCGCGAGCTGTCTGCTCAGCCGGAGTAGGTACTCTTCCTGACTTCTTGGCCTTGCCATTGAGGGCCGCTGTGCTGGCAGTCGGGCTCGGGACTGGGCTGGGAACCTTTGATGACGACTTCGAACTCGGCGCAGCGGAGCTGCCTCGAAACCAGGAGCGCAGAGCCGACATTGTGCCTGCGAGAGCCTAGAGGAGAATGGGACTGCTGGAACTAATGCAGGCTGGCGCCTGGTTGGGGCAAGTGCAGGTGGCAGAGGAGGAAGCAGCAGTAAGGTAGGTAGATCCCGTCTCTGGAAAATGCAACTTGAGGAAGGAGAAGTGAAAAGGGAATTTGTTTGCAATCAATCCAGCCGGCACGCCCGGCAGTCAAGTATAGGGTATTCCTGACAGCAACCTACGGACTCGTCAGCCAGGTTAGCCCGCCTGGGTCTGAGGGCCTGCCTCTTGCTCTTAAGGCAATCCAACGGAACCCTGGTCTTGCAGCCTTTCAAGTGTATGTATTACAAGCACAGCGAGTGCTGACGGATTCCTGGTTGTCGGAGCTGAAGATCAGGGCAGCCCCGCAACAGCTCTTTTAACGTCAACTTTAGCGCTTTTATTTGGGGTTCTCATCCTACCCCGCCCTAACTAAATGTGAGATCACTTTTGTATGTACGAAGTAGCATTGCACATTGATCTCTTCCGGCGATCATCCTGCGCACAATTGTAACCATACGCGTGTATACCCAGTGCTCGCTGTCGACCTCGGGCTACAAGCATATACACCATGCATAACTTATAAGGCGGCTCGGGGGCGGGTGTCATGCTTTCAAACTTACCACATGCTAATCTTGCTGTCTTTCTACGTCGGGAGCCGGCGAAATTCGTACCGCAACCGGCGAGATATTGAAAGGCGACCGGCAGAGGTTCTCTTATTCCGAGATTTCAGCATAGGTTGTGCTCACAGGCAGTCCTCTGCCTACTCTGCCTACACTATTCAAGGACACGATGAGCAAGCAACTACTCCCTCTTTGCTGGAGGCTGCCTAGGTGACGTGAGTGAGGCGAATCTGGCAAAACTTGGAAGCCGCCTTACAGGCTCAGCAGATCGGATCGCGGGAGCTGTACCGGTATTGTACTGTACATACGTGAGGCGTGGTCTGTGCTTTTAGTGGCTTGTTAGGTATCTAGTGGCCCGCGGGCGGAGTCTGCCGTGCTGTGTAACGTAGAGCTCCATTGTCTCGCCTTGCGACCTGCGCTCAGTATCATTCCAGTCCGATCCAGCGGCTTGGAAACTTTCAACCATTTCATCCATCAGCTGTCAATCAAGCTCCGCACAGTAGAGCTTCATTCTTAAGAACAGTCACCGAGAACCTTCCGCCAGACAGAAAACCCAGTGACGCGGCTTTCAATCGCCTCCCACATCTATCCCCCGCCCGCCCCCCCGAGACGGTGATTACGCAGAGCACAAACCCTGCTCTCCAGAGACCGCAACCACGACTACGGCCCCCACGCCTTTCTGCACAATGGCGTCGACACAGACAACCTCCAAAAAAGACGACAAGGCCGCCGAGACGAAGCCTGACCAGCAACAGCAGGCTGCCGCAGAGCCGAAGCCAGCCGCGCTGGAGGAAGACGACGAATTCGAGGATTTTCCTGTAGACGGTATACCGGGCCTACTTTCTCCTCAAGTAGTGGCTATATAGTGATGGGCAACTAACCCGGTGTTTCTCTTGATCCAGACTGGCAAACCGAGGAGACAGAGGCCGCGAGCGGCGACGGCACGACACAGCACCTGTGGGAGGAATCGTGGGATGACGACGATACAAGCGACGACTTCTCGGCGCAACTTAAGTACGTTGCACTACCAACTGCTTTCTGTGACCTTAGATTACTGATGAGGAGCGTATTATAGGGAGGAGCTGAAGAAGGTTGAAGCCTCCAGGAAACGGTGATGTTGATGCAGGTGGTGCTGCTCGAAGCCACTCCGACAGGACCTCGGGTTCAATCTTGGGCCCAGATATGGTCTGGTGTCAGTCGAGGCCCGGCGGACATGGAATATGGTCGATATGGTCATGACTGCCTCCGCCCACGGCCTACGGCTTGATGTTTGCTCAAGGCACATACCAGGCAGTTCTTAATGCACATGGTCCTTCGGATAGAGGTGGAATAGGATTACCGTACTCGTCAAGAGCTAATTTCCCTTCCCGTTCCCCGGCCTCTTTGTTGGTAAATTCTACGCCTACACGATTATGCACAAGTTATGGCCAGGCCGAGAGAACAGTCCCAGTACATCATTAAGTCTACCAGATTGCGGAAATAGGGACTAGCTAACCATCTAAACTGAGCCAACCTGTCTTACTAATCTGCCATGCAGCACCAACAATCAGGAGTCCTCGCCAGATTTCACGGGACGGTGGCATTTACGGGCGCTGGCTGAGTGCGACAACGCCGGGAAGTTCCTTGCCCTCAAGCAGCTCCAGACTGGCACCGCCGCCGGTGGACACGTGGCTGAGCTTGTCCTCGACACCATACTTGGCAGCAACAGTGGCCGTGTCGCCGCCGCCAATGATGACAATCTTGCCGTTTCCAGCCGCAGCAACCGCCGCATCGAGCGTGGCCTTGGTGCCCGAGGCGAACTTGTCAAACTCGAACACACCGGCAGGACCGTTCCAGAGGATGGTCTGGGCCTCGTCAATGGCCTGCTTGTACAATTTGACCGACTCCTCGCCGCAATCGAGACCCATCCAGCCGTCGGGAATGCCCTCGGCGTCCGTGGCCTTGCCGACGTTGGCGTCCTTGTCGAACTTGTCCGCCGTAATGTAGTCGACCGGCAGGACGACCTTGACGTTGTTCTTCTTGGCCTTCTCCATCAGATTACCCACCGTCTTGGAGCCGGCTTCGTCAAACAGCGAGTTGCCGATCGGGATGTTGTAGAGCGTCTTTTTGAAGGTGAAGGCCATACCGCCGCAGATGACGAGCGTGTTAACCTTGTCCAGCAGGTTATCGATCAGCTGGATCTTGTCCGACACCTTGGCGCCGCCCAGGATAGCCAGGAATGGCCGCATCGGCGATTCGAGTGCCTGCGCGAAGTAGTCGAGCTCCTTCTTCATGAGGAAGCCCGCCGCCTTCTGCGGAAGGTCGACGCCCACCATGGAGGAGTGGGCGCGGTGCGCGGTTCCAAAGGCATCGTCTGAAAGAAACGTGCATGTTAGCTCCAGCGACTCGTAAGGGCATAGGGGACACTAACTGATGTAAACGTCGCCGAGCTTAGTGAGTCCTTTGCGGAACTCGTCCACTTTAGCCTTATCCGCCTTGATCTTGTTGCCTTCTGCGTCGACGCCCTTCCCTTCCTCCTCGATGTGGAACCGTAAGTTCTCGAGGAGCACAACGTCGCCGTTGTCCGCCTTGTTAACGATTTCCTCAACCTCGGGGCCTACACAATCCGGAGCGAACGTTACACTCTTGCCCAAGAGCTTCTCGAGCTCAGGTACGACGGGCTTCAAAGAGTATTTGGGGTTGGCCCTGCCGTCCGGGCGGCCCAGGTGGGACATGAGAATGACCGACTTGGCACCATTTTCAATGGCATACTTGATGGTCGGGACAGCACCGACGATGCGTTGGGGGTTCGTAACCTTCTTGTCCGCATCGAGGGGGACATTGAAGTCGACCTGCAGTGGAGCTCACAATCAGCTACCAAGAGCACTATGAATGTAGCCGGGGGTTAGCTAGACGTACCCGAATAAGGACGCGCTTGCCCTTGAGGTCGACGTTCTCGATGGAGAGCTTGTTGGCCAGAGACATTTTGACTGTCCTGCTGAGCAATTGACGAGAAAAGGACGTGTTTGGTCTGAAGATGGAGGCCAGAATCCGCACTATTTTGTCGAGGATTGCTAGGACGAGCAGGTAAAAACCGCAGCGTGACGATGGCCTGACCAAGTTCTCTTGGGGATGGTGGAATGGAGGGGTAGAGGGGTAAAAAGAGATGGTGGGGTCATGCTCGTGAAGCTCTGACGTCGGCTGGTTGGCTGATCTGCTTTCCTAGGTACCTTTCCTAGCCCAGTCTTCCAATGACGAGGAGCTGCAGCAGCAAATCAGCTCAAAAGCCAGTGAAGGGTGTTCGAGATAGTTTGTAGTCTCTGTCCTACGGCTTGCCCTGAGACTTGAGCTGAATTAAAATTAAGTATCGGTAGAGATATTCTCCGGCGAGAGAATCGATCATTGCGGTGAACTCAGCTACGATACCGCCATCTATTGAAAGCCCCGATATCGACCCATGCTTGCAATCCCAGCTTCGCAGAGAACTCTTTGAGCTTTCACTGCCCGTCGCCGTATAGGTGCATATCGTTACAGGATGCTTCAGCATCCGGTTAGCTCCGATGCTAGGCCATATGTCAGGAGGAGAAGTGCTTAACCCCTACATGGTGGAAGTTACTAGAATTAGGGCAAGCTATCTTAGACCTGCTGAGAGTGCAACAATGTTCGTGTTCTTTCGTGTCAATCGGGTCCTCCAAATGATTTAAAAACCCGCAAAGTCCACCAACTCCATCCGTAAGTTGATAATCAGAGATTCCGCTGTCCGTTACAATTCCAATGCATACCCAACCAATTTCTAAATCCAAGAAAGCGAACACCTTGTCTCACGGACATGGAGGTCTCCATGCAGGTCTGCGTGAGGTTCTGGCACCCTGTTTTACCCTCACACACTTGTTCAGTGGTATCGCCATATAAGTACAACCGGCCACTCCCTTACGGCAGCCGGATATCTGCCGTACTGGAAACACGATTCTGCTCAATGTCCTCTGCGGCATTAGTAAGTGACAGATATGCTGTCCATGCAATCCCGACGGTGGACACGAAGGGCTAGCACACGGTACTACGTTAGCATGGCTACTCCCATGGAGGAGGATGTCGACAGCCTGGGAAAGCACTAACCAGCTGGAATTGCACCGGCATCAACCGGAAGTTGATGACCTGTACGGCGGGCCAGAGCATATAGTTTGCCTTGAGCGTCGGCACATACATGTCGCGCAGCTTCTGGGACACGGCGCGGCGGCCACCTCCTTCCGCGACCGTCATGACGGTGAAGAAGGCTGCTACACCGAATGGGGCAAAGATGAGCTGGTCGAAGGCCACACGCTTCATGGCCGGCGCGAAGGCGCTCGTCTTGGATATTGGGAAGCACTTTTCGAGGAACTTGAACCATCGGAACTGCACGGGCGCCATGCAAAATCCGTAGGCCATGAAGCGTGTCAGCCGTTCAAAGTCGAAGGGCGGCGGCAAGAGCTTGGACTCGGGGATCAGGTCCCGGTTGTTGAACGGGTTCTTGCGGTCGAGCTCGTGGATCTCGATCGCAAGAGCGTCTTCGCGCGGGCTGAGCTGGCCGTTGGGGTGCTTCCGCAGAGCGCGCTGCCGGACCGAGGTAATGGTTTGCGCGACCGTGTCGGCGATCCCTCCCAGTATCGAATTGGTTACCATCATTGTGAGGACTGTCGGCGTTATTGTTATTAGCATTTCAAGCGCTGGGCGTGTAGGCCAACCTGATGAGGGCAAGGGCGAAGGATACGCACGAGGTCGTTCATCGTAATACGCGTTGAAGCGGCCGGTCAGCCGCGCTAAGAGGGCCATCTCGATGAAGAGGACGATTGCATGCAACAGCGGCTAGAAAGGGCGGCATTCATGTCAGCCTTCCAGCTGGAAATGACACAAAACGGGGACTGGAGACGATGCAAGGACGGTGGATTTGGACAGGGACAAGCTGTGGAGAGTGACAATGGGAACACGCAAACCGCAAAGGGAAGACTCACAATCCGTCCATAGATGAATCTGCTGTTGAGTGAGCGAAGCCACTGGCGGCGGTTCAACTCCCAAGTCATTGTGGGAGTCCCTGCAGTGGACCTGGAAAAGGAACAAGGTAAAAAATTATGATATCAGATAGAAGATGTGGTCTCCTGCCCAAAGGAAGGAGGCAATCGTTGGCGCTATCCCCTGCCAGGGCGTTGCGTCGATGACGACAGGCGACACAAGCGATAGCCCCGATAACGAAGCAGACCCACAGGGCTGTTTCAAATGGAGCTTGGTTGGACTTCTTGCGATTTCTCTGTTCTTCGACTTTTTGACGCTATCAAGACAAGCCAGAAAGGCGCGGGATGCCAGATCCACAAAGTTTGATGAATGCTGCTGAACGGACAAGTCGGGCTTTATTCCGACCGCTGGAGTTTCCACGTTGGCTGAGGGGAACGGACTGTGTCGGGTTTGAAAATCTTCCATACCGGTAACGTTAGCCGCAAGCCGCAGATCACAAGTCCCGTCCCGGTCCGGCAGCCCCAGAACGCTCAACGCAGACGCGAGCAAGTTCCACGCTTGCCTTTTGCGATGCTGCTGTTTAATTTCAGCTAATCGCGAGGGCAGTATTTATGTAGACTTGGATACAGGTAAAGCCTCATATAAACAGACATAAAAAGACATCTTCTTGCTCCCAGTCCCGAGCAATCCTGCAGGCTTTGGGTTACGCGCATGTGGCGTTTAACGGTTCGGCCGCCTCAGCCCTAACCCTGTCATTCTCGAACATAACATCTCTTCACAGATAATTCTGCACTCTTCATTGCAACAAAGCCTTCACCCAACCGTCATCCAACTTCACTGATGCTTCTTGGCACCGCTTGCAGCCTTCTGCTCTGCGACTGGGCCGAACGCACCGAACAGTGTCAGCCACCGAAGGACATTCAGGACGGCGCTGACTCCCACTCCGCCCCAAACCATGTCGTTCCACTCAGAGGGCCGGAAAAAGGTCTCGGCGCCAACCCCACGGTATGCCGCGTAGATGTGCCCGTAGTCGGCGAACGCGACGGCGGCCAAATACCACTTTGCCGTGGCCGGGTCACGCGAGAAGCAGCACACCACGGCCATCGCTGCGAGTAAGAGGAAGACGTTGACCAACTGCAGCGTCGTGCCGAGCGCCTGGGGCGACCATTGAGCTGCGGTGGTCGTAGGGACCTGGTTCGCGAAATAGCTGGCTGGGTCTCGCATACCGATGATGTATGCCCAAATGCTGGGCAAATGTGTCAGTCTGGCGAATAGCTCCCAGTCCTCCGAGCAACTCACAGCAGACTAGGTTCGATGACGCCGAAGACGATCAGTGGGATCGTGGGTAAGGTCGACCGGGCCATCGTGGTTCTGCGGTGCGATTTTTCGCCGTTGCTAGAGGTTCAGGTTCAGGTAGGCTGGGTTGTCAGTCCTTCAGCAGAGGATCGGGAGAATCTTGAGGCAAATATACCAGGTATCCTAGCTGCCTGGTAACGAAGTCTGCAGGATCAGGGACCATGTCCAAAAGGGGTAAAGTTACAACGCAACAACAATCCAACCGTCCGCTGCGAACGAAGCCAGTAAAACGACGGCCTCAATCCTGTAAAACGACTGTTGCACGGACCACTTTCCACACATTTTGCTCACGCCAAGCCGTTCACTTTACACCCGCTCTTGAACTTGTAAATCGACACCAACTTCAAGATGATATAGCAGACCCGCATACACTGCAAAGAAACTGAATTGAGCTTGTATACTAAGGCCTGGAAAAGGTGATATTAAGCTAAGTGACTTAGATCGAAATAGAGTTGAATTTGATGTAAAAAGACACTTGTGTCCTGTAGGAGTTGACACAGTCGTTTTACAGGGTTGAGGCCGTCGTTTTACTGGAATCGGCTGCGAGCCACACATTTGGCGACCACACTGCAGCTTCCCTCAACCGAAAAACGTGCATCAGAACCCGGACCTCCTGTTGGAATCTTCGAGCGAGCGTTCTTTCGACCATGTCCAACAAGGCGCTTTTCGCAACGTCCCATATGCGCCTTGCGATATCACAAGAAGTGGACTGATGAGTGAGAAGCATCCATTCCCACGAGGGGTCTTGATGTGACGCGATCATGTTTGAATCGCGTTACGAATAGGTCCTAATGTACGGCTCGGAGTCCATGGCGAAAAGCCAGGACTCGACAAACTATGAACAAGAAGCAAAGGCAACCACCTGACGTTCTCCTCCAGTTTCCCTTCCAAGCCACCGTCCACCTCTTCCCAACCTCCATTAGCAGGTAAACACCGCCGGTCCCGGGATGGTGTACGTTTGGGCTGGCAACCTGATCAGCATCACAGCCGCGGACTTTTATGGTGTGTGGCAGACTCACCCTTATAGGCGTCATAGGTAATCCCGGGATCAGATCCCTTGTACGCGCCCGGGAAAGCAACCAATGCTGATGGCACGGTCGATCCGCCGCCCGTCACATTCAGCTGGTGGCAGCCGGGGTAGAATTGAGCGCCGGGGTACTGCCAAGCCGAGTGCAGAGCAATGATCTCGTGGCGGACGAGGTAGAAGCCCTTCTTCAAGCACGAGGGGATGGTGTACTCATAGGAGGTTGGGGCTTTCATCTGAGGAGTCTGCATGGGAGGTTAATGCCAGGATCAACACCGCTACCACCAAGTGCTCGAAGAGGGAAAATCCTTACAGCGGCCCAAACGTTCGTAGTCCCCTGGCGACCGCCTTCCTTGACCTTGAACCAGACGGGGCTGTGATAGTTAACCTTTAGCATTCAGTCACGCTAGGCACCAAGGCGTATCGTGTCTTACGATGTTCCAGGGCTCCAGTTTTGGCAGCCGGTGTCCGGGCACCGGGCCATGTAGGTGATCATGGGGCCTACATGGGAGTCCGGCCAGAGCGTCCACCGCAGGGTCACGGTCGACCCGGCGGCGGCGGTGGCATGGAGCTTGGCTGGGGTTGCCCCGGCGTTGCATTGGACATCGATGGAGGTGACATCTTCCACGGGGCCGTTGCCCGGGATGGAGCGCGAGATCCGATCGGGCTAAGTTCGGCGCGTTAACCAGCGTTACCAGACGGACATGGTGGGAGTTGCTCTCATCACCGCCATACCTTGGTTCCCATGTACGGGTCCATGTAGGGCTGCGTTTAGTGTCAGTCTGCTGGTGGGCCAGTTCCAGACGCTCCGTCTCATGGCTCTCGCACCTGGTAGAACTATAATCACTCCTCGTTAGTTATGGCATAACACCACAATGCGCGATAGTCATATGCCGTACCTGATAGAATTGCCCGCCGATAGTTGCATTGTCGACATAGCCGTGGGCAGCAACCATGCCCACAGCGGCCAGAAGCGTCGCGAAGGTCTTCATTATGTGCCTGCTACTGACGCTGGTCCAACTAGGAGTTGATTCAACGTTTTAAACCACAGTATGGCAGTTTGACGATTCGTTCTGCCGTCGAAACTAGAGAGCTGGGATAGCATGGGCACTGGTTGTCGCCGGCCATAACCTTTATATCCCTACACAAGGTTACAAGTCGCTATCCACACCCACCCGCCTTCGTCCCGAGTTACCGGCCCCATGGTCTGGGCAGCGGACTACCCGCATCGATGATCATCTTGGCCTTCGGATGACCAGCATTCGTCCGAAGCTGGTTCGGGAGACTTGGCCGATCCCGTCGTCAAACTTGTCGGTGGGATTACTGCAACAGGAAGCGCGAGAAGGTCCGGGGTAGAGAAACGATCCACGCGACGAAGGCGGGTGGTGACAATGTGAAGGCGTGCATCTCCACAACCCGGTTTCACCTTCAACAGGGGAGCCGCACTAACCGCCATGGAGCACTCCCCTCCGTGGTTGCGGATGATGGCAGGGGGCAGCCGAAAGAAAAAATAGCCCACCAATGAAACATTCAGATGGAGGATGGAGTAGACTACCTATCCATGCTTGCAGGAAAAGCACTAGATATGAAAGTTCTGGACGAGAACACCAAGGTAGGAGTGAGTTGTCATGCCAACCTAAGGCCTTTCCGGGATCTTTTATCGTTTGAAGATCACAAACAACTTGGAACTTCTAGAAGGAACTTATGAACTGATCCTCGATGCCTGATTTGTGCTTCCAGGTTGTCTGGTTCGTTCATGTGGACAGCATTCATGGATAGCTGGATACCCTCCATCGTTTGGCCGTTCCTTCCTAGTCCCGACATGGATTGAAATCGTCCTAGACGCCGCCAAATCACGTACAGTTTCGATTTGCGCTTTTCCATTGCAAGTGGCTACTACTAAGGTAGCCAAGCCCCTTCCAATCAATCATCGGGCCCCAACAACGAACGCCGAAGCCGTCTCATACTCCCCAAGTGCCTCCTCACTAAACCCAACCGCTGCTGCTTCCACCCCTATACCCTACGCAAGTGCGCCTTCGCGAACCCTCCTATTCCCTCTCCGCCCCGCTTACATCCCCCGTTCCCTCTCCTCTCTCCTCCTGCCCCTTCACAGGGCTCCAGTCCCTTTTCTCTCCCGAGTCCTCTTTGCCCACGGCTCTTGCAAAATCCCTCAGAAACCGCCAATGCAACCTCCTCACCCATCCTTTCCCCTTAAACTCGTTCAGCTTCCCTTCGGGAAACATGTCCACCACCTCCGGCAAATACTCATCGTGCGACGAAGCCACCAAAATATTCTCTTGCGCATCCAGCTCCATCATCTTCTCTTTCGTCTCCCTCAGCGCGTCCAGATCGGCATGGAACGGCCGCTCCAGCTTGGCAGGTTCATAAAACGGTCCACAGGAAGGACGGCCGCGGCCAGTGAGGAGTGATTCGAACATGGCGCCCGGGCAGGAGGACGCATGGTGGGGCTGATCATGCTGATGGGCAGGCTGGAACGGATCGGGACTGATTTGCTCAGGCAAGGGAAGATACTTGCTTGGGCGGATCTCGGCTACGTGGTGGAAGGCATCGCCGCTGAGCAGGATGAATGACGACGACTCCGATTCGGACCCAGCCGCTGACGAGCCCCTACCCCCATTGACGCGGGCGAGGGCGCTCAGGTGTCCGACTGCGTGGCCGGGGCTGTCCAGCAGGTAGAAGGACCCGTCGCCAAAGTAATCGTGGGCGCGGAACCGGCCAATGGTCAGCCCGCTGGAGAAGTCGACCTCAACCAGTTCACGGTTGGCATAGTCTTCTTCCAGGATGGGAGATTGCGGGTTGGCCGGATACCCGGGGAGCATGTTCTCCTTGAAGCCTGGGCCGACGATGAGTTTTGTGTTCGGGCCAAAGGTGTTGGGGTTGCCCGCGTGGTCCCAATGCCAGTGGCTCCAGACGATGGCTTCGACGTTGGCCGTGTCGACGCCGGCTTCGTCGAGTATCTCGCGCACGTCTTTTTCCACGTGCATTGTAAACGACGTCGTCTTTAGCATGGAGAGCAGGAAGGGGCTGAGGTTGGTCCAGTCTTTGCGGATGCCCAGGTCAAACAGCAAGGAGCGGTTGAGGGTGGGGTGCTGGATGAGGAAGGAATAGATGGGAATTCCAAGCCAGTCGTGGCCCTCGACAGGCGAGTCAAAGAACATGCTCGTTGGGATTCCGCGTATGGAAGAGGTTGTGTTGATGATGGAAACGTCGACTGTGTGCGAGGAGGGTGGAATGTTCAACTCAGGTGCTGGGACACCCTTGGTTGAGGCGTCAGGCATTGTGCAAACCTGAGGTGGATGTGATCCTTTCTGCTATGCTTTAGAACAAACCTCAATTGTCACGATTCGTTTGCTAGTAACTGACCTCGCTCGGCCAGCCTGCAAATGTGATGTTCGACGTCATGCGCTGCTAGCCCTTCCCCGTGAGCCGTGGCGGATATAACCACCTAAGTACTAGTATCGTATAGGCACCCATCCTCATTTCCGATGACCCTGTCAATCTTATCATACGTAAGGTGTCAGCGTTGAGGGGTTGGTCTACGGCGCAGCTGCATGTAGGATGAAGCTTGCAGTTCCCGGCGGTTGTTGGGCTTACATGTGTACCTAAGTTGAGGATACGAAGGAACCCGATTGCGGAGAATCGACCGGAAATCAAGTTATATACTATCTCCCGGGTTCCCCGTGCTTGCACCGTAGTTTGGGTTTCGAGGCACCAACCATATGGTAACATCAAGCGGCGGCCGCCTTCATACATGCATCTATGATCTATGGCATTCGTATTTGTTCCAACCAGGCACGCTAACCACACCTGCTAACAGCTCCATTTGCGCGTGTAAGCAGACTCCCATTCAAACTCACCGCCTCAACGTCCACAGTCTACTGTATTGATTCCTCGGTTTCCATGGACCTTCACCCCTCACCTAATCCTTTCGAAACTTCCCGTGCAACCTTCCAACACTCTCAACCGTCAGCGCATCCCTGTGCCTCCTGGTGGCGAGTATCTCCTCCCTCCACAGCCAGCCCAGGCCCAACGTCGCCCCAGGACCCAAAGCCAGCAAGCTCAGCACGCCCAGCCCCATCATCCGCAACCACCCCTCCTTCAGCATGCCCGCTGCTGTCAGATCCCAATACAAGTACCCCAACCAGACAAGGTGCGACCCAAATCCAAACACCTCATCCCACCTCAAAAACTCGCCCGTGAATTCCACCAATGAGGTTCTACTCCTCGGCAAGCCCCCAGGCAAAAAGACCTCGCGGATTCCCTGGAACAGCCCGTGGCCCTGACCCGCGGGGAGCCAGGCGGCCCAGAGCCACACGGCGGAAGCGAGCACGCTCGCAGAGCCCACGTACCAGCGCATGGTGGGCCGGTCGCGGTGGACGCCGTGGACCCTGTCGGTTTTCTCCGTGTCGGGCCAGAGGCGGGAGACGGCGTACAGCGTGAGGGACAGCCACACCGGGTAGAGCTGCCAGATAAAGAGTAGGAGCTGCCGCGCGGCCAGGTCAGGCCAGACCATGGTGATGTAGAGTGGCACCAGGTACGCCAGCAGCACGGCCGGCAGCGCGGCTCGCGACCAGCGCACGTTGGTCAGTCGCTGATCGAGCGAGGCGAAGGACTCTATTGGGGAGAGAGTGTAATCTGGATTTTGGGGGCGGTTTGGTTAGCTGGGTCATTTTCGTCTGGCTGTGGGTAAGTAAGTGGGAGTTGCTGTGAATGGGCGGTAAGGAGTTGGATCATGTTGTTGATAGGCTCAGGCTATCTGGGTCCAATAACTCCAATAAGGGGATTCGCATCTGAAGGGTAGTACATAACGAAAAGGACTCGGGACTCAACATACGCAGGAAACAGTAGAGCGGGGCGGCACAGCCTATGCCGATAAATTGACCTAGGAGGGCAAAAAGGTTGGGCCTAGAAAGATGCTGCTGTCAGCAGCTACTAGTAGTAGTAGTCTTGAAGAAACAGCAGCAAAGTTGGGTAAAGACATGACTAACCACTGCAACGGCGTCAGCTTGTTTGCTCGGCGGACGGATTCGAACATCCAGATAGTCAACAGCACGGTGCCGTCGGTAAGAAACGAGATCACCTGGCGTCGAGAAGCCGAGTCATAGCCATAGACGGAGGGGAAGAAGTACGTATTAAGGAGCGAGAAAAGGTCGTCAAAGCCTTTAATACCATAGAAGGACCGGAGAATGGGGACGGAGCCGGTCTCGAGTTGGACCACGCCGCTATCCCGTAGCTCCTCGGCCCACTGGATCGAGGGTCTCGCATCCATGACAAAAAAAGCCGCGAATGCAAGTCCGAGGAGCGGTAGTGCAAGCAACATGCGCTTGAGCCTGCTCTCCTGCAGGCCCTCGCCCTGAGACGGGTTGAAAGGGCGCGTACCGGTCAGAGAACGCATTGGGAGCGGCAGGTAATCGAGCTTCGTGGCGCCAATCATGGAACCGGCCAAGCGCTCAGTCAGGAACTCGGCGAAGCGTGGCATCACTTGATAGACGATGAACCGGTCCTTCAGGCTTTCTATGTTGTGAGCGCGTGCTAGGGCCCAAGAGGCATCCACGACACCGGCGGCACGGACTTCGCGCGTCTTCTGGTACTCGGCCAACATGAGCTCGACCTCTTGCTGTGTTGGCCGACGGCCTTCCCGTCCACAAGAGTCGGAAAGGCGCTTGATTCCGTTGGCAAGGGCTGCGGCGCTTTCAATGGCAGCGTTGCCGCCGATGCCTAGATTAGGAGTCGCCTTGTGGATACTGTCACCGGCACAAGCAATGCGGCCCCAGTGCCACAGCTTGAACTTGGCCTCCTCAATGGCAACAAGCCGGTACGTGATGGCGTGCTTGCACAGGTCGGCCACCGTGAGCCTGTTCGGACCGGGCCGGATGACAATGTCCCCGTTGCGAGCAATGAAGGCTTCCGTCTCTTCTTGGGTGTACCGTGGGATGCTACCGAGCCGGTACGTTGTCGACAGGCGCTCTTGGGCAAAGAAGTATATTTTATTGCCCTCGGCAGCGATCGTGAGAGCGCAGCGACCGGGATTGTACGACGTGTCCAAGTCCCCGGGCTTGAGCCCAGTATTGCCTTTCAGGTAGGCGATGCCGAACAGGCAATTGTACTCGGAAATGAGGCCTGGAAGCAGTGAGCTGGTGTCAACTACCTAGTAGTATTTTGCCGGGTCGTTTGGCTTACAGTTCCTGTCTCTCTTGACAAGCTCCGGGTGGTAGGGCTCGGCAAATTCCCACATTTTAGTGCGCGTTTTGCTGAAGACGCCGTCGGTGCCAATCAAGATATCGCCACGGAAGGAGGAGCCATCTTCGCAGACAGCCGTGACGCCGTCGGCTTCGTGCTCGATATCTGCTAGGCCTTTGTTGACGAGGACCTTGCTGCGGTCTTTGAGGTTTTCGTACAGAGCTCGCAAGAGCTTCTGCCGCTCTCCCCAAGCAGTGTCATAGCCGGTCCTGCAGGGATCGGCTGTCAGATATGTTTTGGCCAGAATAATCCAACGCGTCCAAAGGGGGCAAGATTCTTATTCACCTTTTCCGAGACATAGCGCTGCTTTCGTCTGGCTCAGCGATGAGCCTGCCTGTGCTGTCACGCGAATGCACGATAGAGATGGGCTCCTGTAGCACTGTGAGAAAACGTGTACTGAATCCACCGAAGATCGATACCAAGGACGCACCGATTCCTCCTCGACCGTTTTCCATACCCCGAGCTGATCGAGAATCTAAATGTGTGATATGACACGAGTCAAATACTGCCCAGAACCTTGAGGCCGAGTCCGACAGCAACTTACGCGGGCCGAGTTGGGAAAGATGCCGATCGAGGCACCGAGTTGGATTGCAACTTCACCACGGCGTTCCAGCAAAACATAATCGACATTGGCTTGCTTGAGGGTGGTGATGGAAGGCTTGTGTTAGCATGACTTGGAGCAGAGAAGTTGATGTTCAAAACTTTACTGAACATCTCACACCTCGAGCGCGTTGGCAAGTGTGAGGCCAGCGACTCCACCGCCCACAACGATCACACGAAGTCCATCTGCGTCCTGCATTTTGCTCGTTTCCCCCATTTTTTGCACGCTTTCGACAGCCGACTATATTTCCACTCGTGTTGTTGACTGAGGAGAAGAAGAGCGAGTGAGACCGGTGTAGAGTTTCGAGGTGTTTCGGAGTTCAGCTGAGCAGTTTGATATGCGGCCTCTAGATACTTATATGCGGCTTCCATCAATGTAAAGTGCTGTTCCGACCACTTTCCCAAATTGCCAGGGTAGGTACCTAAGGTATGGTAGAATTCCGAGTCCGAGGTGGTATCCGTAAGCTGAATGGGTATAGTACATACAATACATACCAGTACGCTAGGTACAGTACAGTATGTTCGCAATTATGTATGTACCTAATGTAAAGTACAAAACAATATAAATACAAATATGCTCCTAAAGTCTACTATGTCCGGGTAGCTACAGCCTTTCCGTCGAGGGATCGGAATTCGGGAGTCTGAGAGACGTCCTGATGAGCCACGTTACAGTCTTAGAGATAGCTGAAGGCGCCGGTATCGCAAGACGCATGGATACACACATCCTTACAGTACGATACCATATACATTATACCTGCAGAGTAAGTGCCCCTGTCAGTACTTCGCTGCACCAAGGTGGTCAGCAAGATACTGTTCAGCCGAGGAAGATGCGATCAAGAGCTTACCAATGCGCTATTTCAGCAACACTGACGAACCTACTGATGACACATTCGTTATGGCAACGGCAGCCAGGGCTCATCCTATCCCGGGGCAAGGCAAGCGGATGAATCCGACGAATCCGTACGGATTATTACTACATCGCACACCATATTTGGTTAAACGAGGTAACCAATCTCAAGATCTCTTCCCATAACCTGAATAAAACTTAAACTGCTACGGATATATGCCTAGCCAACAGCTCCTCAACGTCTACGGAACCGCCGGGGTGCCGAGAGTGCATCCGCCGGCCATTCATTTATGGTCACCGGTAATGTAAAAGAGGATCGATCGGCGTTCGGCAGCTTAGGTAATCATTCCCAAAGGTAGTTTCCTACCTGCCCGGGGTCTAGGGAGAGGTTCCATTTCTTCGATGTACCATGCTCAGTGCGGACATTGATCGGCGTCAGTGTTTGATCAGGCCCCACTTTAGCCACGATTTCAAGCCACTACAAGCCTCGGCTATGGCTTCTTATTGGCCAGTCTATGGCAATTTGTGGTTCCTGTGGCGGTGTGATCAAACACTGACCATGATCGAGCTCCGCACTGAGCAGGGTATCACTAGGTACTGTATGTATTCGTACAGACACGTAGATCGTGGAGGGCCGCCGTACCATAAATCAAGTGGCTATCGCGCATCCTCGCGGTCCGCGGACACCCAATGTCCGTAAAGAACTGCTTTACAGCACAAGCAACACCAACAAGACACAATTTCCCCTCACGGTCGCTTTTCAAAATTCCGGCGCATCCGAGTGACATAACGAGTGCGAGCAAAGCAGGTTCGAACCTGCAATCATCGAGCAGCAATCCGTAGGCTCCCGAGTACACCTCCCCGTGTCGTTCCGACCTGCCTCCCTCCCGACTGCAGGGCAGGACCATGATCGTTTCACGCTGCTCATATACTGCCTCTCGCATCCCATGAGGTCCATTCCTAGTCCCGTTCTTGCAACCACGGGCGCGGCGTCGGGATTTGGGGCACTTGTACGGACGAAGGCAGCCTAGGAGTCGGAGTCCGCGATATGCCGACCAGAGTAGCTGGGTTGAAAGGCACGGTTTGGCCGCGCTATGGGCGCTGACCGGGAGGTAACATTTGAAGTGCGCGTGGATCAAGAACGGCGAGGCGCAGGTACCCGGTGGTAAAGAAATTAGAAGACTTAGGGAGTGTGTGATGGTTGCTGAAGCTTGTCAGCAGCTGGTTCCCTACAAACTGCCCTGACTGTCAAATCCGGGGGTTGTTGCCAAAGAAGCGCGAAGAAAGCGGGAATCTGTTGGTGCAGAGCGTTGGCAAGTTTTGTCTCATGTTCTCTTCCAGTCAACATAGGTTGTCTTTCCCTTTGTGTCAATTCCGCGGCAAGCATCTTCACCGCTAATTCTTGACCATCTAGTAGAGCTCTCATTCCCGGCCCTGCGTGTCGCTTCAGCGATAAGAGCTCTCGGTTGGGCCCCCGCTACGAACAATCGAGGTTGTTGTGAGACAGTATCGTCACTCAGCTTCTCAGATACATTCCCACGACCGCGCTGTGCAAGTCGTGTCTAATCCAGCAATACTAGTAATATTGGCACATCTGAAAGGCCCGATAGTGGTGTTGAATACCGTACCTTAGGTACTGTATCATTGCTCGTTTCTGGAAATTCTGGTTTCGAGACAACACTGATCCAGCCGGGCAGAGAGTCTTGGGTGTGCTGGGCTACGACTCGGAAAGCTGCAAGGACTGAAAGGGTCGCGTTTGTTGAGCTGCCTGCTACAGGTACAGTGCTTTTGAGATAACATCATGATTTCGCACACGAATGCGCCTGAGGCTGCACGTCAGGATTTTAGAAGCGGGAGCAGATTGGAGCACGGGGTGTACATGATAGTGCCGGGGCGGTTGTAAGGACGGAAGGTAAGCAATGGGATTGGAACCCGTTGTAGGTTGCCTCCCTCTAGCAAGTAGCAACTCCAGGCATTCATGCGGTGTCACCAATCGTGACTGCCTTAAGTTACTGTGGCTGAGCGGGGAGCACTGGGGGCCATGACTTTAGGCCGTCTCTCGAATAGCCTTGGGGGTTGCACATGTTCCGCAATCTGCCAATTGCATACCTATGTTCTTCAATCGCGTCTGCTTCATTGAACTTTGACCGGGCCAAGCAAGCGGAAATGTCGCTCTGTCAGGTTTGCCAGGACATCGACTTCGCGGCTTTCACTGCGCATGCCCAGCGAGCGAGCGTAGGACGCCCTCACCACATTCATATCCCGAGTGAAGGGTTCCCGACGGGGCATGATCTTTTCTATGTTGACGTCAAGCATTGCAAGAGGATGGAGTGCAACAAGGATCCTTCCATTTTCATTCCTCACCACAAGACCGTCGACGCGCTGAAATCAAGCGCAAGAAACTGTCCGCTCTGCGAACTCATCGCAGTCTCCTTTGAGGCCACCTTACACGAGATGCGACTGGCAAATGAAACGGGGTTTGGCTATACGCTGCCGGACTCGGAGTGCGAGTTCTATATTTGCCGCAGGATGCTAGCAGATGGGTTGCAGATTGTTGGTCGAGTGCCACCGGACTCACCGGAGCTGAAGGGTGAATCCAAGATACAGTACCCCGGCACACGCTATGACCTTATCGCTGGCATTGGATTCTGCGTAAGCGATGGTGAGCCGTCAAGAAGCTCCTTTCCTTGAACCGTCGGCGCTGAACAGCTATGACTTCAGATGACATACTCGCCGATTTCATCACAGGCAGAACTGTGCCGCCGTCGCCAGTGTCGTCTCACGTAGTCGAGCGAATGAAAACATGGCTAGCAAGCCTTTCTCCCCAGTCTCGGCCCTTGGGCAAAGCTGATACAAAGCTCCCCTCGAGGTTGCTGGCAATTAGCAGCGATGGCCACGAGGTTGCCCTCCAAGACCCAAGAGAGGGGACCATGGGCAAGTATGTAGCGTTGAGCCATTGCTGGGGATCATCACAACCCCTGACTCTCACGCGGATGACCGCACAACACCTGAGAGCAGGAGTAAAGCGCGATACCCTTTCCCAGACAATTCAGGACGCCATTTGGCTGGTTCACGAGCTTGGTTACCGGTTTCTCTGGGTTGACACCCTTTGTATCTTTCAAGACGACGCACAGGATTGGGCCAAAGAATCAGCGAGGATGACTGAAGTTTATGGAGGCGCGACACTCACCATTGCGGCCGACCGGGCGGCCAGTTGTGACGAAGGGTTTCTCTCTGACCGCCCACTAAGGAAGCTTGTGCCTGTTCCTATCAAGATCGGCGGTCCCGTCGATGCGTTTTCCTGGAAACCGAGCCTCTGAGCAAACGGGGATGGGCTTTGCAGGAACGCTACCTGTCGCCCTGCATGCTTCACTTCGGACGAGAACAAATCTTCTTTGAGACCTACGACAGCTTCGTCCCAGAAGATGTCTGTTCCTCGCAGCCATGCTCCTTTCTGGAACGTCAACGAACGTTTCATATCTGGATGCTTCTGGATCATCATGCATCGGAACAAATGGAATCGAAACTCAAACGTGCCTGGTTCGGCATTGTGGGACACTATTCGCGGCGCAAACTCACGATGCCAAATGACAAGCTGCCTGCCCTAGCGGGTCTGGCGGAGTTATTCGCAAGAGAGTTCACGAAAGCATCTCGGTTACTTAATGATTCGGGAGTGTATTCCAACGCATTTTATCTGGCGGGATTGTGGTCGAGCTCGCTAGCGGATCTGTGTTGGGAATTGGACTGGCATTCTGTTTCAGGAGTAAGGCCAAGCGAATACCGTGCACCGTCCTGGTCCTGGGCATCCATCGACGGGGACATCAACTACTCACATGGCGATCATCTTCTTTTCGATCCAAAACTGGCCATTGCCACGGTACAGGATGGGGGTGTGGATCTTTGCACGGCAGAAGCGCCCTTTGGGAAAGTGAAAGGTGGCTGGATTCGCCTGCGAAGTATGCTTCTACAGCTCACAGAAGACATCCGGCGCCCTAGGGGTTACGACGGTTTGGAATTGTGCGGGTTCGTACTTTGGCAAGAAGGCTTTTCGACCTCGCTCTATCCTCCTAAGTGGGATGCGGAGGCATACCGGAAAGGCCACATACGCGATATCGTGCGTCCAACAAACCAAACGACAGAGCTCTGGGCCATTCCTTTGACTTGGTATACGGCGGACCGTGATCGTGGGCTGATTTCGGGGCCGCTCTTCCTGCTAGTCAAAGCCGCGGAGCATTCGATACCCGCCTTCCGCGGAATCCAAGCGTTCCGGAGGGTTGGGACTATCTATGGGAACCTCAATGTACCCGTCGGTCCCGGAAAGACACAACTCAAGAGAGACATTCTGGAAGAGAAGTGGGCTGTGGCAAAATCTAATGGGGGGTTTGAAGACATATTGCTAATATGAAGCCCTCTGGTAGACGACGACCAGCACACCTGCTTGTGATGTGCTACTGCAAAATATGAGCGTGACAGTTAGATAGAAGGGAGATCTTGATTATGTTAACGTCCTATCTTACCAGGGGCATTGCCGTGTATGATCTTTGCACGTGAGAAGAATGCATCTGGTGCCACTACATGGACGCTCAGCCAGTCTGCCTACCAGGGACCTCGTTGGCTACCAGCTTGACATGAAATGTCGATGCCAAGGTCTAGTGATGCAGTGCATTTCCTTGTCCATGAAGCCCGGATATGTCGAGGTATCCAGTAACGATGGCACTCAGTTTCCTCAACTCTCCATTTTGGGGTCTCCCCAGTCGTCAGGTACTATCCAGATGCGGTAACGTGCGAGAATTTTATCATTAATCCTGTGTTTGAAACGTTTTCCAAAGCGACTTGAAAGAGGCGAAGAAACACGCCGCAGCGAGGAATGATCCAAACTACCTTAGTGTGCGGTGGCTGATTCCCATGTGGTGGTACGGAGGTAAGACTCGGTGCCTTGCAAGCTCAGATCGGGACCCGGAGTATGGATAGAGAGTTTATACAGCCTAAGGTATGGGATATGTAGGATGAATTGTACATACCGTACAGTGTATCGACATGTCCAGATAGAATGCTCAGACATCCCTAGAATGGAGCTGGGGAAATATCAGAACTCAGGTTTCTCTCATCTTCATCTCAGTGGAGTCAGGTGGTGACAAGGCGATGCCAAGCCCAAAATATCTGTAAGAATTGGAGTGGGAACAATGCCATCGCTCCATCAGTGCATTTGTTTGACTTTTACAGTATCTGCTGCCAATCTTGGTTGGTTCCGTACCTACCCCCTACCTAACTTCCATTGATCCGGACTCGAGACGCTAGTATGAACCAGGAATAAGGGACTAACGCCAAGAAATCCGATCTGTCCTTCGTGCAAGCACCAACGTTCGTATGTACTACATGTATACTAGTGAATCCCACTGCCGCTGATCCGGCTATGGTCTTGAAAATTTCAAAGGAGCTGACACCCGTGGGACAGCTGTGGGCAAGGTGCTTGCGTGTCTCCGCGAAAGGCCCGATTCATAAAGGGGTCAGGGCCAGCTTATAGTTGACTCCTTTCCGAACCCTATGTCAGGGACAAATACAACCTAGGTTAATTGTGCAGAGGTATTGCATGTACTGTACAGTACATAAGGTATCAATCGAAACGTTAATAACAGTCAGTTGTTACAGTATAACCCCTTTTCTGTTTCTCCTTTCGATTTCGTCGTACATGCCCCGAGGTACCCCGTGCTTCCCTTTTTTTAGCATCGAGGTGCTAGGGAAGGCCTGGCCGGCAGAGTGGAGCCCGGCATTCGGGACAGCCGGAGCATTAGCCTAATAAAGCATCGACACCTACCTTTTGCTACCTCTTGGCCGATCTCCTAAACTTTCAGATACCGACGGATTACTGTACCTCGCGTTGTGGGACTTGGTGATTCGTCCTGAAAAGGTGCATATTTTTTTCTTGCCCTTGAGGATGCGGAGGTCAAATCAACCTAATTCCAGCTAACCCATATATTTCTTCCACGACGCAAGCATACGTTTCGCATTCTCGACAACGCCGTCTGAACGGTATTTGGCGAAACTTATCTCGCAAGGATATTGCAGCAGCTGCTTGGCCTGGACGATCCCTATCAGGACCATGTGTAGATAACTGAGGCGGCCCACTGCTCCCATCCTTCGCCCAAACACCACACACCAAGCCGCGACGAGAAGAGTGGTCAAAGAAAAGCCATGGGGCAAAAGCAATCGGCAGTGCAGGTAAATGGCGCCACTGTTCAATTCTCGATCTTGAGCCGCCTAGTCCGCGCCTGCTAACCTCCAGCAACCACCATTAGTCGACCTTTTTCTGCCCGTCAACCGGCGAGGAAGTTGAGACCCCTCTCGGCCTTTGCGTTCGCTGCCAGGCGGCGCACGACATTATCTTACAGTCGGTTTTCGTCTGCCCCAATACCGGCTACCGGATAGAGTCAATCTCTCGACGACCAGACAAGGAGTGTCCATCGTGTTTCCAGATACATCAACCATACAGCAAACAAGTATACATATGCCCCGTAACGGGTGCGCAAATACCACATCCGCGAGAGACGGGAGGGAGGTGTCAGAAATGCAATCGGAGCCATGAGGACAACTCGACGCCCATGGGGAGCAGAGAGGCCGTGATGGCAAGGGGGTTAAAGGATTGATCGCGAGCAGCTGATTAATGGACGAGCCGACATGTCAGTATTCAAGGACTATGCGGACGAGAGAAACTCGGCATCCCTACCCCGTTCGAGGGAGCATCGGCCAAGAGACCGAACGGCTGGGCTGCGGTTGGGCTCTGGGTGTTGCTCTGAAAATTTGCACAGGGGCCATGGGAGGGCTAACTTAGGGGCACCTAGTACAGGCGTCGGGATACCACTGTGATGCGCGGCTGCTGGGTTCGAAGGGTCTCTTTTTCTGTTTTATGACGCAGTGGAGTTTGATACCATTCAATGATTTTACAAAGTTGGAGCTGTTGGTCAGTTGTTGATTGCTCTTGCTCTCCCTTTTTCTTCACAAACGGTCGGCTCAACTCCCGTCGGATTCCCATTGCATATGACCTTACCAGGTACCTCAGCTCAGCTGTGTAGGTACTTGGAGGTACATTACCTACACAGTCTTGCTTCCCGAATCATTCCTACCGTGGGTAGGCTTCAGCTGAAAGCTCATGTGGGTTCAATGCTCAGTGCCCACCACGTTGGCGACTGCTTTCCTGGTCTTTATCATCGTCGGCAACACTGCGGTAATCAGAATATGGACGGAACGTTACCCTACTCATCATCTGGAGACTTCTGGAACCAGGCTGGATTGCTCCCTTCCAAAGGTGCGTACCCGAGAGACGACGCTTGGCTCTCACTTTCCCCTCTGCAACCTAAAGAGTACGATCATGGCTAGGAAGAAATATCAATACGGGCCGGTTGAAACGTTGCACCCATTCCCGTACATATAGACTCCGCGCAGAAGCCATCGCCCGATATTTCGCTGCAACATCCGGCCGGAACTGCCAGCTGAGTGGTTGGTCCGAACTCGTCCGACATGATGATGTGGATGGGCTAAGCGGTCCATTGAGAGTGAGTCTGGGAGCTGGCACCACATGTCCTGAAATAATTCATAGTGTCAGCAGTGATGTAACTCTCATATTAGCCTGTAAGTGCACATACTCCAAGAGGGCTGGCAGCAGGATACTATGGTATGGTACCGTCGCTTGTCGTGCTGCTCAGGCTGATTAGCCTCAAATGCTGATGGCGTAGTAGTCCTTTGCGCGAGGTTCCATTACTTCTGAGATGCTCCAGTCGGCAGCGAGAACCGGGTTACAGCTCCGGCTCGGATATTGCCCGACATAAAGGCCACGATACCGCCTTCCTATACACTCAGTTATAGGCGTCGATCACAAACGTCGATCCCGTCCCCGTGTCTTCCCCGGATACGTCACAGGCTCACCCACGACACCCTACTAGGCACGCATCCCTGTACCACGGGAGCTCGAGACCATGACCCTCTCAGCACTGGCAAGGAGTGTCCTCCTTTGTGTTCTTGGCTTCTCATGCTATGTAGCGGCGGTTTGCACTCGCAGCGTTACGGCCAAGCAGGGAGATACGTGTGCTTCGCTGGCCTCCGCAGCCGGCATCACTGTCACTCAGTTTCTTAGGTCTAATCCATCTGTTGTGAGCTGCTCCCAGCTTGTCACGGGTGGCATCTACTGCGTGCAAGGCGTAGCGGACAGCGTTTCAACTTCCACAGGCTCAGCACCCCCAGCCTCTTCGAGTTCAGCCTCACTTATGGTTAGCCCGGACGGGACATGCGGAGCGGGAGTAACCTGTTCCGGCTCGAGATATGGGAGGTGTTGCTCCAGGCACGGCTTCTGCGGCGATAGCGAAGACTACTGCGGCGATGGCTGCCAACCGGGCTTTGGGTCTTGTGGCTCGGGGTCTGGACCTGGCACAACTTCTCCAGGCGCGGCGGTTACTGTCACGGTCACGGCTGAGATTACTCGGACTGCGTATATATTTGAGACGGCCACCGTGACTAGCACCGTCGCCCTCACCAACACAGCAACTGCCGTCACCACGAGGACTTTCAGCGCAACCACCACCATTACCAACACGGCACCAGCCACAGCGACCACGACAGTTCGGACTACTGCCGCTGTGACAGCCACCACGACGGTCCGGGCTACTGCCATCGTGACGAGTACGGTGGTCCGGACCTTGACAGCCACGGCACCAGCCACCAGCATTCTCACACTAACCACCATCTCGACCGTGACCGAAGTCGAAACATCAACCAGGGTCAGCGTGAGAACCTCGACTACGACCCAGACAGTAAGGGCGACGTCCATCTCTGTCGACACCATTACCACCATCACAACCTTAACTCGCACCGTCACGTCTGCGACCTGCGGACCAGCCACCCGGACGCTGACACAGACGACAACCGTTACCGCAACCGCCACGCAGACGCAGGGCGGGAAGCCGTCTCCGACTCTGCCAGGGACGCCTAGCAACTGTGAGTCGGCTATTTCCTAGCAGAATATGCTCATTGGCATAGGCATTATCAAACCTGAATGACCCTGATCAGGGGTAGCTTCGGGATTGTACCTGAGATTAGTATTACCCCTGAGATGGTAAAGCAGCTGACAGTTTGCTTCGTTGCTTCTCTCTTTTCTAGGCAAATCCTACGATAGTATCAGATCGGATGACAGCTGCCGCAGCATCGCCCAACGGAATGATCTTACGTTACTGGAATTGTGAGTACCGAGTACATCCTTGGTCCTGCAGTTGTTGCCTCCACTCAGTCTTTGCCCTGAGCTTCGCTGACTTTCAACGTGAAACAGCTATGACTTGAACCCGGCGGTAAGAGCAAACTCCATGAGTATCTGTGTTCCCCTCCTGAGTCGATGAAGATGCTAAGAAACGGTCCTGACAGATCAACTGTGACGCACTGCGGGAGGGGTACTATGTGTGCGTGAGAGTTTGAGGCGGACTGAGGGTAATCATGGTACCTATGGTCAGGGCAGAATCACAGTCACGCGGAATTGTATCGCAGTGGTAAGACATTGTGCCTGGAGGCTGGGCCAGTATTGATCCCGGAGGCCTCGATAGCAGAGAGGACCCAGAGAAGTTTGCCTAGGTACCTAAGCAGCGTGGGTAGCAGCGAGTATGTGTTGAGGTAGTTGAAATTGACAAGAGTAATTTATATTTGTATCTTCACAAACCATCCCATTGCACGATTGGGTATTGTACTAAGCCAAGGTATGCACTTGTATGTCCATGTACCTACGGTATCTCCTCTTTCTCCTGTCCTTTATAAAGTTAGTACTTCAAGTTCTAAATCTCGGGAACCAGAGAGGTACATACCTACACAATCTCGTGGAAAAATTTGAGGTTGAACTGCCCGGTTACTCACTATGGGCATCATACTACTAATAGTGATAGTACTACTAGTAGTACATCAGAGTCTCAGACTTGCTCAACTTACACTCTTCCCGAATCCCGAGGCAAGTTCTTTGGCAGGTATGAGGTGCTTAACAGTACAGTACAGGACGACTTCAACAACCACAGTTCCCCGATAACAAGATAGACGGAAGCTAATAGCTACCAAACAATAAACGGTGCTTTACTCAGATGTAGACTCACTGCTAATTGGAATTGGATGACCTCCTTAGTACTGCTACGTATAAGTGCACAGTTACCGCCCAGTACCGACACTGTGCTGTATTCTTCAAGTTCAATGAGTTGTGCCCACTTTCCCCAAATTCCACGTCGAAGCTTCAGAATCTCCTGAACACACCAAACCAAATCGCAGCTCGGCCGCCTTTCGTTCCGCTCAAGCCATTGAGCGCTGGCTTTGACCAGCCCTCGTCAGCAAGATGGCGGGCCCTTACCTAGGGGCACGACACGCTCTTTCAGCCATCCTTCGACCCATTTCACGCCAGCATTGCCGTCAACAGCCCAGACTGAGCAACCAACCCCAGCGTCGCCTCGCATCCACAACCTCCCCAACAACCCCCGTCCTCTCCCGCGCACGAACCATTCTCATAAGCAGCACACTCGCCACCTCGCTCTTTGCAGCCTACTACTACGCGACCGACACGCGCGCCTCGCTGCTACACCGCTGGCTGATCCCCCCGCTGCTGCGGCTGATCTTCCCCGACGCCGAAGACGCCCACCACGCCGGCACCGCCGCGCTCAAGGCGCTGTACTCCCTCGGCCTGCACCCCCGCGAGCGGCCCGCCTCCCCCGCAAAAGAGCAATCGCAACCCCCGCTCTCCGTCACCGTCTTTGGCACGACGCTCGCAAACCCCATCGGCATCTCGGCGGGGCTAGACAAAGACGCCGAGATCCCCGACGCGCTCTTCGCGCTGGGCGCGGGCGTGGTCGAGGTGGGCGGGTGCACCCCGCTGCCGCAGGAGGGGAATCCGCGCCCGCGCGTGTTCCGCGTCCCCGCCGTCGACGGAATGGTCAACCGCTACGGGCTCAACTCGCGCGGGGCCGACGCCATGGCCGCGCGCCTGCGCGAGCGGCTGCGCAGGTTTGCACTCAGCTTGGGATTGACGGAACGCGAGATGCTCGATGGCGCGGTTGAGGGTGCCGGTGTTCCGACGGGGAGTCTGACGCCCGGCCGTCTGCTGCTCGTGCAGATTGCTAAAAATAAGAAGACGGATGAGCGGGATGTCAATGCGGTGATTAGGGACTATGTGCATTGCGTGACGCGGTTGGCGCCGTATGCTGATGTGTTGGTGGTCAATGTCAGTAGTCCAAACACTCCTGGTCTCAGGGACCTGCAGGCGGCGGAGCCGCTGGCGAGGTTGCTCAGTGCCGTGGTAAACGAGGCCAAGCGGACGGATAGGAAAACCAAGCCGAGGGTCATGGTCAAGGTTTCGCCAGACGAGGATGATGATACCCAGATGGAGGGCGTCGTGCAGGCCGTGTGGATGAGCGGAGTGGATGGGGTCATTGTGGGCAACACGACCAAACGGCGCACTGGGCTCGTCCCGCAGGGGGTGAAGCTGAATAGCAGGGAGCAGAAGGCACTGATTGAGGAAGGGGGCTTCTCGGGGCCGGCCATGTTTGACCGGACACTGGACCTCGTGGGAAGGTATCGCAAGATGCTCGATAGTTACTCGCTCAAGTCTGCTGAGGCGGATAACGTGCTTGCTCCGCAAAAGGTCATCTTTGCGACGGGAGGCATCACAACTGGCGAGCAGGCCCTGAAGGTCCTGAACGCTGGCGCGAGTGTGGCCATGGTTTACACAGGACTGGTCTATGGTGGCTCCGGCACCATTACGAGGATAAAGAACGAGATGAGGGAGAAACTTGCGATAAAAGCGGCGTGATGCCTACAGAAAGGACATTATGAACTGCCCGAGGTAGGCGGCCTTGGCTAATCGGCTATGACTTGCGCCACCAGACGGAAGGGTAGAACAGCGCGAAGAGCCGTTACCGGAGATAGGCGGAAGGTCGGTACTGGCCAGTCCACGACGCATTGTTTAAGCCAGCATCGAAGTTTTGCATCCCCCTTGCAAGGAAATAAGAGGCAATTGCATGCAAATTGGATCCCTAAGTTGAGCCTAACATTCCAAAGCCGCTTATAACTACAACAAGGTACCTCGCAAGACGCCCGTTTGACCAGTGCCCATCCTTCCAACTATGCTCTTCTGATATGCACCTCCAATCCGGACTGCACCACGAAGAAGGACGCGTTCGCCTTGAGCGGCCGGCCCGGGTGTGCCAGCTCAAACCGATAGTCGCGCAGTAGCCTCGGCACAACCTTGTTGATTTCAAGCAGGGCCAGGTTCCGGCCGATGCACAGGTGGCTTCCACCTCCGAACTGCGTGGTGCAATGTCAGCTACAACCACAACCAGCCACCAGCAAGCATAAGAAACGCGTGGGAGACCTACCTGGAACATGTACCTCTCCATCCGTTTCGCCCTCTCCTCGTCCTCAAGCCATCGCTCGGGCCTGAAATCGTCCGCGTCCTGTCCGAAGACCTCTTTATCCCGATGCAGCACCCACCCGTTGCAGGCGATGGCAGTGCCGCCGGGGAAGAAATGTCCGTCCAGTTCGGCACCTTCGGGGGGAACAAGACGGGTGATGTTGAGCCCGACAGCCGGACGCACTCGCATGGCCTCCTTCAGGCAAGCCTGGAGGTAGGTCAGATTCTGCGCCTCGTTCCACGTGAGGTTGCCCTGGGCTGGGATGACGCCTGTCTTGACGGCATGTTCAATCTCGCGCAAGATGGACTGGTACACGGGAGTCGAGTCGAGGATGTGCCAGAAAAAGGACTGCATCGTCGATGCGGTCGAGTCAGAGCCGGCGAAGCTGCCATCCACAGTGAGCAAATCCATCCTCGCACTCGGGACAGTATTTCCATCAAGCTTACATCGCACCGTGCGCAACGGCAAACACATCCCCCTCTCGGAACTTCTCGGGATCCTTCAGATGTCCCTGGATCAAACTGGCCATGAGATCCTGCCTGCCATCGCCCGTCCTCAGCAATCCGGCGCTGTCCTTATCAAACGGCTGCCGCCTCGCCATCTCCTCGAGAGCCATCCTTGTGATCAGCGCATTCTTCGTGCTCAACCACGGGATGTACTGCCACAGCGGGTTCCTGCGCAGGAGCAGATCGAGCTCGGGCACCTGGCCGACGATACCGTTGTACATCTGCGACTTGTCGATCGTCTTGATGGCATTGTCCACGTCCCTGCCCTGCTCCAGGAAGCCGAAGCTCCGGCTAAACGCGACTTCGCCCAGCACGTCAAAGGCAAAGTAATGCAGCCAGTCGCCCAAATCAAAAACCCCCTTGTTCCCGTCGATGTGCTCCCCAATTTTCTTCACCAGTAGCTCGATGGAGTCGTTGATGAAGGGACTGAGCTGCTGCATGGCCGTCATGCTGTAGGGGACGTTGGCGACGCGCTTCTTGATGGCGTGCACGTCCTCGCGTGTCTCGGTGAAGATGTCCGGGTTTTCAGGCGGCGGGAACACGCCGTAGAAGGGCGTCTTGAAGAAGCGCTTGCCGGCGCTCAGCAGCGTGCGCGCCGCCTCGGGTGATGAGACGGATACCTCGTTGGGTGCAATCCGTACTATAGGGCCGTACTTCCGATGCAGCGCGATGTGTTCCAGGTGCGTGCGTCCCGAGGCGGTTGACTTGACCTTCCAGAGACGGGAGACTGAGGCCAGAAAGGGGCCAGGGTACTTGCGGAGGGGTGAAGCATAGCGTTTGTAGAGGGCTCTGATGACGATAGTGGCTATCAGGAGAGGGAGCCAATGCTCTGTTGCAAAGGCCACGGCTGTGGCGAGGAGGGAGGCTCTGGTGCCCGAAGAATCGGGCCTAAGAACGCCCATTTCGACGTAAGGGCGGCGTGGTGTTGGCCCTTTGGGCAAGGAGAGGCTCAGGGGGTTGAACCTTGCCTGCCGGCGGTGTTTCTACGCTTATCAGGGGCGAAGCCGAACTGTTGAAGTTCGCCGGTCAACAAGGGACTTTTGTTGGTATTAAAGGTATCGTAGAACGGGACCAACACGCATATGCCATGCGCATGGGGGAGTTAATAAGCAAGCAGCAACCAACGAGCACCCCTTTATTGGAAGCGCCCCGCGTGTCATTAGGCCCGTCGGGAGCATCTGCCGATCAAGACCCAGGCCGTGTTGGTCGGGCGCCAAGACCGGGTGAAGAACAACCGTGACCCAGTGACGGAGGCCGGGTTCTGGGAGGCTTCATGGCATGGGGGCTGCATAAACAGCAGGCCCAATCAGGGGACTCGGAAATCGGGTGTAGAACTGGAGGGCGAGGGCGAGGAAGCTGGGGACTGGAGAATGCGGAGAAGCTTGCTACATGGTTCGTTGTAAGTGGAGCTGCAGGGACCAAAACGGTGGACAGCCATTCCCCAAGTTCCAACCGGGTTCAGCTCGTTTGATACAGTTGCGAATTGTTTTCTCTGGTCCGTCCCGGAGAGAGGAAAAAAACACAAGCAGAAGGAGCTAGTATCTTGGAGGGAATAATGGTGTCCGAACTGCAACGACACTTGCAGCATGGCCCGAGCAGTGTTGATCGCCCTTGAGAGGATGGGCTCTGGTGAGTGTTGTGCGTGCGGAGAAGATTACGAGAGCCTGTCCGTTGGCTCGTCGACTGCTTTCGGCAGTTGGTACGCATCTCTTCCGTCCAACCAGCCTGAGCGGTACCGTACAAGTACCGCCTCGAATCAGGGAAAGCTTTAACAGTGCAGGACAGGGTTGACGATCCAGGTTAGCGGGGCGAAAGCGGCTCGCAATCGCCTAAGTTGTGGTAAAACCGTGTGATCGCCGATTGCTCCTGACTCCTGAGGGGTTGGACTCCATGGAGCTTACCTCAGCAAGGTGTAATCAGCCAGGTAGGGCATTTTGTCTGTCTGACAGAAATATCGAGGCACAACCAAAACCCCGTTGAAGATTGAGGATGGGCATGGCGGGATGAAGGTATCCGGATGACCTTGCGGTTTCTCCACGTTTTGGCGTTGAGGACAAGGCCAAACATGCCCGGGAGACTTTGCCCCGCCTCCGCAAAATGTGTGGTCCGTCACACTAGCGTCCGTGCCAAGGAAGAGGTGGGACGGTGTCGTAGGTACTTCACAGATGGCCTCAAATCCATAGGTATTCACCAGGGAGTCCTCGAGTCGCATGTTGTGCAGTGTAAGATCTCTGCCATCACAGTATTGTTCTGCGCAGGATGTATTGTATGTACATATATACAGTACACTTACACCTTGAGGCTCTCACGATATAATCTGTGCGACCGCGCCCCTCGAGGTACTGTACCCGGCCAGAGACTTAACAAAGGTGCCTGCCTATGGATGTACAATAGCAACCTGGGACGTAAGAGGATATCGTCCGATTCACTACCTTTCTATTTTCTCGCGTGACTCCAAAACTCCGAGCAATGATGCCAAACCCAGACTCAGCCGGCGATATAAACACAATACTAGTACCGTGACCGACGCTGGCACTCCAGGATTCCTCACACGTCAACCGCCTTCTTCGCCGCAGCCTTTTGCTTTTTCAGCTTCGCTTTACGCTCAGCAATCTCCTTATCAAGCTTATCGTCATTGCTTTCCGGCAGCGCCTTTTTCGCCTTCTTCTTCGGCCGCTCCTCCTTCGCCTGTTCTTCCGCGGCCGGTTGGGCGTCCCCATCCAGTGATTTGCGCTTCTTGCCAATGTTGGGCTTTTCCGCGCCTTTCCTACCAGGCAGTGCGCTTGGGACTTCCTGCCCGTCAGGGACGACCTTTGAATCGTCCAGCCACAACTCGTCTGTTTGGTAGATTGGCAGGGCGGCCGTCTCGGGTCCCTTGACGTAGATGTTGCGTACGTTTTGCCACTTTTGCGGGACAAACCGCTCAACTAGTTCGCGCACCACTGTATCAATGTTCTGTGCCAGCTTCTCCGGTTCCCAGCTCGCATAGCCGACCTTGATCGCCGTGTTGTTTGATGGGCTGAGGTGGACCAGCGCCGCACCGACAGCTCTCTGCACCTCGGTGACAATTTCGGGAATAGGCCGCGCATTGACGTTCTCGGCCGGGTCACGCTTCTGCTTCTTCCCTTTGGGGGCTGCCACTCGCTTGCCGTCGACCTTCTCTCGTTGCGCCATCAGCACGACCGGCACTGGCCGTTTTGTGGTAGTCTTGTAGAAGGTCTTGCCGAGGGCCTTCGGCAGACGGTTGATGATCCTGTCGTCGGCGAGGAAGACATCGTGCTCGCTAAAGAGCTTTCGCTGGGCCTCGTACGCCTTAAACTTGGCCCGTAGGTGGCTGATGTCGATAACCCTGCCGATTTTGGCCCTCAGCTCTTCTGGGAATTCGTCCGCGACAGCATTCTTGTACCACCGCTGCGGATCAGCGGTTATTAAGCAAATGCTCGTTTCTTCGTTTGTATTCAGAGGGTTGGGAAGGACAATTTTCCCTGGTTGAAGGCCTGGATATTGGTCAGTCATTAATACCATCGTATGATATGATCAATCCTGAGTCACACATACGGTGCGAGTCGTGAATATGCTTCTTTGTTGTAACGGTGAGCCAGACGGGCGTCTCGGCGACCGCGGACTCTTCATCGGCAAGCAGATTCTGCTTCCCGTTGGCGGGCCGTGATGCTGCGGCTTTCTTAATGTGAGCAACGAGAGCCCGGCAAGCCTTGAGAGTCTGCTCAGGGTCCACGGGGACAATTCCACCGTCAGCGGCCTTTGTGATGGCCTTGGATTGCGACATATTCGGTGACGGACAGAGATCGGTGGTTTGCGGTGCGTCGTTGTCGCGCCCAGATTTGGCATGCTACTTTTTTCTGGGTCCACGGCTGGATCCATGGATGGAAATTTTGGCTTATCCGGGCGTCGTGTTTTTCCGCTTATCTCGGCAAGATCCGATATCTTGGGACCACTGACAAGGCACAGTGGCCACCTACCGGAAAAGGTAGGTGGGGCTACTGGTGGTTGGAGGAGAACGGCTGGCAGGGCTGGCAGACAGTGTTATTCGACTGGACTGTTCACATTGACTTTTGTTTGTGCTCTCGCTGTGTTGACCTTGAGCATCCTCGCTTTTGGTACCTCACTCAAACTGCTCATTACTACTGCTATGTCGGCTCGCTATCCCATTCGTCTATTCCATGATCCATCACGACATCAACATACATAGAGACGTTCACACTCTCATCCGCATCCCAAATCGCTCTTCCCATTTGCCCCTCTTCCATTCCCAGCAAAGCCAACATCAATCCTGGCGATGGCCCTGCAGGATATGCATCCACAAGGGCGCAGAAGATACAAGAAACATCAACGAACCAATTGTACACTGACAGAAACGACGCCGTCCGCTATGCAAGCCCCAAAAGCAGGCTGGTGAAGGTTACAGGGCAGAGGCCAATAAATGTTGGAATAGTGCAAGACGGAGACAGGGGTATTGGGTATGTGAACTTTTCTTTCAGCACAAGTGCAAGCAATCCTCCCTTTCCCATTGCCGACTCCCTTTACAAGGACCGGGATGATTGCCAATCAAGATGAAAAGAACACGAGGGGAAATAGGTAAGTGGAGGCATTGACAGCACTTAGGGGGTACGTGGGCGCTTCCAGTAGTATTGCTGAGTCACACAGAGTCAGCTGCTCAACTTTCCAGTCATGAACCCTAGCGGAAGAGACTAACCTTATGCTGCTTCCTGCAGGCTCTTAAGCTCGGCTTCCGCAGCCCGTCAGTGACAGCCAGCCGTCGCTGCTCGTCCGTGTCGAGCTCGGGAATATAATAATACTCGCTCTCAAGAGGCTTGCCAGCGGCGTCTTTACCCTGTCGCCTGATGATACCAACGCACTTTGTCGACTCGATGATGATGCGTAATTGGTCTTTGGAGAGGTCATTTCGCTCGTCCGAGGGCAAGTTGCTCATAATAGTCGAAAGCGGGGTCGACGAGAGTCGCGAAAAAGCAAGTTGGTTGATTACGTGGTTGGTGATTTTGGCCGTCTTCTCGGGATCCAGACCACTGGCTGACGCCGGCGTGGCGGCCGATGTGCCCGTCTTGTCGCTGGTATTGGCGAGCTTAGCGTCTGGAGAGAGGGACGGCTGAAAAGAAGCACTAGATGCAGCGGCCGAGACCTCGGACAACGGATTCCTAGCCGAACGTTGTTTGATTGGCGAGAGTGTTGAGAAGGAAGCAAGCCGGCCAGAAAGGTTGGCTCCGAATGGGCCAAACGAATGAATAATTGGATCATTCTCCTCGTCGGGATCGTTCTCCACGTCTGATTGGGGCTCACTCAGGTCGCTGGAAAAGCTCTCAAGAACATCAGACGGCAGCTCGGGTTCCACCTTGGCGGTACTGCTTGGTTTCGGCGATTCCTTCTCGTCTGCGCTGGCGTCCTCATAAATCTGCACTGCGGCGTCGTCGTGATTGCCGCTCCCCAGAAGCACGCTGTCGAGGCTCGAATTCGATGCGGACACATTGGCCGGCGTGGGAGATTCGGGACTTGAGATGCGCGTCCTCCGCCTCAGTGGGCTCCCTTGCAGCTCTGAGGCGTCAGCACCCCTTGGCATTCTCGGCCGTGGGGACTCGTCCCAGGAGGAATCGCTCAGGTGGCCCAACACATCCGGATCCTTATCCCGACGCGGCCACTGGACAAATACCCTGGCATCTTGAACATCAATCATGATTGCTGTACCCTCAGACTCCGAGACAAAAGATTCGTCCTTTGCCAAATCCCACGTCTGCCCTTGGCAATGGAGCTTCAAACCGTTCCAGCCGGTGCAAGTGATCTCGATTTTGTTGGGCTCGAGAGGTTGGGTGGCAGCGATATACCTGGCCTTCACATGGACTCTGCTGATCAGACGGTTTGCCGACAGCTGAAAGTGGGACGAATTGCTCGATCGTCCCATCAGGAGCGGCTCGCCGTTCTCATTCACCTCGACTGATCGGACATCTGAAAGGGGAGCACGTTCAGACGCCGTCGACTCGGTTCGTTTCGGCACTGGACGCGCTTTGACGCGTGGGGGACTCGACGACAAGAGGCCAGTGCTCGAGGTTGGGACTGGCGTTGGATACTTGAGAAAAGCATTTGCGCTAGCCTGCCGTTTATGGGGCCTCGGAAATCCTGGGGAAGAGGAAAGAGGCTCAAATGGAGGAAGAAGCGAAGGTGCAGGGCGCTTTACGCCTGCCGTGGAGGGCAGGGTAGGCTCCGGCGCCTTGCTGGCTGCCGAGGGCGACGAGTCCATTCTCCTGCTCGTCACGCCGTGATCATGACAGTTATTGTCGAGAGCGAACCGCTACAAACCAGAACCTTGGAAAAGTGGGAAGCCGAAGGTCAAACTCTGCCGTCACGTCGGAACGCGTCAAGTGCGGCCTTTGTTCCGCTTCGAAGACCGCGAAAGTATGGAATGGGCCTGTGAGTTGGCGCAGTGTCTAATTAGGAGAGAAGAAAGAGTCAGACGCAAAACCGAAACCAAACCGAAGATCGAAGAGAAACAGAATTGTTTCTCCAAAAAGGCCGGCTTGTGAAGGTGGCCTGGTTAGAGGAGGCCTAAAAGTATGCTGGGGAGTGGGGATCTGGTATTTAAGAGCTGCAACGCAGTGGTCGCGGGCGTGTCTTCGGGACCGTGGTCTTGCCTGTTACAGGACGCGATTTCGTGAGTGAGGACCCTTGGCAAGCGCGATTAGCGTGGACCCGGCCCACCCAGCCGAAGCGCGTTTTTGCGTGCTTACAGTGCTAATCCTGGGCGTATGTTAGGAAAGTCAATTGGGCCACTCACCGCCTTTGGCGGGCGGCTAGGCGGATCTAATCATTCTGAGCTTCCACTAAAATGACGTACCGCCAGTGTTCCACTAGAAGCCCAAGAGGACAGAACACTGATCAGGGGCAGAATGGAACGCATGGAATCAGATAATCTGATTTCCTCCTTGTTCAATTGTCCTCCATCTTGCAGCCATCCGTCGTGAACATAGTAATCTATCTGACAATGGCCATATTACATCTACACCGTGTTGGAAAGCACCGGTTCCCACTCAGCGAACGCGAGAAATTCTAGGCGGACATTAAGGCACCAGCCTCCTCACCACCCCGCTCCACTGCTCCATTCCGGACGCTTATCCCCTCGCAAAGAAGCGTGCTTTTTTCAGGATCATCGAGGCCAATGGAGACAAGACGGGAGTCCGCAGCTTGGCGCTCATCTGGGGACCGCATCGACATGCGACGTTTTTCTTAGCATTAGCAAGCAGATGCAAGTTAAGAACAGACGTAAAGGCCACCCACGAGCGCACGCAGACAACGCAATGTATGGATACTCCTTCCCAGCCCAGGTCAGTGTCACAAGCAGAGCCAAACGAACAATAGACAGATAGTGATGCATAAGGTGAACCTCGATTTGCGCAGTGTACAATACCATACCGAGCCCGCGAAGAGTCCCATGATTCGCTTTACCCTTGCACTATGACCAGTGACTTGCGGCACGCAACCAAATCGCCTACCGAAAGAGATATCCCAAGAACCCTGCGCCATCCTTCCCATTAATACCCAGACGCCCAACCAGCCTACCCAAACCGACACGCCAGTTCAAACAAAGGAGGTTAGGGGAATAGGACTAAATGGCAACCTCAAAGCTCATCATCGCCCCCAAGTCCTGGACGAGGCTCAGACCTTCCCCGTTGACGGTTTAGGGGCCCAAAGAAGCTGTCAAACACCTCCATCAACAGTTCGTCGGAAATGGCCATGTGAGCGCCCGGAGCAGTGCGGAATTTCAGTCCGCCCTTGCGGTCGAGCTCACGCAGACCTAGCCAGTCCTCCGTGTACAGTTTGCGGGCACGGAGAGGCGTGTGTTCCGTGCCATTGACTTCCTCAAACCAGGATGTCTCTTTCGGAATCACCTTCTCGTCCTCCTCGAACATGTACATTACGAAACTCTCCAGCTTCTTGATGTTTTCCTTGTACGTTGCGTTCTTCACTTCCCGCTCGTTGTTGATATCCGCCAGGAAGTTGGAGTACTTGAGGTAGTCCTCGTATTGCTCCGGGTCGCGGAAGTACTGCGCGGGGACCAAAGTGCTCTGCACGCTGCCCCAGGGGGAACCATGTATCAGCCCCATGGCAATCTTGCAGATAAAGTCGCTCGTGTCGCAGTCGCCGAAGCGAATGATGCCGTTGTGCTGCGAGCCAAATGTGACGAGGCTGCGCACGGGCGGCTTGTTGCAACGTTCGACGTATGCGCGGAGGAACTGGCCGCCCTGCGAAAAGCCGAGGGCATCGATAGCGGGCGCTGTCGAAAGGATGGGATGTGCGGCGATGTCGGCACATGCCTTCGCGATATGTTCCGTGAGGTTGCCGATAAACGAGTCATAGCGGTCGCGCGGTCCGTACTCATCCATGCGAATCGGGTAGACAAGTGTGCCTGGGTGCGCCTTCTCGGCGAGCTCGCCGACGAGACGCATCCCATCGGCGTTGTAAGCGTCACCCAAACCTGCACAATTACCATGTCAGCACTCGGTCGGATACCTTTGGGGTGATTCAAGCTTACCATGCCATATTACCAGCGGCAGCGGGGTGTCATCATCGTCGCCGTCGTTAAACCGATGTACAAGCGACTCGTCAGACGAGGCTGCGAGGAGGGACCCGAACCTAAGGAAAAGTAACAGTCGATGCAAGATCGACATATTCGGATGTGTTAGCGAGGAAATATAGGCAGAAATGTCCTGCAATACACTCCGAGCAATAGCAATCGAAATGGAGATGGCAGGTCGAAGATTCAGCTCGGCAGCAACGTATCGAGGGAAGGCGAGGAAAAGGCGTCGATGGAGTGGTCCCGACGAAGTATGTACCTCTGTAGCAGTGGCGGTGCAGTTTGCTTGCCAGCAACGTTCCAGTTGACAACTGCCCCACTTTTCCTTTCACGCGCCCCAATTGGCCGAGGTCAGTCTGACGACGGCCCGGACGGGGAAAGTCCACTCCCAACCCCGACTTGAACGCGGCATGGCCCGGACTCCATTTTGACAGCAGCTCCCAAGTCCCAACCTCACTTCGGTTCCATTCCATAAAAAAATTTATTCTCATCCTCTTTGCAACAGACAAGACTCCGTCGGGGTTCCAGATTGAACCAGGTGAACTTGCCCTTAACACCAGTTGTGTCCCTAAGGTATGTAAGAGAACCTTTCTTTCTGCTACCACTTAGCACAAAACTCAGCGACACCATGATGATATCAGGTTACAAAATATGTTTCAAGACGGGGATGAGATCTCAGTGATTATAACTCAAACCTCCTGACAGTTGAGACTGCTTGCCTCGTGTCGTGCCTTGCTCTTTGGCAGCCAATTACTAACCGGACTTTAGAGCAATCTTCTCCATTACTAAGCCCTTTCTCTTCAAAGGGTCACACGCATCGGATCAGTCGCATCGTCAAGACCTGAGAAGTCGACGCATCGCACTGCCTTGCGTTCAACCTACGACCACACCAACATTTCCTGCTGAAGCCGCTCCGATCACCTGCACGACTTCAATGTGACAAAAGTGAAGTCTCGAAGGGTGCGCCACTCGATACTTACTACTTAGGTACCGTTAGTGATTCAAAATGAGAACACAGCTGTTCCTCCTGCTAGGTCACTCCAGTGCCCTACATCGGTCATGTTCTCTTCCAAATGCATCAGCCTTTTGGCATTGTTCTCATCTTAGGTAGGTCGAACCTCCTCCCAAGGTACCTTGCGGGTTGAACTCGCTCAAATCGTCTCATTTGTCGCCTGCCGATACCATGCTCTGCTGTATCTCCAAACTCCCATCAATCATCCACATCCCGAGGCTCAAGCTTCTCCCACACCTTGTTATACTCCTCCAAAGTCTGGGTCCTGAACTCCGTTGGCCTTGAGATGGGTAAGAAGCTCTCCTTGCGCGCTTCAAACTCGGCCAGCCTCTTCCTCGTCGCTTCGCGGCTCACGTTGACGCTATAAATCTTGATTCGGTGGCAGCTGCTCGTCACATGCAGGCCCCAGTTCCAGCTTTGACGGACCTCCATCGGCTGCGTGTTCAGACTGTTATCCCAGCAGCGGACGACGAGTTCTGTCCAGCCCTCGTGATCGCAAGGGACAGAAACGGACCAGGCCCTCCACGTCCATTTGTGCTTGGCTGACATGTTCTCTACGGGCACCATATACCACACCCGGCCACCGTCCGCCGAGACCTCAACTCGCTCTGGCCACCGTCCGCCGCCGGAATAAGCCCAGCCTTCGGTAATATCAACAATTAGTTCACTGAATCCTCGGTTGCAGCCTCGGGTGTGCTCACCTGTCACTTCAATGTGGCCATTGTGTACCACAACCTCTTTCTGCCAGGGCGTCATGATGGCACTGCTCACCGGCATCTCCTGGATTTGGATACCCACTGCGACCACTCGTTAGTCCGACCTCTTACAGTGGCACTGTGTCAGGGATTGCGAAATCTTTCTTACAGTGAGGCAGCTGGTTATGCTTGCCATACTGCTGCTGGAAGTAAAGATACTCCCTAGACTGCACCGGCGCACGGCTAGGTGTATCGATGGCTTTGATACGGTACAGCCACTTGACGCTCCGCGCGCCAATGTAGCCCATGACCACAGCTCTCAGCGGGGCTCCGTGTATCTTTGGCAGCGGCTTTCCGTTCATCTCCCAGGCAAGGAGCACCTCGTTGGCCTTTACCTTGGACCACGGGACCGAGACGACGTAATTCATGAGCTCGCCGCCCTTGAAGTAGCTGTCGGCGCCGTACAGCTCGAGATGCTTGCCGCCGTCCTTGAGCCCGCCGCAGTACTTGATCACCTTTTTCAGGCTGACGCCGGTCCACAAGGCGGTGCTGATTGCCCCTTCGGCCCAGGGGGCGTTGATCATCTCGTCCCCTTCGCCCGCGAATTCCTGAATCTGCTCGAAGCGCCTGGTGCCGCTGCATTGGATGGTGACGAGCCTGGACACGCGGGGGAACTTTGACTCGTCCTGCAGGTCGGCCAGAGTGAGCTTTTGCGGGTTATTCACGAGGCCGTCGAGGCGGAGATCGAATGCACTGGGGTCAATGGCCGGGATCCCGCCATGGTTACGGACAAAGTGGAGCTCATTGGGAGTGATGGGATCGTTGATGAGCAGACCCTTGGGCGGCTCGCCGTTGTAGGGGAACTGGAGCAGATGGAGCATGCCAGAATGTTTCTCCTAGTTTGACTTTAGCGGCCGCGGTCTTTCTCAAGCTGGCGGTGTCTCCATTCTCATACTTTGAGCACAGTCTCCCAGCTCTCCTCGGGAACGTTCTCCAAAGCTCCTCCAATGGCTTTATGCCACAGCTTCCATCTCACGCCCTCCAACACAGGGTTTGTGGGCGGAATCGGCCCAAGCTGGAACTCGGGCGGTGGTGGAAATTTATACCGCAGGAAGCGCTTGTGAGCCTTGGCTTTCTTGTCGGGGTAATCCTCCCACTCGACATAGCCGTGCCAGCCAGGGCGCTCTTCCTGGACCACAAAGGTAGGATCATCCTCCTCGGCATTTTCGCGGAGTTGCAACTCCGTCTCATTAGGGTCTGCCGTCTGCGGCGAGTCTAGGTTGATTTTGACATCGCTCTGGTTGCGAAGTCCCAGTTTGGCTGGCTCCAACCCTTGTTCCAGCAACCATTCATCCGGTTTCTTCAAATGGACAGGTAGGAAATGTCAGTGGAATGCAGCAAGATCTGAGCCCCAGGGGCTGAGAATGCGGAGTGCTCACCGGTTCAGTCATTTTCTGTCTGTGAGCTAGGGCAGCGTCCATGTTCCAGTCTCTAGTATTGCTATAAACAAGAAGCTCACAAGTCGACAGACAGTGTCCAAACTATGAATCAAGTGAGGAGCATTTAACGGCCGACGCGCGGGACGTTCTGCTTGGTGTAAAGCAGGTTGATGACTGCCGGTTACTACCTTACCATGTGCCCTAATGCTGCAGCTTTTCTCCATGGAGGGCTGGATTACTTCCAGGCCGTTATCTGGCGGGAATAGCTACCATCCGGTTTCAAGCTCCATCTAAGTTTGAGCAATGACGTTTATATACCTGACCAATGACGGCATGGATGGCACCCTACGGACGATGCTTCGTGATAATGGAGCGTGATAATGCGCTCAGCAGCACTAGTGAGGTGGTCATTGGCATTATTGATTGGAGTTGTGGATCGGGGTTTCTGACTCCTGAGGATGATGCAGCTTGTGCGGGCAATCGTTCGGATTCCAAACATTCCGGAATATCCACACTTGAGCCACATCAAGAATAAGGTATCTACCTACAAGCAATGACAATACACGTAGTATTCTGCTGATGAGCACATACGGCCCGGTAATCTTGGGTATGCAGTCCGCTCACTAAGCCAGTGTAGCACTCTGTCATCCCCGTCCCTCCCAATAACCACTCCGACTGGCCAACGTGCAAGATGCCGTCCTATAGTTGTCTGCAACCACTCGGTATTCGTGGATAATTCAAGCCGACATGCATTACCAGTTGCACCTTTGATAAGCGCAAACGCGCATGACCAACGACGTTTCTGGTTCACCTGATCCGACAGGACCGAGCCGGTTCAGATCACTCAGGCTTCATGTTTACGTCCACAACCAACCGTACCTGACCAACATCGGTAGTAGCGGCACTTGACCTTCACACCAGACAAGTTGGATGATATAACTACGATAGGCATTACGCTCGAAGGTATTTGTACCTATATTGAGGCATTGAGAATAGGCAAGCTACTGTGGAGCTAATCTAGTTGCCTGTCAGTTGTATTTTTCAAGGGTAAGGCATAGTTAGTGGATACTGGACAGAAAAGGATGACTCGTGATTCCTAGGCAGCGGAACGGCTCCGAGTCTGTACATTTATTCTTTCTACCATACTTTCCCGGATGGCTTGAGCTTGGTAACCTATAGCACAACCGCAGGGCTTACGTAGTATCGTTCAAGCCTTTCACATTGAATGTACATTACGTACTGAGGCCAGTTGGAGGAACCCCCCAAGCTATTCCCTCGGCTCATCTTCAGCATCGACACCCCGGAACTCGAAATACCTGTTCCACTCGGGGTCGGCAATCAAGTCCTGCGTGAGTTCCTTCTCGAAGCCGGTGGCGAACTCATTACCCTCATCGTCGCCAGCCGGGGCCCCGTTGCTCCGCACCGGAAACACGACGGTTAGGCCAGCCGTAACCGTATTGAAGGGTATCCGGAGGGCATATGGCTTGGCGAAACCGAAGTCAGCCTCACAGGGTTGCGAGTCGCGCCAGTCGGTCGTCACGTTGCTCATTGGCGGGAAGCTATCGGTACGGAGGAAGAGGCTCGTCTTGTCCCGCACCGGGGCGATGGCGGAGAGCATCTCGTCTAGGGCCTCCTGTGTCATGTTGTTTGTGATTTGGCGTATGTACCTAGTGAGCAAGAGGGTCAGTTACCCTTCACTAGTATTATTCCTGGGTATTTGTTCCCAATGCACTCGACAAGGACCAGGGATCCTTACAGCATACAGGGGTTTCTTTACATGTACCTCGAGCTGACTCGTAGAGGAGTAAAACTTCAGTCAACCTACCAAGCTAGTTTTGAAAGAGGAGCTTCCGAGATGACCTCCTTTGCGGTACGCTGGGGCACGGGAGTCTGGGTGCTCATCCCTAAGCCAACAACATTCCCCTGAATCCGTCGCGGAACAGGCGGGTCATGGAATCGTCTCCGCATATCGACAGCCTCACCCCAAAATAGCTGTTGTTCAGGATCTGGTTTGAACAGCTTGGCCCTGTGCTCAGAAAGGATCCGCCAGATATACGCGGTGAAGGCATCGTAGCTCGATATCCAATACCTCCCATCAGCAGGGCTCGCCAGCTTCTTCAATTCAGCCGCCTTGCTTTTGGGAAGATGGAACAATAGCCATTGACCTATCCTGCGATCTGGGTGCCGCAAGGGCGGCGTAGGTCCATCAACACGTTGGTCCTCCGGGGGATCGGGCTTGGTGAGTCTTGAGAGGTCCAGGCAACTCGGGTCCCAGGGTGGAAGATTTGCCCCTGCAACTTCCGAGATGTCGGGCTTTCCTGCTGATGTTCTCCAAAGAGCAGCGCAATTGTCGGCCAACTGGTGAAGCTCTCCGGCCCACCCCATCACGTCATTCGCATAGTGGTGATGGTGCATCATAAAGACAAGGCCGCCGCGGATGAAGGTCGCCTTGAAGGCGGCAACCTTGGGCTTGTTTGTGGGCTCTGCTTCGGGCTTCTCGCCGTACGTCATGGGTGCCACACACCAGGTATCCAGATTGCCCAGTGCTTGCGAGGCGAAGTGGCGCTGCTCGAGCTCTTGGAACGATGGATACTCGCCTTCATCTTCAGGGCCATCCAGATATCGCACGTGGAACTGGACGGTGCTGTCTCGTTTCTTGTGAAAACATAAGCCGCCATCGGGATGCTCCTCGATCACGCCGCAGAGCTGGCGGCACTGGCTGAGAGTCACTTCAAGGCCACGCTTCAGGAGGCTGATGATTTTGGTCTTGTTAATGTCCGGGTCCGAGAGCTTGAAGAAAAGGGCATAGTTGTTATACACCTGGCCTACGCAGTAATCCAGAGTAGACAACTTGAAGTATTCGTCCACCGAGTCAGACTCCCAGCTAAGTGGGTGAAACTCGTAAACTTGGTATGTGGGCATGTTGCTACTAGTAGTAATTCTCACCCGGTGAAAGATGCCGTGGGGGTATAACGATGGATTGACAAGCAACATGAAGACAGCTGCGAGACGATCCGTGTTAGATATACGTATACCGTACAACGGGCCCCCTTCAAGCTTGGTTACCCATGATAGGTGACTCGGAGGACATTGAGGAGGTATCTGCATGTCAGCCTTGGGTGTCATTTGCAACATCAATCAAAAACTGGACAATGGCGCAATTGAAAGCAACAAGACCCTGAGGAGCGTAGAAGAGTGAGCTGCATGGTCAACGCCAAGGGGAGATGGTCAGCCAACCTACCTAATCTGGTGAGTAGACCAACCACTTCTGTAAATTCACTGCTGCAAGACCGCTGCAAGAAGCTCCAATCACGGCAGATGGTTGATACCGGTAGACGGTAGTTGCTTCCTCAATCCGACTTCATGTTCCCATGGTTTTGAGTCGTTAGTGCTTACCTGCTAGGTATTGTACATGTATCACTGCATAAGGTAACTTACACTTTCAGGCACTCCCAGGACCCGGGTTGTGATGCGCCAGGCCCTTGCCGATGATCCGCGGGATCTGTACCCGCCCGTCCATGTCGGCCTAGGTCGAGAAGTTCGATGTAAGTCACGGGCGTCAGATATAAACCTTACAAGTATAAGGTATACCTACACGAGAAGCGGATGGCCTACATGTACCAAGACAGTTAATAAGCGGGAAGTCGACCGTCGTGCCAGAGTCTAGAGATCGCGCGCGGCCGAGGTTGAGAATGGCGGCAATGGCCTGCCGGTATTAGAAGGGAATGCCCCACGCGAAGAAGTACAGCCACCCGATGATTGTCGATTCGGGACAGGGCCTGCAAAAAGAGCCGAAGATGCAGGGCGGCCGGGACCCTGAAGTTAATCGAGGGCCCAGGTCGCCGTTCGCACACATGGGTGGGCTTTCCGCTTGACGTCGATTCCAGTGCGTCGATTGCGAATGCCGGGGATTTCCAGCAGATCCACAGGCTTGGCTGTCCAATCAAATCCCCTCCGCACCTGCACCACGCTTGCGAGCCCGCCAAGTACGGCGCCGGGAACGCAACATCGTCCCAACAAAACCCTAAACAAATTCATGCCTCGCAGGCTTCATCGCATCGCGCGTAGGTTGTTTGCCCGTCTCCTGTTTATACCGTAACCGTGGCCTTCCGTTAGTGCTCCGCGTTTGTGATCTCGGATGTACTTGGCTACCTACTTAGCAGCGGACGGACGGGAATTCACTTTTGCCCGCTCCTTGCGACAGCGTTGGCACGACGACTGGACGACATCCTGCCGCGAATACAGAGACCGGTATTCCGACAGCTCCAGGCCGTCGTAACAAGCTTCACAGACCCACAGCCTTTTTCGCAGCAGTCGACGCAGCTAGCTCTCGGCCCCGCGGAGCCCCCGACGTATTGTAGTATTGTACTTTGACCAGCTGCTCACTTGACGCCTGACGGACATACCGCCCCAAGGCTGAGCAGCCAAGTCTTCTTCGACGAGGCCAGGGCGAGCCTTCCGGACGACAAGCCGATGATGGGTCTCCCCGACATCCAGACGCTGGGCATTCTCGCTCTGGTGACTGCCCCTTCATAGCAGCCGGTATCCTCACCTCGCAGCTAGTTTCCGGACGGCCGTCTCCAAGGTTATCGACACTTGCGGACTATGCATGGCGGACCAGATGCAGGGGAGGCCCCGTGGATTACAACACAGGGTTTGTGACTCGACAACAAGTATGACGAGTCCGCATCCCTCCCGTCGCCTCCTGCCCTACTTGCCCGGGCTACACAGACCTGGGCTGCTACACGGACTCGCACGTTGTAAGAGCTCTCAATGAGGATAAAGCCAGGTCTCCCTTGGCAACGGATTCACGCTTTCCGTCTTACCTGTTTTTTTCTGCCTCTGGTTCAGTTTCCTTTCGCGATCATGCCAGCCAAGATGTCCGACTTTTGCACCAGATGATCTAACATACCTACTCTAGCGGACAGGCATTTGGGATCACAACTGGGACTTATTATATTAGGCTTCTTGATCCTCGGTATGACTTGGACCGACTTTCCCATGACTTCCCCTGTTCAAATGTTTTTTGGTATATTGCGCCACTCAGACAGTTCCTTCTGCCTAAAGTCATACAACCAAACTGGTTGTATCATTGTATGGTCCGGATTTCTCGGACATAGAAGTAGCACGCTTCACGCACCGCCTGTCTTGGTATATAGAGAAGGGATCGATCGCCTGCAATCTCCGATTTCTGCGCACGCAGAGAGGTTCTCCAGACCCGAAGCCCTCATCTCCGGAATCAACCAGCGAATGTTGGCGTCTGAAGCGACTATGCTGCTCTTCCGTCTTGGCGTATTTCTGGCTGGAGTCTCTAGCATCTTTGGCGCAGAATGGATCGTCCCTGGCGCCGTGTGGACCGACACGGATGGGAATAAGATTGATGCTCATGGCGGCGGCGTTTTCAAGCAGGGCAACGCCTTCTACTGGATTGGCTATGCTGCTACAAGTCAGTATCACCTTATCTGAATATCGGTACGGCACTGCAACAGCGGTCTTTGCTTCGCAGAGCCACTGGCGTTTGAAGCAATGCTGTTGACTCCGCAGATACGAGAACTGACTGTTATATGATCAGATCAGAATCCCATGCTATACACCTCCACGGACCTTCTTAACTGGAAGAACCTCGGTGCGCAGTCCACTATCACGGGGCTCTGGAGGCCTAAAATTGCCACGCCGAACAACCAGTTCTGGGTCAGTTCTTTGGTTTCCGTTCGCCGCCCGACAATACTTCTCCGCTGAGTCTTTGCATGGAATATTGTTTGTGGTGTGCATACTCGTTCTCGAAGGGCATTCGTTAACAACTCTTCGGGAGTATTTAACTGGGATATTTCTCTGACGCTCATTACTTACCTTATATGTCTTATCCAGATCTTTGGTCAGCAAGATCGCTACGTGAGGTCGCTTGTTTCCCCCACATTGGTGGGACGTTACGTAACTTCGGCCAAAGTTCATCTCCCTCCGAACGACTACACATACTCGGACACAGGGATGTACTACGATGAAGACTCCTGTTTGTCGCTTCTTTACCTATTAACTAGTTCCACAAAACAGCTTGGCTGATATCGTCATTCAGCAACATGGTATCTCTTAACCAGCGCCGACCATAACACGGTTCAGATTAACAAGATCAACGCGGATGGCACTGTTGGTCAAAGGGTTCTTGCATTTTGTAAGAAGAAGAACCCCTAATCTGTCCATGTCTCCGGTCAAGTGTGCTTTGGCTAAAGGACCTTACTAGCGCAGGGACCGTACGAAGCTCCGGGTATCTTTAAAGACAACGGTACTTACTACTTAATTCTCTCTGGCAAGACGGGCTATCGATCAAACCCAAATAAGGTCTTCTCCGCCTCCTCTCTTTCCGGACCTTGGTCCGGAGGCACGGATATTGCGCCGCCGAGGGAGAACACGTATAACTCCCAGAACACGTTCGAACTCACTATCCGAGGCAGCCAAAAAACCACGCATATCTACATGGGAGATGCGTGGGATTCGAGAGGAGGAGCTAATTCCAATTATGTCTGGCTGCCTATACAAGTTGACTCCAGGTTAGTCACTAAGTGCCTCCCTTCTGTACCTCGGAGATTGATCTGATCATACTGGTAAATGCTGATGACTCGGCCTTATTACAGAACGAAGCGAGCCACCTTGGAATATCATGCCATGTGGAAAGTCGACGTCGAGACTGGCATCGTCTCGTATCCGACTCCAAGGAGACACTATAAGGCGCAAGATGCCTCAGTTCGAGAAGTTCCGGGTAAGGATTGTCATTCATCACCGTACTGTTTTAAAGGGCTTTTGACTGATGATAGAGACAGGCCTGACCTATCCCGGGGATAGAAGCACTAAGCGCTCCATGCAGAAGGGTGAGTCTTGGAAGTTCTGGGAGACATGATATCAAGTTAACCCATGATCGGCCACTAAAGTCAGTTCCGACCTTGAAGCTGTATTTTACAACGTCACGGGAACCGGCGCTCCGCAATGGTTCTCCATTCAATACACAGTCAACGATCCAGAAGGTATGGTTGACTTTGCCCTCCCATGCCTCCGTTGTCTGATTCCAGCTGTCTCTCTTAAGATGCGGATGGGCAAATAACTTACTTCTCTCAGCTGGCGAGGCACACATTTTCGTCAATAACGACCCAACGCCAACCAACATCTCTGCCATGAATTGCCGTGCCGGCTACGCTGAACATGTCCCTGTACGTCTTTTGTTGAAGCCTGGAGATGTCAACACAATCAGGGTCGGGGCCACTGGTAGTCCTGGTACGTTCACTTCTGCCCTTCTCATCGTCATACAGGCACTGACATCCATACTCCCTCCAAGACTTTGAGATATTCCTTGATGGGCTTGAGCTCTATGATGACTAGGTACTCCTTCTTTGTCCATGGGCTAGAAGGCAGGGACAGTCCATTGCGGGCCGTCGTATCAGCCAGTCCAGGGATACGTACCTAGTGTAGGTACGATCTAATCGAATTTCCAATGCGAAGAAAAACCGTCACCGCCTGGCCTTGCTCCAAGAGTAGGTATGCAGCCGGTTTAGGTTTGTCTGACGCGTGCTGTGTAGTAGCCAGCACATCGACTGGGAACCGAGCATAGAATGGGACGGAGTCACATTCCTTAAGAGTCACGGGTAGTACTGTACCTTTGTGGGAAAGTTGAAGGTTACCTTCAACAAGGTCGATAAGGTATGTGTAAGTGTAAGTCCAAAGATGGGACAGTCGGCAGTGTGCCAGATGCGCGTGGTACGATTGGTCAAAGGCTTCTGTATCTCTGGGCTGTGGTCGGCTAGAAGAGTGGGGCAGGCTTTGCGTGAACGAACAAACCAGCATTGGCCATTGAATTGTATCGTGCTCGTCTGCTCCCCGCACACTGATCCTTGAAATTTGTGGTTGAGTTCAGGGGAAGGCCGGGGACTTTACAGGAAGCACTTGCCTCGTTTGGTAAGCCTCCGATGGCACACTGGCTTGCCCCTGACATAGCGAATCGATTTGGCATTCATACATGTTTGCTGTCGCATCCTCGACCGTACAGCCCAGCCATGTGCCCCTCGCTAGGTGCACATTCGGGCGATTTCTCGGTGATGGAAAAGGAACTCGTGGCCGCGATGTTTTGATCGACGACAACCTGCAGGCGACAGCGTGGTTTGGCAATCGTGGTATAAAGAGTGCCAGATCTTCCTGACTTGGCATCGTGAAGTGTCAATAGCTTCGTGTTGCCAGTCTCTGGTCACTGATCAGCAGCGCATCCCCTCTTGTGGCCTCGCCCCCTCTTCCCAGCCATGAGACGTCACGCCTCCCCGCTGCTGCTGTTGGCGGCACTTGCGCCGCCTGCGCTGGCCGCGCCCGCCGTTGACATTTTCCCTCGCGCCGTCAGCCCTCCCAAGGCGCTCCCGCAGCGGGCCACGGCCAACGACCTGCGCTGGCAGCCGTCGCTCGACTTCGACACGGACGGGTGCTACAACGTGCCGGCCATCGACGCGCAGGGCAACATCGTGCAGGGCCTGCCGTACCAGTGGACAGGGACGTCGAGCGACTGCCACGATCTGAGCGATCTCGACAACAACAACGTCTACTCGCGGCAGCGGTGCAACAACGATTGGTGCGTCTATCTGTACGGCTACTACTTTGAGAAGGACGTCGCCGTGCCTTACTTCACGGGGTCGGGCCACACGCACGATTGGGAGCACATCCAGGTGTGGGTGCGCCAGAGCACGGGCAAGGCCGAGTTCGTGGCCGCGTCGCAGCACGGCAACTACGAGATCAAGCCCGCCTCGGAGGTGCGCTGGGACGGCAACCACCCCAAGATGGTGTACCACAAGGACGGCCTCAGCACCCACTGTTTCCGCTTCGCCAACGCCGACGACGACGCCATTGAGAACGCAAAGGGCGTTTGGTTCCGTGGGGCGCTCGTCTCGTACAACGGGTTCCCCTCGACGGCGATCAGGGACAAGCTGTTTGCCTATGACTTTGGCGCGGCCACGATCGACTTTAAGGATTCCACCTTTGCGGGTGCCATTGCCAAGGGGAAGCACTCGTCGATTGTGTTTGATGTCAATGCCGATGTTGGTTCGCCTGGAAATCCTTGAGCGGAAGGCGTCTCAAGAGGGATCACTCGGGACATACTAAGTTTAAAAGCGTGATGAGCTGGTCATGTCAGTAACGATGCCCATGTAATGAGGAGTCTTGCCATAGTATAGACCTAGCCTTTGAACATAACGTTTGATACCTCTATCACTCCATTCCAGCTACCATCAAGCCTGAAGTACTCCTTGCTCAATCCTGCTTCTTGGCCTGGAGAGGAGTAGATCCCTCTGGCCACTACCGAAGCACGGGCACAGCAGAGTAACTTGAAGGAAAGAATAATCTTAGATAGATTCAGGGAGATGATAAACGCACAAGGTAGCCTAGGTGAAGTCTCTGAGCCCCTTGTCTTCACCTGCACCCATGCCCATCTCCTGTAGGGCATCATGCTGAGAGCGGCATTTTTATCGATCTGACAATGACGGTCGTTTCCTAGGCCTCAACTGGGAGTTCAACAGGTCGAAATGTCCACTGAGGGTACTAGTAGGGACGCTCAGGGGAATATGAGCCCTCCAGGCTGGTACCGGACTCTAGCCTGAGAAGTGTTAGTACCATCATATAAATGATTCCGTCCAGCTTCATGTTCTCTTGCAGCAGGATTTCTTGGATTTCTCAAACCCGATGAGTGATAGCCCAAGTTAAGTGACAGGAAAGACTAAGGTACCAAAGCAGTCTTCGGGGCAGCGTTCTTGATAGGTTGTTGGCAAGTTCCCAGGTCAATAGCTCCTACAGCGGTTCCGGGTCAACACTTTTCAGGGGTCTGATGACTACAATTGGGTCGCTTCGGCACATACCCTCTGGATTCATCTCGTGTGGAGCATGATTTCTCCGTTCCCGCCGTGCTCGGCGAGAGCAACTTGAACCATCCACACCATTAGTCCATTACGCTGGCATTTTGTGTGATTCAAGGAAATTCCGCTGCATACATGATACATGTCCAGTCTCTCGAGTCAAGTTCTGGGCCCTCTATCGCCGAAAAGCCGCCGCCGGCCCTGGCGACCGTCTGCCTAGCTTGCCAAGCTACCGTATCGGTTCAAACAAAATCTCGGTCTCATGGTCGTTTGCTCTCGCTCTCTGTTGGGTACACATTTCTACCGGTACAAGCTACCGCCCCTAGATCTGTTACTTGGCTACTTGCCATCATACTCATTGGGAGAATGTACGTGACGGATCCATACATCTCTTCCAGAGGTAGGTCACCTACCTAGTAGTACTATGTTTGCTATTACCCAACGTCAACATTACCTTTCCAAGCGTTGAGTTTAAGGATACTAGTCCAATAATGTGGCACTGCTCTAGACCGCCTAAGTCCTCAGGCTTTGCACGGCTTTACGTTGCGCAGGAAGGAAATCCGGAACGGGAATCATGGAAGGCCAAGTACCGAGAAAAACCAGCAATGCCAGCATCGTTCGGGTTGCAACATGACTCTTCCGAAACGTTCGTTGTTATTCGCCTTTACTATGCCCTGCTAGCACCCCTGTGGGCCATTTTGTCCAAAAAAGGGGTAGGAAACTCGGCGGACTTAGGCCCGGATGGAACGCTGCGTACCCCATCCGTGTCATGCAGTGCCAAGGAGATTTCGGTACCACGATCCGGGGCAGAACCATGATCACCCATCACATCGACCTCCTGAACAGCCATGATCAGAGGATAGGGTAGCATACCCCACAACGCCTCAAGAGCCGGTAACCCGGTTTTCAGTGTCAGAGCCCGTCTGCCTTCAATTTCGCTTTCATCTAATTCCGGTAGTCCTATGCACCCGACTCTGGGCATTCTCGGCATTAACACTTGATATCTCAACATTTCTCCTCTCTAGACCAATGAAGGCAAAGTTAATGCGTGACGCAAGGAAGATTCTGATCAGTTCCACCACTCGGCCATTGGAACCCGGACCTGGACTGGCTAGGGGCGGGGCGGGATCGCTCCCTATATCGGCCATTACCATGGATCCTCGTGGGCGGTACGGGAGATCAACGGTTTCCATGGACTACTATAAAAGGACGTCCTGATCCCCCTGAAGATCTTCAGCTGTCGATCTACATACTACCAGACTCCCAAACCAAACGACTCAAGATGAAGTTCGCTGCATCTGTTGCTCTCCTGGCCGCCGCCGGCGCCCAAGCCCACTGTGAGTTCATGACGCGCCCTGAACAACACTACCGCTAGCTAACACTATTCTACCTAGACACTTTCCCGGGCACCTCTTACAATGGCCAGGTCTCTGCCGACTGGGAGACGGTCCGGCTGACTACCAACCGCTATTCTCACGGCCCAGTGACCGATGTCAATTCGCAAGAAATGACCTGCTACCAGACGGGGACCTCGGGCGCCCCGAAGATTTTGTCCGTCCAAGCTGGCAGCAACGTCACCTTCAGGGTGGATCCCAGCATCCAGCACCCAGGCCCCTTGCGTATGTAACACTTTATCTCTTTGTATATGAACAGCGCTGACAAAGTCTGCAGAGTTCTACATGGCCAAGGTTCCGTCGGGTCAGACGGCAGCCACCTTTGACGGCAAGGGAGCCGTATGGTTCAAGATCTACCAAGACGGACCGTCTGGCTTGGGCACCAGCTCCATCACCTGGCCCAGCTCCGGTGAGTCCCCCCATGACTGTTGACTCCCTAGACCTTCGAAACACTTAACACAGATCCATTGCTAACCTTGTTCCCCCCAAACCAGGCAAGGCCACAGTGAGCGTGCAGATCCCTAGGTGCATCGCCAACGGCGACTACCTGCTGCGGGTTGAGCACATTGCCCTGCACAGCGCCTCGTCGGTCGGCGGCGCCCAGCTCTACCTGGCGTGCGCCCAGCTCACCGTCTCGGGCGGCATCGGCACCCTCAACACGGGCTCGCTCGTCTCCTTCCCCGGCGCCTACAAGGCCACCGACCCGGGCATCCTCTTCCAGCTGTACTGGCCCGTTCCTACCAGCTACGTCAACCCTGGTCCTGCGCCGGTTAAGTGCTAGACAGCTGGGCAGCCTGGGACTGGAACCATTCGACATGCCAAACTGACAGGTTTAATCTTGTTGTGAATCTGTGATAGCTGCTGGCTCACTGCCTGGCATCATGAGCGCTGACATGGAAGTCGGAGGCAGAGAATGGATGGAGTTTGGCGAAAGCTGAAGGGCTATTTTCAAAGGAGTATCAGCTACCTTCGACTTGAGCCAAGAGATGTACATACTTCAGTTCAAACTTCGCTGTACATAGTTGCAAGTCGTACATAGAGTGGCTATAACACCACCGTATTTGTTTACATGTCCCCTATATTCGGCGGTTAGTAACGCATAACGAATACCTGTGAATTCGGCGAAGACAGCATCCTCAACCTCAAGTATGGATCTCCTTAAGGTCCAAAATAATAGGTATCGACCAGACAAACGTTCACGTTGGCTGCCGCGCACCTTCTGCAACTACTAACCAGAGCCTTTCCTCGGAAAAGCACAGTACATCCCGAGTCGACATGATCTGTTAAGAGGGGTAGTCGAGAGAGCAAATTTCACAGCCAAAATAATCGCCGCACTAACAGCAGGTATGTACACCCCCAATGTAAGACTTACATGACATGGCAAGAGCCATGGTCAAGGGGTCTGGATCTTTGGGTCTGCTTAGCTGTCCTCCCGTCTCCGCAGAATCGAACCTGGCAAGAACATCCCGGCTGTGGAAGACCATGACATCAGGCACTATGGTGCTCCTTCAGGATGATCATTGATGAGATGTAAAGGTTGCACTGCGGCACTGCCCGACTTAGATTTGTTGCACAACTGCAACGTTCAGACTCCAAATCGTCTAACGACAGGTAGTTTGTACCTTTCCTTCAAAGTTCAGACCCCCTACAAGACAATTTCATAGCAGTCCTTGATGTGCCCCATCGTCCAAGCTCACATAGAATCCCGATCAGTCTCCCTCTTCGTCACGGTGACCCTCATATTCCTGTGCATTGTAAGCCCCTGATGGTTCCACTGGAACGGCTCAACCGGGTTCGTCATTGCAAAATCGTATCGGAGAAAGAGCTGTCTACAGTTAGATACTGGCCACATACTACCAGGGCAGGCACGGGTTACTCACTTCAAAGAGGACCTTCCCCAGCTCCATCGAAGCCAGTCTCTTGCCGAGACACTCCCACCTCGACCCATTCGCAAACGCCATGCCCTGCGTGGCTTCCATTTCCTTCAGCGTCTCGGGATCCGAGTCAAGCCATCTGGCCGGCGACCAAATCTCAGCGTCCTCCCCAAACACATTCTTGTCCCTCATCATCTCGAGCCACGACACGGCCACCGACGTCCCCGCAGGAACCTTGACACCGCTAATCACATCGTCCACGTCCGAGATTTTTGCAGCAATCGCTGCAGCCGGCGGCCACATACGCAACGACTCCTTGATGCACGCCTGCAAGAACCTCAGTCCCTTGGCCTCGCCGTCCGAAATGACCGGCCGCGTCACGGTCGCTGCCACGCCATCGATCTCCGCCTGCAATCTCTTGTACGCGGCGGGGCACGTCGCGATGTAGAATACTGTGGTGCGCGCCGCCATGGCCGTGGTATCCGACCCGGCAAACAAATGCAGCAGCGCCTCGGACTCGACGTCGTCGCGCGAGAGGCCCGACCGCATAAACACCTGCAGCACGTCGTCGCGGTGCACCTTTTGCGAATAGCGTGCCTCGATGCGCTCCGCGATGACCCCCAGCAGGCGGCCTACGCCGTGCGAGTCGGTGGGTTTGGGCAGGAGGGGTTTGATCAGGGGTGATTTGACTAGCGCCAGCAGCTCCGGGAGAAGGGCCATGATGCCGCACGGGAGAACCATTGTCTCGAGTGCGGCGATGGCGTCGTACATGTCGGCGTCGGCATCGAGAAAGCCAAAGGGCTCGCCGAACTCGACCGCCGAGGCCACGTCCCACGTCAGGTACTGCATGCCGCGGGCCATTTCCCAGGGCCGGAATTTGGTGCGCGACGAGACGTAGCGGCGTTCGATCAGGCTCAGGAACTTTTGGATGTGCTCGTCCATGACTTGCTCCTGGTTCGGCATCAGTCTCTTGCCCGAGTAGCCCGGGATGACCAGGCCCCGAATGCGGCTGTGTTCGGCCGGCTGGATGGTTGTGACCAAGGAGTCACGGTTGGGGTCGAAGCGGAAGCCCTCGTACCAGGGCGCACGGTAGTAGCCGGAGCGGATGGACCAGATGCGCCGGATCTCGGTCGGGGAGCTGATGAGGACATACGTGGGCCCGATTCGTGCCACAGGGCCTGTGGCCGTCAGTGGTGTCGTATCTCAATAGGTAATGTAACATAGGCAGACTTGGGCTTGGGCTTTGCCCCTTACCATATCGTTGGGAAACCTCTCGGAATTTCAGCATATACCGACCGCTAATCTGTTGTCGAACAAGCCAAAGCCGGCTCCATCCTGCGAGACGAGGGCCGGGGATATGTCGAAGGCGGCTCCAAGTCCGAACGCGTCTAAATACAACGAGGGTGAAAAGGGCCCCAATGGCCAGAAGTACTGTGCTGTAAGCAAAGAGCCTCATGTCTACAGAATCTGAAGCTTAAGCTCGGTGTGTATTTTGTTCAGTGATGAACACTACTAACACATCCAGTAGGTTCGCTCATCAATCATGACGGAGAGAAATATGACAGCAAAGACCCTAAGGTTAAGGGTGTCCCTTATGTAGACATCAAGCCACTGGAGCCCGGTCATTCAGTTCTGAAGCCACGTATAGTTCATGATTCCCTCCCAGCACATACACTGGCTGTTCAGCAACGCCGCCCATCGACCTGCACACCCTCTTTCACCCACCGTGCCAGCAATCATGCAGCCCCGTCCGAACTGACAATATGGCTCATGTTGCCTTTAGTATCGTGCTTAACCGAGACGTTGTCCAAGGTGTGACTCGGAATGTCGCCCAATCACCATACTCCATAACAGCCCCGAGTTTGCAATCAACCAACTGGAACACTTAGTACTACTATCATGGTACTCAGGCTACATAACATCTTCCAGGTTTGATCCCATACAAAATCTCGGATGTCTTTTGATATCACTGTAGGCTGGAGAAAAGCTCAATGATTGATCTATGCAGTCATGTACCTTACCTAAGGGATGCGGCCTCACTGGACCCCTATTTTGATATTTGAGACAAAACAAACCCTGAGATAGCGTGCAGTGCTATAAGTCGACGAGTTCCCCAACCCCGCAGCCACTGGAATGCAGATTCCCATCTTGCATGGCCGTCACACGCTCGTAATGCTATCCGGTCTGTCTCTAGACTTCCGATTCGGTGTTTGAGCGTGGCATCCCGCTCAGTGGCGGCGCCTCACTCGTTAGCTTTATGCGTGAGGGCTGGATTCCGGTTTGCCGACGTCAACCGTGGGTTCAGCGGGCTCAATGAGGGCGGGGTTGACCCTGAGAAGATGGAAGATGGAAGATGCTCAGGTCCAACTTGGACTGGGACTGTTATTGTTAAACTTGTAACTTGGCTGGAGGCTTTGAGGACTATGTGAGTATTCCCTTGCTGTGCTTGTGTCACACACCAGTTGTTCTCGGAGTTTGGGACCAAGGATCGGGCATCAGTCAGGATACCTTATCTGTCTGGTTGAAATTTGGGCTGTGGGTTCTTGACTGCACTGACTTATTTGGGATGGACTGTGAGGCACTTCTATAGGGCGACTCTGCTGGATGGGGGACGCCGTGTCGTTAAGTTAGTAGGGAACATGGCGAATGACTTTGAAGCGAACAGCAGCCTTGCAAACACTGCTACTTAGTACCATAACAAGCGTGGAGGCGAGATCGGAAAATACACAGGGGAAGAGAAAACTTACTGGGTACTAGTACCAGCGGGAGTCACTGCTGTTATAATGCCATTACTAGTAGTTACATGTATAGACATATCAGACCATTCTGTGGCCCTCACTCACAAGAAATAGGTGCAAATGGATAGGTAGAAATGTAGGGGTGTTTATTTCGCAATCTGGTCAAGGACAATGGGAAGTTAGTAGGGTACCTACTAGTACCTACCCGGTCGGTCTTTCTCGCAGTGAGGTGTGGCAGCGATCATCATTTCAGCCAAACCTTCGGGTAGTAGAGTAGAGTCCCGATGGTGTTCATAAAGGCCTCGATGTGGCCCATGAACCGATTAATCTGCTCCTCGGTCAGCCGTCTCGTGCCCTTGCTTTCAGGTGCCTGCGAGTCGACGGTGTCGATCGAATCAAAAGCCAAGCTAAGCTGATCTAGGGCAGAATTGACCACGAGATCGAACTGCTCTCCGATGTCTCCGAGTATGTCATCGGCTAACATGACCGGCAGTAGGTCCCACGCACTGGGCTCTCCTGAATCTCGCTCCACCACGTCGAGGAACTCCTCGACCTGCTCCCGCGCCGCGGTGACAGCCGCGTAGAGCTCGGACAAGGTTTCGTCAGTCTTGATGTCCCCGATCGTGGCCAATTCGCCCTCGATGCATTCAAGAACGTATGGAATAAAATATGCAATGGTTTGCCACGCTTCGCCTGCCATTGTGAAGTTTCTTGTGGAAAGTTCAAAGTAGATAACCAATCGATACGGTGGAACCCCATGTGCCTACTTCTATATGGGGCGAGGGTCGGCACTGAGACCTTTAATTCCTCTCAGCGTATGGACTCGGATCAACAGTCTCCCTGTTACACCATTGAGCTACTCTAACAGCCGGTGTAGTCAGGGACACTCTTGCTGCCGGTTCGAGACCTGGAACGGGAACGGAAAAGAGCTAAATAACTCAAAGAAGCCCGCTAGGCTTAACAGGGATCCCGTGATTCACCCTTCACGTTCGAACAACCTGTGAGAACAGACGGATGAACACCTTGGTACCTATTCGAACAGTTACCTCCCTCTTAAACTTCGGTTACACAGCGCCTCACTTCATCTTCTTCTGCCTCTCCTCCTCCCTAAGCACCCTCTCAAGCTGGGGCATCCCAATCCTGCGATACATGAATATATCAAACACCCACTCGCCAAGCCATGTGGCGATCCACGCCAACCCAGCCATGCCCCCGGCCCAGAACCAATCCGGCCTGCCGAACCACGACCGCAAGATCAGAGGCCACTCAGGGGCCAGGGCCTTGGCTACCAGCTTCCTGGCATAATCCTTGGTGTCGACGGTGGCATTGTTCTGAGAGAAGGTCAGGCGGCGCTCGAAGACGTCCTTGATGCGCATGTAGATGCTCCCCGGAGGAAGGGTGCGGTGGGTGCGGCTGGCGATCTGGGAGCGCACGGTGCCCGTCATGGCCACCATGACGCGCACGCCAAAGGGCTGCAGCTCGAGGCGCAGCGTGCGCGAGTACGACACGACGGCGCCCTTGGTCGCGCAGTAGACGGACCCGAACACGTAGGGCGTGATGGCCGCCAGCGACGCGATGTTGATGATCAGGCCCCGGGAAGCGATCAGCAGGTCCGCAAACGCCGCGCACATGGCCATCACGCCAAACACGTTGGTCTCAAACGTCTCGCGCACGTCGTCCATGTCGATGTCTGTCGCCGGGTGCGTGTGCGTGCGGCCGCTTTAACGGGGCGGGTTAGTTGCTGCTTGGTCAGGGCTGGGAGAGTAGGACTACTAGTACGGACGCGTTATTGACAAGGATATCCAGCTTGCCGCCGGTCAGCTTGGACACTTCCTCGTGGCAGGTCTTGATGCTCTCGGCATTGGTGACGTCCAACGCCAAGGCCGTCATGCCCATCTCGGCCATTTCGGCCAGGACGGCAGGGTTACGGGCTGTCGCGATGACATGCACGCCTTGGTCCAGAAGTTAGCATGACTTGATTTCGGTCGTTGAATGAGATGTTTGAAGCAAAGTCTCAGTGTACCGTACCCTTGGCATGAAATTCGAGGGCCAGGGCATGGCCGATGCCACCCGGGGTGCACCTATCATCATCAATGAGCAGAAAGTCCAATCGAACTCGAAGTTATCGAGCAATTGCGAGATACTTACCCGGTGATGAGCACCGTCTTTTGGCCAGGTTTGATGGGCATTTTTTACAATGAGTTTAAGGAGAGCGAGAATTGAGTGACGGATAAGCTGATGGATTTGAAGTGCACGATCTAAAACATGAGGTCGGACTTGAGGTCGGAAAACAGAATTGATGAATTTGTTGAACGTTACCTAGGCATACCTAAACTCCTACCCCACTACTACGACGTTAACATTGTTCAGGGTTAGGGCTATTGCATAGCCATCACATGCTGCAACATAAGGCGGGTACTCTAAGGCCTGAGAGGTCGGGAGTATCCATGTACTCAATTTGAAATATTGTACCTCTGGGATCCAAGTCTCATGGGGAGATGGATTGAATGATGAGCGCAGGGCTGGTGT